CAAAGCCGCCAGAGATGCAGGTCTCTCTGGTATTGAAATGTGTAAGAACACCATCCCTTTGACCACCACAAAAACTAAACTCTTCCATAGTCTATGAAGATCTAGCCGATCTAGCCTCCACTCTACCTTCTCATCCATCACCTTCCTCTCATATTCACGCTGCGCAATATATTCGCTCTCTCTCCTCATATTATGGTCTTCCTATCATAGCCTGCGGGCCCTTCTTTTGCCAAGAAGGATCTCTTTCCTCTTCCGCTAAAAAATCTAAACTTGAAGAGCTGAACCTCTGGTTCCAAGTTTGCCGTATACTGGGCACAGATATCATTCAAATTCCCTCCACATTTACTTCCTCATCCGGCACTCCCCCTTCCATATCGCAAATGGTTTCCGATCTTCGCGAAATAGCCGATTTGGGCGCTGCTCAAAAACCACCTTTCAGATTCGCGTTTGAAAATCTGTGTTTTGGAGCACATATTGACACGTGGAGTGGAGCGTGGGAAATCGTAAGGGGTGTTGATAGGGAAAATTTTGGATTATGTCTAGACACATTTAATATCGCCGGGCGTGAATTTGCTGATCCGGCTTCTCCTTCGGGTACTGTACCCGATGCTCAAGCGACATTCAAGAAGAGTATTGAGAGGATGGTACAAACTATTGATCCCAAAAAAGTATTCTACATTCAGATCGTTGATGCAGAACGCCTGGCTGAGCCGCTGGTTGAAGGCCACGAGTTTCATACCGAGGGAATGAAAGCACGGATGTCGTGGAGCAGGAATTGTAGATTATTTTTGGGAGAGCAGGATAGGGGCGGTTACCTTCCCGTAATGGACGTGTTGAAAGCTATATGTGATGGCTTAGGGTATAAGGGATGGGTGAGTTTCGAGTTATTCAATCGAAGCTTGGTGGAGAAAGGCGATCATGTTCCAAGAGAACATGCTGAGAGAGCAGTCAGAAGTTGGGGATATGTTTGTGAGGAGATGGGATGGGAGAATGTGTGTGCTAATGTGAACGAAAGAAGAGCGGAGAGGGAGAGAAGGGGTGAAATTGGGACTGACGTTATGGCTCGCTTATAAGATTTGAATGATATGGAGTAGATAGACGATATGCATTACACGGCGCTTGGCAGGATGAGGACATTTATACATCATGGCGTTAAATATACATAGTACATAGTACATATTTTCTACATATCATATATGATTCTCGGTTAGCAATTATATCTTCCGCTTTTAATAACATTGAAATCTGCATGAATTAATACAAAACCATTGATCTCTTTTAATCTTTTTTTTTCAAGCAGAAGCACATCAACCATTCCCACCAGGATTTGTTCTTTGCTCCTCGGCAGCACTCAGTGCCTGGAGTATCTGCCCTGCCTCGATTCCTTCATCGCCGTGTCCAAAATCTATGCCTCCTCCAAACGCTGCATCGCCAGGCATGCCCATTCCCATATTTCCAAAACCATGATTATCCATCCCCAAAGAATCTGTTGCAGAGCTCGCTAGAAGTTGTTGAAATATACTATTGTTTGAGTATAGCGGGTCAGGTTCCCGGCAGAAAGTGTAAAAATCCTTATTTCGATTGTCGGGATCCTCGAATCCGAGATTCACTAAACTCTGATCCATACTATTCGTCCTACATGCTGTTAGTACTATATTTTTCTTACTATGTGTGGTTTCGAAAGAATAACATACCACTCCATTGCATCCATGACAGCAAAATCGTTGAATATCGAATCACCATCGGTTTCCAGGTTATTTGGGAGTACTGTTTGTTGCAAGTTGGGAGACTGTTGGAGCAACCCAAACGGCATTCGATGAGTGGCCCGGTTTTGGTTCTGGTTTTGTTGAGGAACACCCCATGAGTTTGAAGTTGTGGTATTTCCGTTGTTATAAACCGATTGAGGACTTTCCGAGATTCTTGTAGGAAAATTCTCTGTCAGAGAACCATTAAAAGAGTGATTGGACTGCATCACGGGCGGATCAGCAATTACCTATGAAGGAAGGCTTGAGTAGGATAGGGAACAAAACTTTATGGCGAGACAAGGATAGCAAGGTTACACTGTAGTCCTAATCATCGAAGTTTCGACCAAGCTTTGAGAATAAGACGTTCACACAAGGTCGCGATCTGGAGAATTCATGACCAAGATATGAATGAACTTACATGTGATGTTGGCGGCACCAAATTCTTTGTATATTGTAAATTACTCCGGCTAGGTCGTGATGTATCCATACTGTTCATTGATTGTGATCGGAAGACTTGAGGACTGTAGGGTTGACTGATTTCGTAGCTGGCTGTACTGTTAGGCGTTTTGGCAGATTGAGGTGTTTCCGCGGCTGCTGGGACCATGAGATCAAACGCAGCTTGGCTTTCACGTCGGTTTTTTAGCAGGGCGATTTCGGCAGAATCTTTGAAGGATTCAAAAACCGGCCATGCTGGCTCCATGGTAGAAACGCACATATCTAAGTTGTACTTCCAATCGTCAAGAACTGCGACGTCAGGTTGTCAGTAATTGCTTATCACAGAAGACGAAAGAACCAAAGAATTTTAGGCATTAAGGAAGAATCAGAATCCGGGAAGAAGTAGGTCATTGGGGAGTAAGAGAATAAAATCAAGCTCACCAATATGTGTATTATCAATACTTCGCAGGACCGCATGAACAACATCGTATGCTTTCTTGGTGTAGTACTCAAATGTTGGTGGAACTATCAGAAGCCCAAATGTATAAGAATGTCGTTTCAAAAGGTGAACTATTTGCCGTGCCGATCTTGTGCAAGGTTCTAAATCAGGGCTTCCCTTTCTTTGACCATGTGATAAGAGCTGACATTCCGCAAGCGTGGTGAAATATGCAATGTGAAGATGATAATGATGTGGTAGCAGCGAAGAAGCTTGCTCACTATTCATTGCAGTAGAATCGAAATATAAAGGCTGCGATTGGGATCGACTCCAGGTATGTAACCTTTCCAGCAATCCGGTGCTGAATTGGACAGTTTTTGAACTATCGGATGCGCAACTTGCATCGTTCAAAATTTGGAGAACTTGGACGAGACGATTGAAAGTACTTAGGATAGAGGCTGGAACTCTAGAGTTTCCAACAGCACTCCTTCGAACAGTGAGACAGTCCGTCCAAGGATCCCATTCTTCCAAACCATCTTCGACTAACATTCCAATAGAATCCAGATCATCTGATCTTAAATGTGGGCGTCTTCGTAGACGTGCTGCGACCAAGGTATCCAAAGCAAAACAACCTAGGAACACGTGCTTAGATCTCGAGTTATGCCTCGATGATTTTGGCTCCTCAACCAACGGTTTCTCAAGACCGAGCTCAATAGCAATTCTGACAGCTTGTCCAATAAGAATCCATGCCCTGTTTAAATGCCCAAGTCCAAAATTTGTGAGAGTCAAGATTAGGAGAGCTTGCACATGGCCAAGGTCTAGATTTCCTTCTTCATTTGGAATAAGAGCTCTCGCGTGTGTATACATTCTTTCGGCGGTCCATACATCTTGTGATACTAATCCCTGAGCATGAGGTATGTTATTGATAGCTCGATGTTGAAACTTGGCATAGGCTATTGCAGCCCATAAAAGTGCGTGGTCTCCACTGACGACCTCCGCTCCAATAGTCCTTGTTTGAGAATATTGATACGATATTCTCAATAAGTCGTGCTTTTCTATAACAGGGAGCCAACAATGAGTATAAGAAAAATATACATCAAGGAGATGCCAGGTCTCCGAAGGAAGCTCTGGCAGATTTGATCTACCAACCGCGGCTGCTGGGTGAGCAGGACTCAAAATCGATCCGCGGTGCGTGATGGGTTCTGGAAGACTGTTGGAAAACTTTCCGACAGAGCTTCCAGCTATTGGGGACGCAGGCGGCTCCTCTTGAATCTGAAAATCGACTTTCTGCTCGGACCAGCCACTGATTGAAGTCCGCGGTGGAGGCTCATTGTCTGGAACAGATATGGGAGAATCGGATTGGGCGCCTAGACTACAAGCCGAGAGTCAGCAAAAGTTAATTTTCCATTTATATGGAACAGTCTAAGCAAATTCCATATGTTCAGATCTACTTGGACGTCTAGCTTAGACTGAATTTGCGATCGAATGTGAACGGTAAACCAGGTTAAAATTTCAATTGCTTGGAAGTTCGGAACCGGAGATACCAGACTAATGGTAAAAATTCAATCAGGATTGAACATTGAGAGATGTAGAATGCAAATAAACCCGATTATGCTCACCCTAGCACAGGTCGTTTCCCTGTTTGGACATCTGAATCGAGACGTTTTCTCTTGATGATGTCCCCAGTACTGGATCCAGGCCCCGGTTCCAATATTGGTAGTAATCTTTCCAGTTCTCTTGATAATTGAGACTTCCTCCATATCTCAGCCAGGCTGTCCGATTGCTGTCCATCTTCATTTCTCCAAATGCTGATAAGTGCCTCGTTTGTCTCGTCCCCATTGAATACTGCCAAAATTTCATCCTCAACGCCCTCCACTTCTCTTATTGTCAGACCCCATAACTTCTCAATCCCGCGAACATATCCTTCTGGTAGCCCGCGCTTCTTTACATTCGCGTCGTATGAGCAAGTTCTACCGTGGGTCAAACAAGTCGAGCATGATGGCCGGTTCCCATCGCATTTATCTTTGCGGCTCCGGCACTTGTCGCAAGCCTGAGAAACCCGTTTTCGTGTGCCCTGTAATTGCTTCTTCGAGCCTCCCTGCAGAGCCTTGGCCTCCTTTTTATTGTTCGATGATGCCCCTTCAGGCTTCGAGCTCCGGGTAGAGTTTCCATGTTCCATTGCTACAATGGATAATATACAACAAGGGACGATGCCCGCTTCAACCCGAGATATCTTCGCATGCGAACCATATGTATGTCATCGACCGGTTCGTTTCTTACTTCAACCAGAAGGATTGTCTTTGGTTCCGTACCATATCAAATGGGTTGTCGTTCTGAGTCGCGCGCGAAGGTTACTAGCAGCTCGGTGGGTGTCGTTATTCCTGTCAATGGTATCGCGATGATTCACTGCATTGATTTTCACCCAGGTAACAGCAATTGGATATCTTAAAGTTGCCGTTCATTCTCCATACAAAATTTGATATTGAACTCAAATTCATCTCGTCGTTTCCCCATACCCCACAGACAGCCAAGAGTCCGAGCTAATTCAACTGGAGGTGGAAGAATTCTCACCCGACAGCCGCTTATTAATTAGTACCTGGCCATGGCCATTGGCTAGTCTACTAGGTCTAGGTGATTGATTGAAGGGACCTACATTCGGCATTTGCGATTGTGTGTCTCGGTGCTTTTTCGAAAGAGCGATCAAGAATGTAGTTCGATAAGTAACCATTTCTGTACAATTTCCCTTGGTTTTTCTCTTGTTATATTGTACTTATTCATGAGAAAAATTTATCGACTGTAATCAACTCATCCCACTTACCATACCATCTTTGAGTTTGTCGCTTCGTTGAACTGTACTGGAACGGAGCCCCTTCATCCTTGATTTTAGCCAATCACGTGCTACGGGACGAGATCCAGAATGCGAGCAAAACGATGTCTCTAACAACTCAAGTCATTTCCAACAATGGAACCATGGATATAGAAAAGGCGATACAATTGAAACCAGGAGTGCAAACGAAAGGACGAATTTTTCCCTCCAACGCGTCAATCATTCTCATAGGTTCTCGGGGTCGGGAAAACGAAGTTTGGGTTTTATTGGAGCAACACATCTTGGTCGACGACTGATAACTGAAGACCACTATTTTCAGGAAGTCACAGGCCTTTCTCGTGCTGCTTACGTCCAACAGAATGGAGCTCAAGACTTTCACAAAAGAAACATTGACGTTGCGAGGCAAATGTTATACGAAAACAGAACAGGATGCATTATTGAATGTGGAATGGCAAGTCTCGCAACAGAGGTACAAAAGACACTGTAAGCATAATCCTTTTCTCTATCTTCGCCGTTCAAATTTTTCTATTCGTTTCATACTCTGGGACTGTGTCAATACTTTTACAACCGGTGTTAACGTTTAATATGTCTACATACCTATATTTAAGTAGCAATCTTGGGATTATTCACTAACTTGATTGATCTGCTAGTCGAGAATATACAAAAACAAATCCCGTGATCTATATTCTGCGAAACAGTCAAAGGATTCGAGAAATGCTGAACATAGGAGATTTCGAAGCTGCACGTTACGAAAACGCCGATGCTGCTCATCGATTTTGTTCAAATTATGAATATTATAATTTGCACGATAGAAGTTGTGATGGAATGGCGAGTCCGAAAGATCAAGGACTTCCCAATGTTTCATCAAAATTAAAACATGCAAAGGAAGACTTCTCGGCGTTTCTTGACTTCATCACGGGACAAGGTGTCCTTCGTAATAGTTTAGAAAGTCCGTTCTCTATTGCGGCTTTGCCACCCGAGTGCAGACTATATACCTATGCATTGTCTGTTCGTATGTCGACAATTCCTGATCTGGATCTTCAACAATTGGAATCTGGAGCCGACGCAGTTCAAATCAAGGTTGATGCCCTGAGGTCTCCCGATATCCAAAGAGATTTAGCCAAACAGGTTTCAACGGTAAGAAGGGAACTTGGGGTACCTGTTATCCTCCATGCCGAAGAATATGCATTTGAAGGTCTCTCATTGTCCTCATCTCAAAAAGAAGATGTCTATTTTGCATTACTTGAGCACGGGCTCCGGCTGGGGTTGAGTATATCGTCATCGATCTTAAGCATTCATCAGATCGTGTCATGCAGCTTGTTCGGTCTTCTGGAAGGACAAAAACTATTGGACACTATCTTCACCGCGTCGAAAACTCATGGGGATGGGATGACGAGTCCAGGATGATACAGTATCGGAGAGCCGAGTCGATAGGTTGTGATATAGTAAGGTTCGCTCGAGCAACCTCGAAAGAAAGTGACAATGAGACTGTTCGCGGGTTCCTGAGGAAAATCGAATCTATACCAGGCCACCTTCCCGTAATCGCCTATAATCTTGGAGACCATGGAAGGAGTTCTCTAATTGAGAATCGAATTTTTACACCAGTAACGCATCCTATCATGAATTCTACCGTTAGTAAGAGTCAACTCCGACAATTCCTTCCAACAGCAGCAGAGGCTCGGCAAGAACTATACCGAAAGTCTATACTCGATCCACTTCATTTTGTACATCTTGGAGCCAGTGTGGCCTACAGTTTGTCTCCAGCAATGCACAACACAGCTTATGAAGTGTGTGGTATGAGCAACGATTTCCAATCATTACAAGTCAAATCCGTTGATGATATTCATGCTATCTGTCAGCGACCTGATTTTGGTGGAGCAGCCATCACACAGCCATTCAAAGTCCAGATTATGTCGCGAATTGGCCCAAAAAGTTACCATGCAAAAGCTATTGGGGCTGTGAACACACTCTTACCACTTCGGCCATCCTCAGACGGCAATTCTCTTGACGGTACCACGCAATCCTTACTTCAACACGCAAATCGTCGAAGTAAAGCTGGACCCGTCACTGCTTATTATGGCGACAACACCGATTTCATTGGGATAATGACATGTCTCCGTCGTAACATATCTCCAAGAAATGTCGTCCAGCCATCCAAAACGACGGGACTAGTCATCGGTGCAGGTGGTATGGCACGAGCAGCTGTGTATGCCATGATTCAACTCGGTTGTCGCAAAATATTCTTATTCAATCGAACACTAGAGAATGCTCAGAGAGTTGCTGATCACTTCAATTCGTGGGCTACTAGTTTGAGTAATCATGGCAAAATTGTACATGTGTTGCAATCATCGCAGGAGCAGTGGCCACAGGGCTTTAGCCCTCCTACTATGATTGTCTCCTGTGTCCCGGCACGAAATGTAGGGGATCAGCCGCCAGCAAACTTCACGATGCCTTTACAATGGTTGGGTAGTCCTACTGGTGGAGTTGTTGTAGAGGTACGTATTTTACTCTTGTCTTTTTACTTCAGTGTCCATCTTCGGAACACTATCCTAGTGATTTTCACCCTTTATCGAAGACGTTTTTTCTGCACTTATACGCATTTTAACTTGTTCAAATGAGTCTCGTTTGTTTAAGATCGTTGTTCAAGCACAATACACCCCTCATATTGGATACAATGTTTGAAATAATCATCACTTTTTCCACACGTTCGTCATGCATCCTACAAACCAACTAACATTTTACAACAGCTCTCCTATAAACCTCCACTCACAACTCCTCTCCTCTCTCAAATCCGCCAATTCCGCTCCGAAACCAAAACTGCCTGGGTAGTAGTCGACGGTCTTGAAGTCCTTCCCGAGCAGGCTATCGCTCAATTTGAGCTGATGACTGGTGTTAAAGCGCCCAAGAGACGCATGAGAATGGAGGTATATTCAAATTATCATAAATATGGGGAAGGAGAGGACGATAGACAAGCATGGATGGGATGATAATGGATATGAAATTTATAGAAAATTGTGCATGATTTAGCGTCTTATTGTACTGGATTCTTGTTTATATTAGCTATGTGGAGTTTTAGTGGGTGGAGAAAGGAAAGCGGAGACACCAAGAAGCAACAAAATTGGATGGGGATTGGGGTTATGGGTCAGGGATAGGGGTAGGGGCCGATTGATGAACTTAAATATGACACAGGTATATACACCTTTCCACGTAGATTGTACAGAGTGAAGCTGGTTGTTCAAAGTGACGTCCGTAAATTTCTTGGGAAATGAATTAAGAAGATGCAGGATTTCCAACATTTACTCTGTGTCTCCGATCTATTGCAGTAATTCGCAGTGTGCAATCAACACACATTGTACTCAAATACCTCTTGAAAAGATTCTAGCTTGTTAATATAGAAAGAAGAATCGATTGAGCTATAACCCAGCCCATTGATTGATCCAAGTATACTCCTGTAAACTCAATTGACATCTTATCAAGAATAATAGGCGAACATGAACGATTTTGTGGCAGAAATATGACTCCAATTATACGCATTTAGTGATTGCAATAACTATGCCCAAGCCGTCCAATAATTGACAACAATTTTGAAAACTCGCAATCACCAGAATTGGCCTTGCCCTTGACACGCTGGTCTATCTTCAGGAACCGCATGATATGACGGCAGGTAGTTTGTTGAATATGCTCAAGTCAAGAACGAGAAAGAGTTAAAATACTTCATAATAGTGCCAACTCTATCTTGCGTTTTGCTCACTGACTTCAAGTGTCCACAGCTGATCGAAGATCGAAAACCGTCACATTTAGTTGTGTATCAAGATTGTTTTACCGGATGATTTGGATTCCTGGTTTTCTGTACCTGCCAACAATCAAGATAAGGTATGACATGGCACCAAAATCGGCAGTCACAGTACGTATCAAGGGAGTCATCGTCAAGTCATCAAAGTTCTTCTCAATCAAACTTAAATTCTTGATATTATTATACTCGTAAACTCATTAATATCAATGCATACATATATGCGTGTAGTAATGCTAAGCGGCAATCATAGAAAGACTCCCTCAAGGATGTGCTTCTGATGATTCCTAAAACAAAAAGCCAGCCTCCAAAACACTGTGAGCGCCAAAATCCAAACACAAGTCCGCCCAACCTCTTGAGTTTCCCATTCTCCCACTTTAAAGCAGGCTAGATACCGTTCCACTTTAGACCACTTCGACATGAGCACTCTTCTCGTTTCCTTCCTTGTCCAAGCCAATTCCACTTCCTTCTACGTTTCTTCTGAACGCCTCTTCGTCTTCCTTCAATTCTCTCAATACAATACCATGGGCATCTTTGGCCTTCAATTCGGAGCTGAAAAGTCTATCCATACTCTCCAATGGGATACCCTTAGTTTCAGGGACCAAGAAGAAGACGAATACAATACTGCACATCATTAAAGAAGCAAAGAAGATGAAAACACCCCATCCCATAGCTTTGAACATTTGCGCTGTGAAACGAGCAACCAGGAAGTTGAAGAACCAATTGCTAGCGGCTGCGAATGCTTGACCAAGTGTACGGACGTGCTGGGGGAACATCTCGGAGTTGATGACCCATGGGTACCGTTCCACGAGGGAGTGTAGGAAGCGGTCCAGAGGTAAAAGAATGCCATGGCGGATTTGCCACCTGCGGAAAGAGTGGTAGAGGGGTTGGCAGAGGGATTTGCAACGGCGATATAGGCGCCGACGTAGTACAAACAGATGGCTCCTGCAAAGGCACCATACATGAGGAGATTTCTACGGCCAAAGTTGTCGATGAGGAAGAAAAGCCAAACGAGTGTAACAGCTGCCTTGATGACACCAAAAATACCTGTGGTGAGAAGCGAGGCATTTGTACCGACGACACCGATCTCCTTGAAGACAGTAGGAGAGTAGTAGTTGATGGCGTTGATACCAGATGTGTTTTGCCAGAAGAAGAGAGAGCAGCCGAGAGCAAAACGATACATGACTTTGCGGTCGTTACCAAGAGCTCTGAAAGGTTGCCAGAAGCCGAGTCCAACAGTCGCCTGTTGTTGTTCGAGAGCAGCGTCAATACTGGATACTTCCTCGAGCATGTAAATATCATCTGAAGGAAGTTTTCTGATCCAGCAGAGGTTCTTGAGGGCGGTTGCTCGATCACCACGGCTCATGAGCCATCTTGGGGATTCTTTGATCATGAATAGTCCGCCGAACATGAGACCGGCAGGGATCAATTGAACGGCGAATGGAATAATCCACTGTCTGTGATTTGCGGGCATAGTAGTTGAGACTCCATACTATTCATATGTCAATAAATGAAATCGCCAGCATGTACTGTAAAAGAACTTACGTTGATCCAGAAGCCAACAACACCACCAACTTGCCATCCCATCTCATACAGCCCGACCAAGCGTCCTCTAATAGCAGGAGGAGAAAGCTCAGAAATATAGATAGGGGTCAAATTGGAGGCACCACCAACACCAATACCAGCCAAAACTCTACCACCGTAAATTAATCCAAGACCTCTATCGCCATTGGCGCCCAACATCATTCCAGCGCCAACAACGAAGATACCGGAGAACACTTGAAGACCCATTTTACGACCCAAATAGTGACCAGCTGCATAAGCGAAGAGAGCTCCGAAGAAAGCACCAGCTTGATAGAGTGAGACGATGTTTTCGGAGATAAGGAGAGCTTCATCGGCTGAATATTGTGACCAATTGAATTCGCTCTTGAAAGATGAAAGAGCGATTGTTCCGCCGATGAATGCGGAGTCATATCCAATCATCACTGCACAAAACGCGGCTCTATGTAACAGATTAGTTTGACGAATTTATACATATTGGAAGGGATTACTTACACAGTCGCGCAGAAGTATACGCGGGCATTGTAGACACATGCTGGCGTAGGTCGATCTGATAAATGTCAATAGCCACTCCTTCAGAAGACTCCCAAAATATCACACCTTCTACCAAAGTCAAAAGACCCATCTTGAGTGATTTCCTATTTCAATACTTCCAAAATTTCGAAGTTGCTGAATTCGCAAGATTCCTTGGCGTCGTGAAGAAAAAAATTCTTCAAAGTAACGTGAGTCACAAGCTTGAATCCTTGGACCCGCCCAACTGCAATGTAGTATTGTGATATCGCAACTTTAATACAATTGCCAAAGACGACTAGATGTTCTTGACAATTAAGTTCTTTATATGAAAAGAGACAGAAGAGAGCAAAGATGATGAGATGAAAAAGACAACTCGTAACGGAACACCCATTTTATAAGAAGAAAATCCAGATAACACTTGGTATGGTGGATCTTCAAAATTTGATGGCAATCCAGAACTTACTTTTGGCCACGCTTACGGCTCCGTCTTCTGGGACTGGACAAGGAAGTCTGGATTGTATTCTGGGGTAGAACGAAAGATTCATGTTCATTTTGGTGTTGTGTCTTGGCAAGTTTTTATCTTCCGTGCGCGGCGAATGCTATGCCAATGCTAATGACAAAAGTCAAAATGACCTTACTTTTTGGTTGTTGGTGGGGAAGCTTAGATAGCACACGAGGGAGGACCTAGCTTAGGCTCCGCATCTAGAAAGCCACGGGGTGGAAAGGGGAAGAAGATTTGGCGCGCGAGGGCGCGAATTTGAAGGTCATCATGCACTAAAGATTGGGATTTGGCTGGTTTATTGAGATCTTACTAGGTTCTTTCTGGAATAGACTCGTTTCTTAGACGAGGAACTCGATGGAGAGAATGATATTGTGTGGGAGAGTGTGGGAGACCCGGAAAAGGATATCAAAATTGAGGGGAAAGATCTTTTCCATTTTTTTCTGAGTGCCATTGACGAACATGATTGGTGATCGACCTGGTTAGCACGTGGAAAGGGTTTCCATGGTAGCTCTCCCCATGGGGAATCAGCGGGGGAATTCGCCCCTTTAAATTAATGTTCTATTTGCTTTGAATATGAAGAAAGGAAGGAATGTTGAGGCTGGTAATCTTTATAAAACACGAATCAATCTGGCTGTCCCGGAATATTGATTATGTGCAGCAACTTGCAACCCAAAGACCAATTTCTTCGTTGTTTACTCCAATATGGCAGTATATTGAGATGTTTACCTCCCAAAACATTTACCCGACATATCTTAATGCCATGGCTTTCTGAATCACTCATTCTTACACGAATTCACTCCTCTGTAGCCAACACCGCCACTCCAAGACATTTAAGCAAGCCTTTGGTTCTTAGCTATAGCTTGACTTAAACCTTGAGACGTTGATGGCGGAGACAGGAAACTGGAGGCTCCGACCAAATTGTAATGGAAGAGCAGCTAAGAAACAATTATTTTGGAAACGCTAACCTCAAATAGTAGCCTATCGCTGAAATGTACCGTGCCGTCGCTTAAATATTCACGGCAAGGGGCTTCCAGCTAATCATTGGTTCAATTGAGTCAAACCCTACCCCACGTCGTGTGGGATCATTCCTAGTGTTCACGGACGGCTAAAGAAATTTGCGGGTTGACCAAAGAATAGGGTTCTGATTTCACAAATCAGATCTCATCCAAAACAAATCTATGAAAAGCATGAAACTGTGCATTGTGTATACAAAATTTGGTGGGGTTCTGCTTCAACCTTCCAGATTGTGAGTTTGCGACGCGTATATGTATTTCCGCGCATTGCAAAGCATCTTACAGGTCAAGACGTATGGAGTTGTCATCAAACCAATTAGCTGAACAAAGTATAAGTTTGATTAAATAGCTCACGGGCTAATGCCATTAGACCCTGAGACTTGGCTCATAGAGAATACAATACCTTTCCCGTTGATTTGTTTGTTTGATCTTTGCTCCTCCATCGATAACAAGATATCTCCACGATTTCAAAAGCTCCATTTCCTCGGCTACCTCTCGAAATAACTTTTCCGCTCCCATTCGTCTCCTCATCTTTCCCAACTCCAATCCATTATAACCTTACTCATATTGGAATTCATCTCATTTGGGATATACGATTCGAGTTGCAACATTTTATCGAATATTAAGTTTTATCTGCAGCTATGTCACAAACAATCACCAGCACCGTTGACGCCACCATTCCCTCCGCAATGATGGAGACCCCGCCCCCGGAAATCTCCCACCTGGATCGAGTTGCATACCTGTTTGGGTATCCCATTGCTCATTCTCTCTCTCCTCTATGTGAGTTCGAATCCTTGAATCTTCCATCACATCATCTGCTTCATAGCTACTCATCACCCAGCATCACTCTTATGGGGACATGCTCCAAATTCCCAGAGCTTGCTGCATTCGAGAGAGCATTCATCCATCCCTTAGAAATTTCACGCTCTATGCACAGCTACAAGAACTTTCACAATGCCCCTCCTTCCTCTCCCTTCTAGGTCTCTAGCTAACCAATGATCCCACCACAGTCCATGGCACAATCTTCCGCTCCTTGAACCTCAACTACCTCCAATTCCTATACGAGACTCAAACCCTCAAAGATTGTATCGAACTCACCAAAGACCCCAAATTTCTCGGCGCTTCCGTAACCATGCCCTTCAAAGTAGCCATCATCCCATACCTCGACCAGCTTACACCCGAGGGCGCCGCCATTGGTGCCATTAATACTATCTACCATCGCACATCTCCTTCTGGTGAGAAGATTCTTTGTGGAACCAACACCGATTGTATTGGTGTCCGCGAAGCTATCCTTCAGAACGCATCAGCAGCAACAATATCAAATATAAAAGGCTCGGCAGGTATGGTTATCGGAGGTGGAGGAACCTGTCGAGCAGCCGTGTACGCATTGAAGAAATTCCTCGGTTGTGAGACCGTATACATGGTCAATCGGGACAAATCTGAATGCGACGCTGTAATTGCAGAATGCAGCAGTAACGGATTCGGAGACAATTTATTGTATATCGAATCGGTAGAACAAGCGAAGTCATTAGCAGCACCGACAGTAATTATCTCTGCAATTCCAGATTTCACACCAATATCCGACGATGAACGTAGAGCGCGAGGAATCATTACAGAATTCTTGGAGAAAGAGGGAGAAAAGGGAGTAATCTTGGAAATGTGCTATCATCCAAGTCCGGATACACAGATTGCAGCACTAGCTACAAAAGCTGGATGGCAAGTAGTAGGAGGTGTAGAAGCGATGATCAACCAGGGCTTGGAGCAAGATAAGGTTTGGCTGGGAGTTGAGCTTGAGCAGTTACCCGTAAAGGAGGTAAGGACTGTTGTTTTGGAGAAATTGGCGAATGACAGGGCGAAGCACGCGAGTTCGTGATTCCCAGGTCAAGTGTATGTGTAGAACTCAAGTCCGAGAGACGTTACGATCAAGTGTGACGATTTTGGCTATTTAGAAACGTGATATGACTTTGCGGTTAAAATATAAATGGTTGCATGGGCTATATGTAAAATTAAGATAGATTATACTCAAGCAATGAACTCAATTTGGAACATCCACATTTATTTATCTCTCACCCAACTTCATAAGTGATTTCATACTTTTTCATGTAATAAAGCTTCCCATTCGGATCCGGATTGTATTTCTATATCTCCAGACAAACAAACATCACTCACTGATCGATGGGCCTCTCGATCTCTATTTAATCAGCATAAAAATCCCCCACCACACAACCCCACCACTACGCTTCACCACGCCTATTATCGGCCTCCAATCCAATCCTTTCTGATACAACCCCACTATCAGGCCTATCAAGTCTTACTCATCCGCGGGTCTGCCTACTCATATCTGAGCCTCTTTATTGTGAGCCATCCAACAACAAGTTTCCTCCTTCCAGTGCATTTAATACACCAATTGATATCCAGAGGTTAACAAACATCAAAATGGCCGACAAGATATCAGATGCAGAACTTCAGGAGATCTACGCGTTTGCGTTGGACTTGGGGAGGAGAGCGGGCAAAATGCTGATGGACGGGGTAGAGAAGAGATGTGAAGGGGATGAAGGGGGGAAGGAGGAGGAAAAAATGAATGCGGTGGACATTGTTACACAGACTGATTTGGGTATGTTTTGGAGCCTTTTCTGCTGGCTATGGAGGGGGGTAGATACGTCCATCTGATGCGTCAAGATGGTAGGATTGAAAAGAGACATACTGATCACGTGAAATGAATAGATGTTGAAGCATTTGTTAAGCATGAGATATTAAGTCGATATCCTTCACATAAGTAGATACTGTCCCCTCCATTCATAAAAACTAGCTCACAATCCTCCAGATTCATCGGAGAAGAAACCTATTCCTCCGGCTCCTCCAAACAATACCTCGTTGATGACTCCCCAACCTGGATCGTCGACCCTCTTGATGGAACAGTAAATTACACACATTTATTCCCTATGTTCTGCATCTCCATCGCCTTTTGCATCAATGGTATCCCCATCATCGGAGTCATCTACGCTCCAATTCTCGATGTCTCCTATTCTGCTTTAGCCGGACACGGCGCTTGGGAGAACGATCATGTCGGAGCTAGTGATGAGGTTTCATCGGGTGGTTCTAGTTTCGGCTCTGGAAGTTTGAAGAGAAAGAGGAAGTTACCATATGTAAAGGGAAAGCCGCTGGGAAAAGAAGCGCCAAAGGGTTGTACGTTTAGTTGTGAGTGGGGAAAAGATAGGAGGGATATCGAGGGAGGAAATTTGAGAAAGAAGATTAATAGTTTTGTAAATCTGGCTACTGAGATTGGGGGAAGAGGTGGAAAGGGAGGGATGGTACATGGGGTTAGGAGTTTGGGAAGGTGAGTGATTTCTTCTCATCTTCACCTCTCATGATACGAGGGAGCGAGGAAACAAAATGCTAACATCACTGCAATGTTTAGTGCGACAATGGATTTAGCATACACAGCAACCGGAGCTTTTGACATTTGGTGGGAAGGAGGTTGTTGGGAATGGTTCGTTTATCCATTCCATCGAAACCTCTACTTTCTACAGTTACTGACACACACCTCAGGGACGTAGCAGCAGGCATTTGCATTCTCCGCGAAGCCGGTGGTTTAATAACCACCGCGAATCCTCCCGCCAATCCTGAGACCGATCCTATCCAAGAAGTGAAATTGGGTAGTCGATTGTATTTAGCGATTAGGTATGTTCACTCTCTCATTACCCTCTGAGAAATCCATCTCCATCCACCTTGTATTTTACCAATTTAGCAGAGAGAATTTTGACACTGACCTTCTCTCTAGACCAGCAGGCGATACACCCACTGAAACAGGAAGACAACAACAAGAGCGTGTAGTGAGAGAAGTATGGAAGAGGGTAGAGGCATTAGACTATTCCCGTCCTGGAGCTTAACGGTAGGGTAGTATTGCATGTACAGAATTCAGATGAGGCATGGTACGGCACAATGTTGTAGATGAGCAACCATACACTTTAGAGCGTAGTTAGATTTATATGCATGCACACTGATCATTCAACTTCGATGCTCTCTTAAAAATGATGTGTATGTGGCAGTCAGATTTATATCGATATTCTTTTGTGAGATTTCTCATAATACTAAATCCATACTACCCCCTTAACTCCATCTGATCCCCAACGCAATATGCATTGCACACAAATAGCCATATGTTCGAAAGAAATTCAGCACTTTATCGATCATGTTTCAATAAAGCACCTTCAAGTATCGTCTCTCCATATCAGTCACAAAAGCAACTATAGATATATCAAGGTTGTGTTTAATCTACCAACGCTCCGTTAAGGACATCTTTCTAAAGGAAAGGTATGCCCCTGCGACCACTATAGATCGCATCGCTGGGTTTAGTCTCTATCAATAGATAGAGGGAATGAAGAAAACGATAATGCCAAAAAAAAAAAGTAGGGAAACTGGGATAAAAGGTTGGAAATATTCCAGTGTAGGTTAAGCATCAACACTCCAGGATCAACGCGAGAAGAAAATCGGGATGACGGAAGGGGAAAAAAGAGACATACTTAGGAGAATAATATCAAAATGTATCACTGCACCTGAAGGACTCAAGGACGAGACGATGGAGAACACCTGGTTCTATGAATTTGCGCCGCCGTTAATTCTCTTTCCAAGAAAATGCAATTCCGTCCCATTTGCTAATTAGCAATATTCAGTCATAATCCTTTCCGTCTTTCCGCTACCGTACGCCACGCTATGGGTATAAATCTTCGAATATAGCAAATTGCAGATTGATTTTGATATTAATCATACGATCGTAAACCAGAAATCTAATCGCTAGAATGTGTAAAGAGAGCAGAAATAGATTCTCCATAATGATTCCTTCTGATGGCCTCGGAGAGTAACTTTGATAAATCTAGAATTTGCAACTTCTTTGCATCTTTTGCTTTCTCTGGCGGGATAGGGAATGAGTTTGTAACGACAATGGTGTCGATACAGTCACAGTTTTGGAGTTCTTCAAGAGCATCTCCTCCAAAGAGGCCGTGCGTAGCAATACAATAGACCTTTTTGGCACCACCACGTTTGACAACTGTTTCAGCTGCGGCGATCCAGCTGCCGGCTTTATCAATCATATCATCAACGATGAAGACGGTACGATTTCGAACATCTCCTACTAACGTAATCATCTGTTCGAGACTTGGGTCTTTAAATCCTTCTTCTTCCTCATCTGATGCATCACCAGCAGCGTCAGCTGTTCCACCGAGTGCGTGTGGCTCAGGATTAAAGATTGAAGATGCCATAGAAATCGACATGGGATCATCTTCAGGACGTTCGAGAATTAACGAAGATGACATCGCGGATTGTGTAGGCGAAGGATAGTCATCTGAAACGATGTGACCTTGAACCAATCGGCCATGGGTGACCTCTCGAGCACGCTCATCAGTATATTGTGCTTCTATCGCTTCATCGACAGGTGTAGATCTTGGTGCAGGGGTAGTGTGTGCTCGAATCAAAGGCGAGGATGCTCCAACAGAATTTCGATGCCCAGATCTGATGGCAGATGGCGCATTGTGTAGACGTTGTGGTGGAGAGGGATGGCTGTCTTGACGGGCTCTTGTTTGATGTGAGACTGAATCGCCGTCCAGTAACATTGAAGAGGTAGGGTCTGCTTCTCCGTCATATTTTGACTCTTCTGCCGTCTCTTCTTCCGCTGCAGGGGATGCGCCAATGTGTAGCTTATTGATGTCTGCATGCAAATCTTCGCCTGTAGAGTTTTCAATTTGATTCATGATCATACTCATTGACATATTCGCGGGGGTTCGTCTTCTGTCTGTTGTGACCATTCCGAAATTGAGTTTCAGAGCATCTGCTAGAGATGTTACTCTTTTGGTACCACCAGCATTCTTGGAAACGCAAACAGCCTCATTCCACTCCTGCACATTGCGCCGAATCCATCGTGCAATCAATGGTTCCGCGTGAAGATTATCGACGGGACATTTGAAGAAGCCTTGCATTTGTGAAGCGTGGAGATCGACGGTAATGACATGATTAATTCCGGCAACATGTAGAAGATTTGCGAGCATACGAGCAGTGATAGCTCCTCGGTGAGACTTCTTTTTTGACTGTCTACTATATGGGAAGTATGGCAGAACAGCTGTAGAAGTTAGCAATTAAGTCTTGCGATGGTAAGAAATGGAACTCGGTGCACAAACCTGTAATTTTGTTCGCGGATCCTCCTTTGCAAGCGGATATCATGATCAAAAGCTCCATGATACTATCGTTTATTTTAGAACTACCCGATTGAACGACGAATACATCCTTCTCTCGGATGCTCGTCATTATCTTGACGCTTGTCTCCCCCTAGAATTTATTAGCTGAATGGTCTGCTTCTCTGGGAGTTGAGAAACAGTACATTTGCGAACTGAGTAAGCTCGACTGGGGCCGAAGCCATTCCCAAGTTCGTACATATTTGATCTGTGAGCTTTGGGCATGAGCTGCCGGCGAAGATGAGTGTATTGCGCATCTTGAATGATGTTTTTTTTTTTTTTTGGTTGAAGATGCTTTTTCAATGTCAAGAAGAAAAGAAAAAGTTTTGGCGAGAGATCCAGGATATGTAGTGGGGTTGATTGCGCTAGCGGGGGGTCGGGCTGAAATTTGGGGAATCAATCAATGACAATGAACTCAAATGTTTATCCCTTCACCAAAATTTATCATTCCTTCACTCAAACCTCACTCTAAACAAGACTCACTTCACTCATTACAAACATCTTGAGCCAGGTCTATCAAACAATAAATACAGCCAAATACCACAAATGTACAAGCACTGTTGTCGCCATTAACGCAATGGGAATTCCACATCTAATAACTTTCTTGCGTCCTTATACAACTCTCGATTCGTTGAAGGGCAAAGATGTTGTGATTGACGGTCCAGGTTTGGCATATCATATCTACCATGTATGTTTAGGTACCAAAACGTCTGCGGGAAACTACTTTGAAGCAAATCCATCGTATAAAGAGCTTGGAGACACTGTATTGGCATGGCTGGATGGCCTAGAAAGGAGCGATGCTGTTGTGTGAGTTCAACGGGGTTATAGGCTTCTCTTCGTTGTGTTGACTCGTAGCAGGAAAAGGATATACTTTGATGGATATCTACCCCCAGCCAAATTAGATGTTCGTTACCAAAGGCTTAATCGAAATACACAGCAGCTAGAAAAATATCACAAAGAATATGCGTCTGGTTTGAGGTACCGACTTTCATCGACAAGCCGAACTATACCTACATCATTTCCTTTCGCATTTTCCCCCCAGCGTCCCAACTTCACAAAGCTTCCAGCATCATCCTTTCTCGTACCTGCAATAATCGAAGCTTTACAAAACTCTAACAAATACAAACATCTCGTCACGATTGTTCCCGGGGAAGCAGATACATATTGTGCCAGCTATGTTAGCCGATATGGGGGATCATTCTCACTGGCGATTCCGATCTTCTCGTTCATGAAATTGGAACCGACAGTTCTGTGAGCTTCTTTCAAGATGTTGAAGTTTCATCCAAGGCCGATTCATGGATGCTACAGTCCCAAATATTCCATGCTGGATCCATCATCAAGCGATTAGGGCTCCCCCCTTCATATGGTATTCGTGCTCTTGCTTTTGAGATTTTCATGGATTGTCATGGTAGCTTTTCGAAGTTGCTGAAACAAGCAATTGCGTTAACCGCCATCAATCAGCACCAAAAAATGTATAAAGACTTTGTCAAGGAGTATTTGCCAGTGGATATTGATGTAGCCACTCTCAGTTCGGAGCTGCTCAAACCTTCTGTAGTTAAGACTGCTCTGCAAGTTCTTGATCCTCGTATTTGTGAGTATGTTCTTCAGTTTCCTTATTTTATGAAATGTCTTGGCCTTTCCCAATCTTCAAGCGGCCTCCAGGATGGTGCAAATAACATCAACATTTTTCTTCCATTTCTCGTTGATTCCCCATCTCGAACCAATGCTTGGGAGATGTCCACATCCATCCGACAACTGGCATATGGTTGTATCAATCTAGTACTTCCAGTCGAAGAGAGGAGGACCTCCGTTTTTGAGAATAAACGGCAAGCCAATGCTTCGCGCGGGAGGGAGTGGGAAATTCCAGGTGCTCCAGACATTTCAGAGGCTTGCACTGAAGTTATAAACTTCCTTCGCGAGACACGGTCCAAGGTCAAGGGACAAAGCGCTGCTGATCACTGGACCTCAATCTCATTTACACAGGATGCCCAGTGGTCGGAGTCGATAGACAAAGTAAGCCTGGGCAGAAAGGTTTTGGCTGGACTCCAAATCTCAGCCCCAAGTGACAGTATCCGTAAGAAAAGTGAGTGGGATTGGGATATGATACATGTCATAGCCCAAATCCAAGGATCTCATTACTCTTTCAGAATTTTGAAGCAGATGATAAGCTTTTTGACCCTGATTGGTGGCCGTAACTCAGTTCCTTTACCACTGTTGCAACTAAATGATATGCTTCAAGACCTGCCATGTCTCAGTGATCTCAATGGGTTCGAAAAAATGGACTACATCTTAAGGACAATGAAAGAAATGATTCTTGGAGATTTGAGTCAAACCATTGGAATATCTACTGCCACTTCTGCGGAAGCATCTAAGCAAAAGAAGAAACGGAAGCGGGACAACTCGAATCGAAATGGTACAGCAAACAAAAAGCCAACAAATCCATTTGATGTATTAGGTACTGATTGGTAATATGATCGTCTTGACAGCTTCCACTTCAAGCATGACACTGGGTGTTGAATCAAGTCAGCTGCTTTGATGATCGTATGATTGTCCACAAAATCTTGTTCATGTCATGTAGACAGGCCCATGGTCCTGCATTTCATGACAGACATGGCAATAATCACATAGACTCTAAATCTTGTTCAAGAATTAAAGGGTACAAACCACTACTCATGAGAAAGCTCCCAACCATCCATGGATCAAAATGATTGGATAGAATGGATTTATGTTTTGGCACTTGATGGACCAACAGCCTTTCAAGTCTTTCTAGCAGGATTTATAACAGCCTCAGTGGTCTCACTACCATTGTTGCAGATGAAGACCTTTCGGGCTCTGGTGTGGAATGTTGAATTATGGAGAGGTAAAAGGCGAAAGGGACAAGAGATTAGACCGAAGGGTTATAGAGATTGAGGCAAACAACACAAAGCTTCGTGAGTAGTGAATTCAATCAAAGATCCGTGGTGAGCCTTAGTAGATCTAGCAGGAATCTGTGTAATGCAATAGTAGCAGACAAAAACAGAGTCTATTCTATTTCATGTTTATATGCTCATGACGAGTTCATCGTTCAGAAGTCGGGTCTGTGATGGGAAGAATATTTTACAGCAATGAAGAGTTTGGCTTGCTGATGGGATTGAGTACGGTAACTCTATCCTTCAGAAGCAGTTTATACATGTGTGTATATATAATTAAAGTGTATACCAGTTTGAAACAAAGTAGTTTTTACAATTTTTGCATCTTATTTATGTAAATACCTTCTAGGTAATAAATCTTCATCTAGTTCTGTTTCTTTGCCCATTCACTCTTACCTTTTTAGGCCGCAGTAGCAGGTTCATTTTATCACGGGATAGGAAGGAGAAATTCAATAAGAAAGTGAATATTATATCCATTTCGGACCACACTGACCTCATTACTTCCGAGTCCCGACCTCCCACAATTACCAATTTATCAATATGGTTTATTGTTTGTTTATTCTCTTCCACAACTAAACTCTACTTTCAACCTCACTTCCAGTCTCGACTTTTGTTAACTGCAATCATGGATACAATCATGAAGGATACAATCATGAAAGACACAAACGATGCTGCTAAACAACGCTTTCGTCACACAAGTATTTTGAATGAAGCTGTAGCTGCTCCAAAAACTGCTATTACCTTTACACAAATCGTTGAAATTTCTTCAGATGATGGATCTTCTGAAGAATCTAGTAATGGCGGTAATGATCGGGAGAGTGTTGACAAGCAACAGATCAATAATGCAAAGGTTGGTGTTGTTTGATCAGTGTTTATTGAGTGGGAAAGTGCCTTTTGTTAACCATAATTATTACAGCAATCTGATGAGAAGCAACATGGTAAAGCAGATGACCTGACACCTGTTGAAGGGTTTGCGGATAAACGGGCAATAAGATCCTACCCAAGAGTTCAAGGGGGAAAGATCTCAAAGACAACCAAGGATGGAACAACTGTCCAAAAGGTCGTTCTTTGTCGTCCAGATTCGTCTGTTGTACCAACTAGACCAGATCAACTTCATCTTCCAAAACCCCAATGCAAGGACGCTAAATCAGGTCGAGGCCAAATACCTGGATATTATGGATCAAGAGGATTAAAAAGAGCCCATTATTCTGACAAAAGCTTACGTTCGGAGGGTAGGAATTCATTTGGCCCCTGATTTAAAATCTCTTTGTATAAAGCTAATCTGAACGATTTTATTCTAGTCCGTCCAAGATTCAAAGACAATCCTCATGGTCACTATTCCCAGCGAAAGTCGAATCTCCCTTATTTGCCCTTCATACTTCAAATAACAATACTCCGATCTTTGCAAACTGCACTAGAGTCAATGTGCTATCGATTCGTACAAAAGTGGCTTCCTAATATGCTGAATGCGAACACGTGGGAATGCCCCGAAAATGTCGAGTTGAACTTATGGTGGGGCGCAATGAACGAATGTCAGATACCAGTTGAAGCCATTGGTCGTCAAGCACGTTTTTCTCTTAATTCCCTCTTCTTACGGGTGAGCGGGATACGCCATCTTGCGGTACATAGACTTACACAGGTCGCAATCGACAGTATCAAGGCAATGATTGAAGATGCTCTGGAAATCGCACACATATTTCGAGACGATATTTTCGTTCCAGAGTTCGAACTCTGGAAAGAGAAGCTCGATTATTGTTTGGAGGTTGATCGGAAGGCATCTGGTATGCCAATCATGGTCCGTCGGCTCGATGCTATCAAAACCATGAGAGAGGACAATGCGAGCTGTCAGGATAAGCTCCAGAAAGAAATTTTTGCGCTCAGAGCCGAACTTCTGGAAAAAGAACAGAAAGTTGCGCGGCTACACGGAGAGTATATAGCCCTTGGGGTAAGTGAAACAGATACCATAGAACTTGCTCACAATGGCGGCAAGCTCAGCGACGAGGAAGTTAAACATCTTGGGGATTTCAAATCGCTTGAAGAATGCTTTACGCTGAATTTTGACAGGAATGCACCTAATCCTGAGCCAGCAGAAAACTTCTCGGGCAACCTTATTATGTTGTCACGAGTCGGTTCTCCGCCTAGGCCGGGTAGCGGTGGTGGTCCTATGGCGAACTGGGGTACTAGGCTTGATAAAAATGCTAGGCTCATGCGTGGAAACAGTAGGGTAGATACAAACGGGCCCATAAACAGTCAGTCTAGTATCCATAAGCCCACTGTCTCTCACGGAACTGGTATCAATGCTCTGCTATTGAGACCTGAACCTATTGCTAGGAATGCTTATGGTACCCCGATGAACATAACTGACAACCCTGGTTCAGACGAAAGAACTGCCAGTGGTTCAGTCTCTAAATCGCATACCGAACAGCCAAATCCTGCTACAGCGGTCGTTGTTGATCTTACAGAAGACGATGATGACGTTATGGTTGAGTAGTGTTTGTTTTGGTGTATATTTTTCCGCGGGGGTTCAACAATGGAGCATACTATGAGAAGGTTGGAGAGAGTGCTGTGACTTTAGGTTATTAATGTCAAGTCGAGATTATGTTACGTAGCGATGCTGGACTCTGAATACAAACACATACATTGCAATTTTACTCTACATTTGGCGAGCATCTGGGTGTAAAAATGAAAAATAAGTTTGAGCTATGTGAGACGGATCTTGGAATATGTGCCGAGAATGCTACGATTGATATTTGTCGTAGATATTTGGGTCTATGTCTGCGTAGTCCAGTACCTCGCTGATTAATGTGTAAAAGCTTCTTCAATTTCACATGATTCCATTCCTTACAAAGTCTTTATTCAAATAGGTAAGATCCTTCCATTCAGATATCACAGTAAATACCATAGTACAAAGCTAATAACTTCACACAATACTCATTTCAGATAATTGGTTTCTAGCATCTTGTATAGATTTCACCCTAGTAGGAATAAGAATCGAATTCATCACTTCTTCAAAATACGCTTTTAGTCCTTTTCTCATTCCATTTACAGTCCAGACAGAGGCTCTTGAACCCGGCTACACAATCATGACCGATTCATCAAACTGGAGAGTTCGCGCCTCAGCAAATACAAGCTCTGAATCCAGACCAATGAACTGGTCCAACCAAGCACCTAGAGATGATCACCGTCAAAGGCAACCTATCGTGCCTCTCGCAGAACGAAGTCGGGCCGAGGACGTGAAAGTCCACAGACCGGAACGACAAAATGAAGAGTTGCCTGAAACTCTCCAGGCTATTGCAGAAGGCCGACGTGTTTATTTGGGGAACTTGCTTTATACCATTACACCAGATGTTATTAATGCATTTCTTACCAGGTACGGCATAGCTTCTGTTGCGAACGTTCATATATCTATTGACCCTTTCACGGGCCGTTGTCCAGGATATTGCTTTATTGAGTTTTCAGAAAAGGAGATGGCAGATAAGGCTATGCAAATTTTGGAGGGCCTTACAATATCTGGTCGACCGGTTAAATGTCGTCCTTGTCAACCCAAGGGGAACGTTAGACGCGGCGGTCCAGATCAAGTGGTAGCCAGTGAGAATGCCAATCCTGGCTATAATCGCTGGGGCAATTGGGATTCGAGGGCTAGAGACTCGCAACACGATAGACTTGCGGCACAAAACGGACCAAATGATGCGTTGAGATATTTCCAGATTTCAAAGGCTACAGAAGAAGGTAGACAGCTATATGTTGGTGGGTTGCCTAGAATGCTGGATCAGACGGAGAATGAATCGGAGATTCGATCTATCTTCGAGGGCTTCAAAGTGTAAGGTTATCTTGAATATCTGGAATTGGACGACCCTATGTTAACTTTCTCTAGTGATGAAGTAAGTAAGAGGGTAAGCCCTCGTAAAAACAATCTGGATAATAGACGAAACTTTTGTTTCGTTGACTTCGTCAGCCGCGAGGAGGCTGAAGAGGCTATGCGAGCTATCGATGGTACATCCTATAGAGAATCTCCGTTGAAGGTCTCGATGTCAATTACGAAGTCCCAAAGAGATAGAACCAGTGATAGGGAAATGGAAATGGGAATGGAGAGGAATTCGCGCTGGGAGTAGGTAAACTGTGATAATAGTCATTTCGATACGTAAGTGATCGTCGCGAGTCAATCAACCACCAAATTGCGTTGCATGGTCATAGATGCATCAGATATAATCTTATCGCAGGACTGGATCATACGATGTAGCTAGAATCAACAGCTTGAATAATATTATCCAAGTTGTAGCAAGTCATGTGCTGGATTAGCCAAAATGAATATGAATGGGTTCTTACAGTCTGTTGATCCACACATTGGTAGATACTGGACTGATTGAATACTTCCTCTAGTGAACCTTGACTGGAATATGTATCGACTGTATTCTTGAATGAATGAAGGAGGGTAAGACTGCAAGGATGTATAAGATTGGGTTTGCTAAAGGGAGTTCGAATGTCTTCTGCGGCTTTTCTTTCACTTGAGACTTGGAGTTTCAATACTTGACATGGAAGAAATTATATTAAACAAAACAAGTGCTCGATCCTTTGAATCCTTAATACCTGACACAAATATTAAATTTTCAATACTATTTATGAATCATGGCATCACACGACGAGAAGTTTCAAAAATTGAGATAGATGCGAGTGAGAATATTTGATTGATATTGTGCTCGTCGAGTAGATTGTTTGATGAGAAGGATTGGTAGAAAGTGCGTACAGCAGAAGAGAATATACTGGCGCTGGAGAAGATCATGAAGGTTTTGGGTGTTGAAAAGAGGAATATTGAGGCGAAGCTTTGATAGGGAGTGGGAAGGGGATATTGTATGAAATAGGGGTTCCGCGTGGGAATAGATAACTTATGAATCAATATCGGAAGGGACTAAGGGAGGAGAATGTTTTCAATATGAGACTTTAGCATAAATTATATAGATTAATGCCATCATACATATACCTTACTCCTCTCAAGTAAATTTTGAAAATTACTGAGCTATCAGTAATATCTGACATAGTACCTGGCATTCCAGATATCGCGTAGACTCTCGTAACACTTTTTCCTACTCCTAACTTGACCGCAAGTATCCCTCCGTTTCTAGAACTCCACTGACTGTAGCAACATGGAAATTTCCGTGAAAAGACTCATCTTGGTCGAGACCGTACTTTGTGCTAATTTCCGATGATTGTCACACTTCCTCTTAGCCATCTAAATGAAACGATAAAAGGTGGCGAGACGATTATGCTTCATGTTTCTTCTCCATACTCAAAGAGCTCAGGCGGAGACTTTAGTATGAAAGTAAGAGGAGAACGTACTCAGTCGCTTCTTGTTGTCTGAGTATGGAAAGGCGACAAACGATCGGAACCAGATTCAAACCTTTCAAACTTCAAGTGAGAATACGTAGGAAATTTTGGAGTATTCAAGAAGGCCATTTTTCATTATGAAAATGGTGAAGAAGTTGCAGTTAACGAGAAGTTCTAGACGAATTCATGATCTGCTTCTTAGCCCTTGCGAGGATCAACATCTTGCACCATCCTGCTGAAATGTGCCTATGTGACATGAGAAAGCAATATCGAAGATGCTGCAAGTACTCATTTGCAGCACACAAGTTCCGCAATGCACATTCAATGAATGGTGAAGTCCTCAAGCGAGAACACACCCTTCTTTGAAGAGTTTGAAATAATAGAGCATCGCTTTAAGCCTTCTATGTTTAATTTCCTCAGAACCATCATCTCCAAACTATATGCGTACACAGACAGAGAAAATTATTTGCCATATAAAACATATCACCATCTAGACGTCGACATCGCGAACGCATAAGTAAAACGACCCACCTCCAAGTAAATTCACGACCCTATAACATCCATTCTATCCGCTTACCAAGATCTCCCTGATGATTTCCCAATCTTGACACAAAATACAATATACAATATACAGCATAAAATTTCTCCATCCCGTGATCTGGGCATCGCTGCACCTCGATTAATAACCGCCTCTTCATTTCACCAATCTGCTTACCGTGCCTGAGCAATCCATTTGAAGATTCTTACCAAATGATACCAAATCTCGCCAAGCCATCTTTATACACGGTAAATTAAGATCGATTGATCGTTGTCAATTGCTGACATCTCTCTTAACCTTCGTTACTCATCAAGAATTATGGAGCACCAGCACCAATCTATTCCCCTATCCTACCAATCAGCTCACATTTTATATGATCAAAAATTGACTATTCCCGAAGCAGAAAATTTTCCGTGCTAGTACATTTGTAAAAGAATGGTAATTAATCGCATTTTACTCCACACTCGGTTATAGATGGAGAACATCTGCTTACACATTCGGAAGCGGTTGCATCAAGCTTGATTGTTTCTGCGCTGAGTAAAGTCCTTGCATGAGAGCTCTCCACACGATTGATGCCCACGGACCAGGTGCCCGGAGGGGAAATATCTCGTTTTGAAGCGAGCCTCTTCATAGTATCGGAGGAGATTCATAGGTGAGTCAAGGTAGTATTTGGTTTTGGGCGTTGATAGTGGTCGTCTTTTTTGGTGTGACGGCGAATTTGCCGTCGGTTGTCGGGCTGTCCGTTAGGTAAAGTTATGGAAATCGTGGAGACTACTAGAAATTGTGAATTGTGACGGAGATTGAATCATCTAGATGCACAGCTGGGGGCCTGGTATTCTGATTACTTCCTTGTGTGTGATGAGGTAGGTGGATCTAGATCGGTGAGACATATCGAGATATTGGAGGTACCGTTATCGCCTCGAGGTCTCTTGGTAGTCAAGAGGTTGTGTATAAGAGGAAGAGAGTTTCCAACCATTTCAATTATCATCCTCATCACTCATCTCATCATCATCATAGACTCACTTCAATAATTTAAAGTTCAATCTAGATCTTCCCATCAACACCATGAAGTTCTCTACCTCCATGATCTTGGCCTCTGCCATTGCCGTTGAAGGTACGTAAATCGACTGCTATTTTCAATTTTGCAACCAGAGCCCGAATGCTAATGACCCATCAGGTTTTACCTTTGATCGTCTCAACAAGAGTGACGCCGCTCTGCTTGTCATTGATCACCAGATTGGACTTTCTGAGCTCGTGAGAGATTATGACCCAACTGTCTTCAGACAATCACTTCTCGGTCATGCAGCCCTTGGAAATCTCTTCGATCTTCCAACCATCTTGACCACTTCTGCTGAGCAAGGACCAAACAGCAACCTCCCAGAGGAGATCATTGCCGTAAGTACCTATGAGCTGCATCATTCCGAAATGATGCTAATGATAATAGATGCACCCAACTGCCCCTTACATCAAGCGCCAAGGAGAAGTTAATGCATGGGACAATGCTGAGTTCCGTGCCGCTGTTGAAGCCACTGGCAAGAAACAATTGATCATTGGTGGAATTGTCACCGAAGTTTGTGAGTTGACCCTTTACTCGGATTGCATTTCGGCGTCCCATTCTAATGCAAATCAACAGGTACTTCTTTCCTCGCTCTCTCACTTATTGAAGCCGGCTATGATGTCTGGGCCAATACCGAAGCAAGTGGTACTTTCAGTGACAAATTGGCATCGGATGCCAACCGACGTATGGAGCAAGCTGGTGTTCATCTCATGGGATTGTTTGGAGTTACCATGGATTTGATGAGAGATTGGAGAAACACCCCTGGTGCCGCAGAGGTTCTCCCATACCTTGACAAGTAAGTGAACAGTTTACCATTTCCAAGGGAAAATCCGATACTAATAGATGTACAGATATTTAGTTCCATACTCCTTGGTTGCCCGCGCCCATGGTTATGCTATCGGAAACGGTACCGTCCAGCCAGGAGAGGCCCAAATTCTCCTTTAGATGATTCTCGAAGGAACCAAAAGCCAAAGCTTGACCATTTCTACTGTTCAGAGAAACGAACTCTCACAATGTACATTTTCTTGTTTGCACAAAGGCAATTACACTCGGGCACTTGAACTGCATCAGCTCTGCAATAGATTGTTAGATCTCCTAGTTTACTCCTAGTCATTAATAAAAAGCGTACTTCCAAGTCATATCAAATCCCTCAGTTCTCGTTTGGGAACAAACTTATTATGTACACTTCCCTTTTGATCACGATCCCATGCCCATCGTTTGAGAAGATTAGTATCCAATTTGTTATCAAGCATCTGCACAACATAATCTCCGATGATTGGTAAGAATTTCCACCCATGAAAAGAACCTCCCGTAGCAATGTGCAAATTCTGACAACGTGGATGTATCGAGATTATAAAATCTTGGTCCGGGGTAATTCCATCCCTAATTACAGCATTAGATCTGAGAATAGAAAAGGTCCTTAATCCAACCTACCAGCACATGCGAAAAGAATCGAAGTTTAGATCTTCGGCCAATCCACTGTAGATCCCTTTCATTACTCGGTAGCATTCCTCCTGAAGCTTTTTGGGAACGCTATGTTGCGCTTGATCAGCTTCATCAGGTGGGGCTGATATCATATGACCTGAGCGTTGATGGAGTGATGTATTTTTGAGAGTGACATCCAGATAGAATTTGAGAATCCCATCAGTGGGGGGGAGTACTGCACCTGTTTGAGATTCAATATCGTTGTTTGACCTTCAATTTAGCCACCACTTACCTAAGACATTTCCCACTGCATGATCGAACACTGGAGTATTCTTGATCCTATCGTACTCGGACTCGCTCAAATTGACATGGCCAGACACAATTGCAGCTGCAGTGATTCGATCCTCAGCCAGGATATGGTGCATCTGCGGTGCGGAATCTGCGAGTAACTTCGCTGTACCGGCTCCAGTCGATAATATGATTTTGTCTGCGCGAAAGGTCCTACCATCCTTCGTCATCACGCCAAGACAATCACCATCCACTGTCAAAACAAGATTTTCCACGTCTCCCTTGACAAACTTCACACCGTTCGCCATTGCCATCTCGGTCACCTTGCGAACTGCTTTTGTAGCCTCAGCCCATCCACTACCTTCATTGATGAAGACTTCTTTCACATCTCTCCAATCAGTCCCTTCAAATAATCCTCCATACAAACTTTTCATTTCATCCGGTCCAACAATCCTAGCTTGATGATGTAAAACACCCAGTTGCTCATAATTATCAATGATTCTTCGTCCAAGACCAGTATCATCAACGATAACAAAGCCAGACTCATGATAGTATGGCTTATATAATGGATCATTCTTCCACATCTCACGAGCTTTGAGCGCTAGCTCGCAATAGAACATATCTTCATAATCGGCACGAACAATCTTGTTGTAATCATGAGAAGCAGCAAGGGAACATGGAAAGGAGGACGAACGATCCAGAAGAGTTATTGATGAATTGGGATGTGTAAGTGAGAGATGATAAGCGGTTGATGTACCAAACACTCCTGAGCCCACTATGAGATAAGAAGCACCCATAGAGGTTTGAGAGGTCATCGTGAACGTGGTAAGGTGAAGTATGTGCAAGTTGTCAACCGAAGCATTGAGCAGCGATATAAGCAGCGATAGTCATGCGAAATGAGAAGACTATAACATCTTCTCATCAATATCTATTTACCTGGTGTGAGATATTTGTCTCTCAATATATCACGACGAATGGTTCGTTTTGGACAATAGGATGAATTGAAGTACGATTGCTTCCCCTCACTTGACCAACATGAATGGGATGACGCTGACTAATAATTGATCAATCATATCAGGCATCAACTATTTCTAATGAGGCACCCTCGAGGCATTCAAGACTAGACATTTTGGCGGGGAAAATCCTTATCTTAGCTCCGGCAACCTCCGCTAATATTTTTAAACATTTTCTATTTTATCAATTGATTTCATAGAAAGAAATTCCGTCCGTCACCAAAATTTCGCAAAATCTTCCCAAAACACAAAATGCCCAAAGCAATGAGTCCGAAAGAACTCGCCCGAAATGGAAGGAGGCATAATCCTCTTGAAGCAGATTTGACAGCCAGTGGTCCACTAAAAACAAAATCCGGGAAGAGAAAATCTAGAAATGAAGATGAGGATGAAAAGTTTGTGGATTCGAAATCCTCGCGGAGGATTTTAAAGATAGGTCAAGAACTTGCCGATGAAGACGAAGCCGAGACCCAAGCAGCAAAACCAAATGCAGCCTTTAATTTTGATTCAAGATTTGAGAATGAAGATGAGGAGGATGAGCCAGAATTTGGAGAGGAGGATGGTGAAGAATGGGGAGATGATGATGATGAGGTTCCAGAACTAGTCGAATTGGCGCCAGAAGACCGCGATACGTTTGGAAAATTCTTCCCAGAGCAAGGCGAGGATGATCTAGACCAAAAGTTAAAGGAAGTTGGTTGGGGAGGGGACAATGGCGAGAATCAAGAGGGACAAGGCACAGATCTGACCGCATTAATTCTAGAGAGAATCGCTCAGTTTGAAGCAAAACAATCGAGACAACCTGGAGCTGGACAAGCTGCACCCAATGATGATGGATTCTTCGTTCATCCTAAAGTTTTGGAAGTTTACACAAAGTGAGGACTACCTTCGCCATTATCCCACCCAAGCACTAACAAGAATATAGAATTGGTTTGATATTATCGCGATACAAGTCAGGAAAATTGCCGAAACCATTCAAGATTCTACCTACCGTACCCAATTGGGAAGATATTCTCGTGATCACCAGGCCGGACAAGTGGACACCAAATGCTTGCTACGAAGCAACAAGAATATTCGTCTCAAGGACACCAATTATCGCACAAAAATTCGTGGAAATGGTCCTACTCGAAAAGGTCCGGGAGGATATTTTCGAAACCAATCACTTGAATGTCCATCTTTTCAAAGCCTTGAAGAAGGCACTTTACAAGCCAGCCGCCTTTTTCAAGGGATTCCTTTTCCCATTGATTGGAAGTGGTACCTGCACACTACGTGAAGCAAGAATTATATCAGGCGTCCTTGTGCGAGTTTCGATCCCAGTCCTACATTCCGCCGCTGCCATCAAAGGACTCTGCGATATTGCAGCTCAAGAATCATCTGCCGGGACCGAAGGTGGTGGAGCCACAAACATTTTTATCAAGGCTTTGCTTGACAAGAAATACGCACTTCCATACCAAGTCATTGATGCGTTGGTTTTCCATTTCCTACGATTTAGAAGTGTCGACCCAGCCGGTGTTCGACCCGAAGATATTGGATCCGGAATGGAAGGTGTAACCAGTTCCAAGGATGCAAAATTACCAGTCATTTGGCATCAATGTCTTCTAGCATTTGCACAAAGATATAGAAATGATATTACAGAAGATCAGAGAGAGTCGCTATTAGATTTGATTAATGTAAAGGGGCATTCACAGATCGGTCCTGAGGTTAGAAGGGAACTGCTAGCAGGACGTGGTCGTGGTGTAGTTGTTGAAGAAGCAGGACCAGCTGTTGATGGTGATGATACTATGATGATAGACTAATTTGTTAAGGAATGAAAAAAGGAATAAAAAGGACAATACCAATTACCCATGACCTATAAGCTATGACCCATTCTCATTCTAGGATAACAGACTTGCGCTTTATTTTCAAATACTGAACTGTGAAAGAAAAGCCGCCTCGTATGACAATATCTTTAACGTTGGCAGGCAACTAAAAAATGCACAGCCACAACTGTTCAGCTGGTTATCTTCAAAATCACGCACAACCGCAAGATAACATCTGAACTTTCACCAAGTGTTTTAAATGCTTAACTATCTACTAGCATACGCATAGCAAGTGCATTTGCAATTGCTTGATAGTGTGTTCATATCTAGTTTTTAAGCATTACTAGACGGCACCAAATACAAACCCCACAATGTCTCACGAAAAATCATCTACATCAACCTCCCACCACACTCTCGGATCATTCGAACCCGCGAATCCTACATCCGAAGCCGGTCCCTCATCCTCCCGCCAAAATCACCTCGATACATTGTCCGACTCCAATCCCCACAATCACAACCACGATGACGACTCCACTCCCCCGCCTATTCCGCCGCCCTCTCTCCTCCCACACTCCTCCGCTCCAACCCCCAGCCCCGCTCCCCAGATATCCCAAATCTACCCTATAACCTGTATCTCCCTCCATCGTTCACACTTTCAAGTGATAAAACAACTATCACATCTTCCTCGGCGCATCTTTCTAATCCCGGAACTCTCCTTCCCCTGATCACATCTCTGTGTACTATTCCTCCTAAACCTATGTTGAGAATTGTGGGCCAGCGAATGCATGCCCCGAGCCCGGATTTTGATATTAGGATCAATCTGATGGGTTTGATTGTTGGGGAAGGAGAGCGGAAGATGAACTACATGAAAATTCTTGAGAAAGGCGAGGCAGGATGGAGGGGAGGTGTGAGAGAGGCGACGGAGCCTGATTTGGGGGGCAAAGGGGAGAAGGGGCTGGAAGGATGGGTTAGAGCATTTTGTGGAGATGAAGCGGGTGTCAAGGAGTATGTGTTTCCATTATTGTATTCAATATGCCTATGATTTGCAAGTTGGTAATTAACTCACACTACCTAGATTCATACTAACCCGTCAGATCCCCAATCTCTCAACGACGCATCTCCAAGGTCTTATACTTGCTCTCATAGCGCAAACAGGATATCCAGGACACACCACCATCAGCTTCCCAATCACGCATTCGAAAGTTGTGGTGAGACCGCCAGATAGAGTGAACTCATTTTTTAGTAGCGTAGCAAAGGTTTTTATGGGGACGAAGAGATATGAGGTTGTGAGTAGTGTGTGGCCGTTTGCGGATGTAGGAAGAGGGATCGAGGGAAGGAGGTGTGTTGTTATAGGGGAGGAGGAGTGGTTTGATGAGTGAGTTTACTTTTTGATTACTTTTGAGGTGCTAGGTTTTAGAAATGCTAATTGAGGGTTTTGCTAGGTGGAAAAATGTTATTGGAAGGGCGGTTGTAAAAGGGAAGAAAGGATGGGTAACAGTTGAGGATCGATTGGAGTGGTTAATGGAGGGGCAGGGGAGCGTTGAGCAATGGCGATGGAACGGACAAGGGTATTGAGAACAGGTAGCTGTCAAGGTCTGGATAGAGAGTTCGCTTGTGCCTGTAGAATTTCAGGTGAGAAAATGAATGTAATTGTGTTTGGGCAGGTTCCAGTATCCAGATTTCTAAGCTAATGATAATGGCATCTTCAATCGTATCAAAGGTTCAAAATATAAAATATTAGTGTACATATATATCGGACCTACAGATAATGTCGAATCGATCAACACATTTCTTTCCGATTCCAAACGAATTCTAGTTTCTCTCCCTTCACACTTGAATTAAACCACTCGAAAATCTCAACCTTCTCCTGACAAACCCTCGCACCCCTCAAAACATCACTTTCTACCACCTTCTCCACCGCCATATAAAGTTCCACCGTAGCAAGGTTCCTCGCAATACACGCTCTACTACCTGCACCAAAAGCAAACCAATATTTATTCGCTTCCGGGGCGATATTCCGTTCCAGCCATCTTTCGGGCTGAAACTCATGCGGGTCTGGAAAGACATCCGGGTTGAAATGAAGCTCATAGGCAGAACAGCCTACGATAGATCCAGCGGGAAAATAGACGGATTTGAATGTCCATCCACCTATAGGAACAACGTGAGGCAGACGAGTGGGATTCGCCATGCTAATGCGTAGACCTTCTTTTACTACAGCGGAGAGGTAGGGAAGAGCTTGGATTTCTTGTTTGGTGGGAGAATTTGCATTTTCCATGATTTCAGTCCGGAGGATTTCATACCTTCAACCTTGTGAATACTTTTTCCGCTAGAATCATCAAGAGGATGTGACTTACTTTTCTGGATGCAATACTAAATATCGAAAGATAGTTGCCATATTCATACCTGTAGAATCCGTTCCAGCAAACATCAAATCCTTGCATGAAGATTTCACTTCCGACTTGCTGAACCCCATATTGAGCAATCGGCCAGGATAATTCTTACTCTCCTTGGGCGTAGATTCCACAAGATTATCCACAAACTGGTCCACCAACTTTATGGAATTTTCAGTATGTGAATCCATCACGAACTTGTCCATAAACCATGATAACCAAATAAAGGCTGTATTTGGCAAATAAAAGAATCTCCCCACAGCTACAAAGGCATCCACAAATGCCGAAGCCGAAAGTCTTTCTCCTTTTTCAGACGTTCCATTATAATTTTCCGAAAACAAATGCGTCGAAATAGCATCCAGTGCCAAACTCCTGGCCAGGTTTAAATAATTGACTGGTTCCCCTCCTTCAGCATCCTCCTTCATTCTCCTCACCATATTTTCCACACATCCATATAACGCAGTCTCATTATCCCTAATACTCTTCGTCGAAAACAAGGGCATAACTGCCTTTGCCCTCGGAGCTCTAAACTCTGCATCTGTAGTCGAGAATATCGTCTTATGACCATCAACATCAAAATTGGCATAACAAGGAGCTTTTGGAAATCCGCCTTTAGATATATAGATAGGGGTTATGGCATCTGCATCTGCGATGTCGATTTCCGATGGAGACACGCGGACGATGGGACCATATTGGTTATGAAGTTTGTGGATGCAGCTTGCTTCGTCGCCGATGTAGGCGTGGTAGTGGAGCCAGAGGGATGTGAGTTTGGGGAGGAGTGGACCGGGAACGTGGGAGAGGGGGTGCAGGGTGCAGCGGTAGGTGCAGCGGAGGAGGAGGGATAGGGTTGTAATTGTTATTAGAAGTGTGAGGGGGTTTGTGGTTAATTGACCTAGAACCTGCTCGAGAAGAGCCATGGCAAGTATGGGTTGATTGAAGAAAGATCAATTGAGGTAGGTAGGGTCTGCGAGTGTTTAAGTAGGGAGGACGAGAGTTGTATGACTGATATCGATAACAATCGAGGTGAGTTCATGGATACTTCGGTGACTCAATGATTAATATGACTGAATATGCCCACCAATGAAATAATAGCCATTTGTACCGTGATAGATAATACAATCTAGGAAGTTCAACTCATCTTTCTGCACGTCATGCATGAAATTATCAACATATGTGGTCGTGTAGGTACGTACTCTGTGCCCGATGGAGTGAGGGGTAGTGAGGTCCAGAATAGATAACAAAATGTTATCACAACTCTCATAGCAATGCCCAGCTTGGAATGGACATCATAACTCTCTAGAATTTGTTAATTTACCTCCAAATTTTTGATTTCCCTTTGTATATTGTCATGGCATCAACCACATAATTATTATAGTGCTTTGTTTTGGGCGTGAACGCATTTTAGCTTCTCTTGAGCTTTTTGGTGTTATGGTTCTAAGACGCGTATGCTGACAAATTTCATGGAACATTCACTAGGTTCGCTTTCCATAGCAATCTGGCAATGTTGAAAAGATTTCAACTTAAGTCGTTCCTATTGTGTTATTAACTGCTCGGTCGTTGTACAATTAACACAGGTGCTATTATTGGAAAAGCTGAATTAGACCATCCAAATCGAGCTCATCATTTCTTCAAAGTGACGATAAGATTAGCATCAAAACAGCTATTGTATACACGAAGACTTCATCAACCAAGCGGCATTAAATTGTGTGAAACTGCGTCTCATAAGATTCCTTTGTGCTCGAGTTGCCAGATGCAATGCTTCTTAACAGAGATAGTTCTCGATCATCACATCGCTTTCAACCGAAAGTTACAGCCCCAATATTAATATTCACAAAAGGAAGTTTTGTACATCACTTTTCTGCCTCTTGTGCACTCGACGCATTGTTCGCAACGACAGTCGCGTAATCGGATTCAGGAGAGAGCTTTCGGCGACTGGCCCAGTAGGTATCGATGCTATTATTGTAGTACCTTTGCAAATTCATATCATTTTCTCCTTCTATGAATTTAAGTAATTCGATAAGCTTCGATAGATTTGCTCCGAAACTTATGAGATTGATACGTTGATTGATTTCTTCTTCATGATATTTGTTGCCATGTAAGCTGGAACTAATGGCTGTGCCCTAGATGATAAGTCTGTGAATGCAAATATCGAAATTGTGTAGACACACATCCAAGGCTTCAGTAAGCTTGTTCGAGGACTCTGTCCAATTATCAAGCCATTTCTCAAAATCATTCTCATATTCTGCTTCCTCAATATCAGGTTCCGGCGGTTCTTGGAAATAAGCAAATAACCACGCGTTATCCATGAGTGTTTTGAATTGTTGATGCATAGTTGCATTGATTTCATGAAATAAATCGCGAAATCTTTCAAGACGACTTTGAAGAGTTTTGGCTTTGTCCATTCTCCCATCTTGATTTAACACGAGATATTCTGCATAAGTACGTTTACTCGGTTTCGAAAACCCGTGCAGGGTGGGGGTAATGACTGACACTGGCGATAAATATCCGTTGAAATTAGACGGAAGAACAACTTTGTATTGATAATCAATATCTTTAGCATAATCATCTTCGATGGTGATTGCATGTGCATAGCCTATCGAACTTACAGGGTGGAATATCCCATACTTTCTGGTATATAAGGACCAGAAGCCCTCTGATCGAAATTGGGTGTGCATATATAGGCAGAGGAGATGTCCATGTTGAGCCCAAGGGTAGTACAAGCTGAGGTGCATCACCATGCCTTGCTGCGTCGTATTCTGGCCATGGATCTAGAGTGCTTCCTAAAACAGGTCCATCTGTTATTTTATTGTACAGTATTTTAGAGTGTGTGCCTCCAAACACTTAAAGTAGATCTGATTAGAATGAATACTTTGGATTGCATGGGGATTTTTTACGGAAGCCTCGCCTGCCCGTCCAAGTTCAGATTTTTGTTCTCGACGCCACATTGGCTCATAAAGTGCGCCATGAAAAACTGCTTCGTTTATTTCCTCTTTGAGAGAGTCTCCATCGAAAGTGAATTCCTAAGCATAGCCAAGTACATGCTGGTCCATTGTTATCAAATAATAAGACAATGAAGAGTGGAGCAACAAACCATAAATTCATGATACATTGACGTTGCCACATACCATTCCTCAGAAAGCCTTTCTGCGTCAGACAAGTTGGGGTTCATTAGCACTCGAAAGCTGTATATATTATACCCAGTGAGTATCGTCATATTTTGAAGGTTGTATGTGGAAACTGTAACGAAGCTTTGTTTCGGAGGAGCAGATGATTCCATTCCTTCATCACCTTGGCTTTTGGCAGACTCATCAGCACCAAATGCCAGCGTATAATGGCACATCAGGATTTTTTTTTTTTCAATACGATTTAATTCCTGTCTTGTTCGAAGAGCATTTGTCGAATCGTGTGGTAGGGGATGAAAGCGGTTGAAAAGTTTTTGGATTCCAGGGACCAAAACGAAATACATCTTGAGGCTTGAATTCTTCGATCGGAATTGTCTCGGTACTTCCGAGTAGTAAAGCTTGAACCTATTCTCGTTAGCTCCTGATTAGAAACCATAGAGAACCAAGAATACATACAAAAGGGTCTAAATGCATTCTCGCCAGCAACCTCGAAGCGAGCTTTAGACACGGTTAAAGATGCTCCCAAATGAGAGGGTTTTGCGCCGTCCATGAAATTCCTTCTTTCTCTGAGCTACTTATTGGAAGTACTAGGTCACTTGATTCAACCCATCTGCTTCTTTGCATTGTTGGATTGGTTAGACTCGAATCGTCTGGAATGGTTAATGATTTCAATGAGAAAACGTCAAGATCAAGTAGAAGTTGCGATTTGTATCCACGTAACCTGGATTGTTGATACGCTGTTCTTTCTTCACGGGAGGCATTGGCAGACGGATTGGTAAGGTTGTATGCAGATATTGGGATGAGTCCGCTGCGATGTGAGCCGATGATAATGGCTATAGGAGTCGGCGGGGCACCATATTTCTTCTGATAAAGGGTCTGTAAGATTAACATCTTTGGTACAATTTGGAATCTTGTAGGAGTGTCGCATTCGTGTGATATCAGCAAAGATGCTGCCTCTAGGCACATAGCTCATTTGAAATTCATAGACATGGAGAACAAAGCAACAACGACGCTATGTAAATTTGGACAGAATCGCACTTTGCATGAATGTCTCTGACTTTTGAATAAAGAATTGGTACGAAAATCATAAGGAGACTATTCCATTCCCCAACAATCTTTATTCAAAGAAATTCATGAAACCGGTTAACCTAATTTGAAAATCATCTAGACGATGGTTATGCTTGAAGCTTAGTACATAATAGGTTTTATGATTGGTGTTGACTCAATTATGAACGCAGTTCAAACATTTTCGTATCTTGGAACCCTTTATAAGTTATCTATCAAGAGACGGTAGTCCATTGATACATGATCATCGATACCGCGAGCTTAAGTAAAATCTTGCCAGCCCTTGCTCGCTCGACTTATCTACAAGCGAGAAGCTTCTGTGTTCACCTGATACACCGCATCACTTCATCTCTTGGTATACATGATCAGTCATAAAGCTGAGAATAGAAACAAGATTTTTCAAAAACCAGTTGGAATCAAACTTCCAGTTGAAATCAAATTTTCAATTGGAATCGAGCTTCAAGTTGGAATTAAACTTACAGTAACAGAGTTCTGTTCTTTGTATACAGAGTAAGGATGGGAAGTCGCCAATTTATTATTTTCAACAGATACTACCTCCCATCATGGTGGTTCCTTCTCAGTTATCATCACTGAGAGGTGATTAAGATATTCGTACTACTCCTTCACTTCTCGCTTCAGGTGCAAGTACTAGTTTGGCTTCAGTTGAATATACTTGAATACAATATGGAATGTACAGAATCCTGCACACATATGATGGAGTAACAATTTTGCAAGGCATATCAAGGTGACTATACTTTTGATTATCAGGTTTCCCCAAATTTGGTGGATTTTTGTTCTTGGAGGACTGTCCTTGCTCTGGTAATTACTTTTTGCAGCGACTAGAAACCGGCAATATAACCTATTGATATCTATGAGATTCTCATATACCGAGAACATAGGAAGGGACCCTGCGAAATCCGCAGCTCGAACAGAACAATGAGAATTGATGCGATTTGACAGGAACATCTCACCAGTAGGTTTTTATACTCTAGCACTTCGAGTCTAGACGATAATTCTGTTTTCAACAAGAAGTCGACCTCTCATCTATCAGATCATCATTGATGGGGGTATGCCAGGCACAGGATTATCAAAAGCCGTCCACCAAGCACATAGTAAGCCAAACAGAATCTCAGATCAATAGTGCATACACCAACTCAACCCTCTCCTCCAGAGTGGCCAGCAACTACAAGTTATATGGTAATATTCGAAGGCGCAACCCAATTTTTGTACCAGTTTAGTTCAAAGCAACAAATTGCTCCAGTCGATGTAGGTTTCTTTAAAGCTCTTCATAGGAGAGATCTCAATGGCTCAATCGTTGTAACGCCTCTTGTGAAGCAATGGAATAAGAAAATGTTGCCAATGATTCAAATATCGAGGACCCTGATAGAGAAGATGGAACAGCAGGCTCCAGAACACGTATTGTGTATAGTATGCAGGCAAGCTTACATGATGATGACTTCAATAAGGCACGGGTAGATTGGATTGGTAGAACTGATATGACCAGATAAAAAAATGTATCAATTGATAATTTTACTCCAAAGCTTGGCCTTGATGTGAGGCAGAGAGCTGGCATCTTCCTCAGTTTCTCGTAACTCACTTAAGATTTGCTGCAAACGCGCAATCGATATGATTTATATGGTACTTTGACTGAAAGCTTCGATGAACAACTACTGGCCTGAATTTGTTCTGGAAACACTTGCTTACGACATCATCGTTGTCCAAAAATTGTATGCGTCGACGAGTTAGCTAGACAACAGCAGTTATAGTGAAATGCCTAGTAGGGATATAATATCAAAATCTAGCGTCGGTATATCAAATGCTGCGTAATCCATTGGCCTAAAAATCACCCCACGCGGGGTAGGGGTGTGAACGTAGTAACTTATGCCAGAGTGTAATATCTCAAAAAAGTTCGCAGGTAAATATTTATGCGATCAAGGTTAGCAACAATCTTTTCGAAGAGTGTTTTGATAATCTCACCATTCAAGCACCAATTAATTATGCTCACCGCACGTAAAGTTCCGAGGGCATGCCAGTCATGTAGATCTCAACTGCTTTCCCTTTTCGAATATGGATTCACAAGACCCACTGCTTCGACAGCCTCTACACATTCTAGATATCGCGATATCCGACATCGATCAATCCAGCCCCGCCCTAATACTTTGCGATTATTCTCAACGACTCTAAATCGATCAGATGAAGCTCGAACGACCACAACTACACCAGTGCCCGAAGTGAAAGCCACAGAAGCAAGAGCAGCAGAAATTGAATCGTTTGTGAGGCAGGCTAGACAAACATTTGGAGAAACTCTGCCAAAGGATTATCTGTCTGCTGAGGAATATCAATTATATGAGCGATTGTACGGCGCGCCACTGCGAGAAACTAGGCCGGAGGACTTAGAATATCTGCAGGTTGAGGAAGAGGATATTGGAGAGGATGGACCTTCCAGGAATGTTCTCTTGAGAGAGAACGCTGATGGTGAATTTGAAGAGATTGAATTCGATCCAGAGCTGGGGTTCAAAGTTGTGGAAGATGGCACTGACGGGTTTGTTTCTGCCAGCGAGGGTGAAGAACTGGGGTTTGAGGAAGAAAGCGAACCTGATATGGAATTGGAAAGCGAGGAAATATCAATGGCAACTGAAATTTCTGCGGGAACGGATTCTACCAATTTAACATTTCAAGCTCAAAATCAAAGAGAGGTAGATGCTATCGCACGGTTACAGCGAGATATGGACGAAGCAATGGCACGAGCAGCAGAGCAAGACGATACTGTTTTTGACGAGGACTATGAGGAGGAAGAATCGTCGGAAGAGTCCGAAGAAGAATTATTCGAGGACCCCGAACAATTTGAGGAAGACGAATACGATTCATATATTAGCTCGGACGAAGTTCGTACACATCCGCATACTAGAACCGCCAGATTCGGCACATCCCCAAGTACTATATCACTGCCGAAAGAACAATTTGTTACACCAATTACCGAATTGCTAGAGAGAACAAGCATGAAACACGTTACAGAGGCTGCACAGAAAGCATTTGGTGGAAAGTGGTTACCATATTCTTCTTCTACTCCAAACGTAGGAAAACTTAAGCTTTTGCCACAAAAACATGTTGGACTTGATGCTTCACAACATAGGATGAGCGAAATCGAAGCAGATGCATATTTGGCTGGTGTAATGTCAGGTACTTATACTTCCGTTATGAGTACGCTAGTTGAGGTACGCAAACGATTAGGGTCCGAATGGATTCGTGAGATGTTGTTCAGGGAGGGTGGTCAAGGTCCACGAATTCTCGATGCAGGAGCTGGCGGGGCTGGTATTGTAGCATGGCAGGAAATCTTACGAGCCGAATGGGATGTATTGAAAGACGATGGTATTGTCGAAGGAGACATACCTCCATCTGGGAAACACACGGTCCTTACTGGGGCAGATACATTACGACACCGAATTTCACGATTTCTCGACAATACTACCTTTCTTCCCAGACTTCCTGATTACGTCCATTCATCCAGTGGAGAGGCTCAACTTGATGGTGGACCTGCACAACCTAGGAAAATGTATGATTTGATTATCGCCCCGCACACCTTATTCCCATTGAAGGAAGATTATCGCCGAAAACACATGGTACAGAACCTCTGGTCAATGCTTGATCCCAAAGGAGGTGTACTTATCCTGATAGAAAAGGGATTACCACGGGGATTTGAGGCTATAGCAGGTGCTCGTTCTCTTTTGCTCGACTCACATATTTCTTCCCCTGGTGACGAAAACGTCGAAAAAGAACTTCAATCTCTTTCAGACGACGAATCACGTTTCGCGGAGAAAGAGGAGGGTATGATCATTGCGCCATGCACCAATCATACAAAGTGTCCAATGTATCCAGTCCCAGGCCTTACCCCTGGTAGAAAGGATTTTTGTCATTTCGAACAGCGATATCTCCGTCCACCTTATCTACAGAAGATTTTAGGCGCTTCTTCTCGCAATCACGAAGATGTTAGATATTCTTATCTGGCGGTACGAAGAGGTATTGATGCTAGGAAAGAAGAAGCTATTCTACAAGGAGATGCTGCAACTGACCAATCTTTTGCCGGATACGAAGAGCATAATTTACCGGATGGTCCGGAAATGCCTGAAGAGGGTGATATACCATTCCATCCATTATCACTTCCACGATCTATGCTCCCACCTCTCAAACGTCGTGGACATGTCACCTTGGATGTTTGTACACCATCAGGCAAGTTGGAACGATGGACAATCCCTAAAAGTTTTAGTAAAGTAGCGTACCGCGATGCTAGAAAATCCAAATGGGGAGATCTATGGGCACTTGGTGCTAAGACGAGAGTGCCCCGGCAACCTAGATTAGGAAGGGGAGGAGAGGGTGTAGTCAACAGTAAAGGATCCAAACCCGGAAAGGTCCTCAGTAAATCAGCGGCGAAGAAGAAGAAGAATAAGTTTAACATTATTATGGGTCGTGATGGTATGGAAGGTCTTGAGGAAAGCAGAGATTCGAAGAGAATATTCAAGCCTGAGAAGAGAACAAAGGGGGGGCGATTTTTCAAGCCGAAGAAGCCGATTACCGAGGATGACATATAAATGCTTTCTTTTTTTGTACTATTTTTCACGAAATTATACCATGTATGCATAGTATGGGCAATCTCTGGGACATGTAACTATGGTTCTCTGCTCCACAATTTGATTATAACTTTATACTCTAATGGAAAGCTGCTTCCATGACTTCTAGAAAAGAAAAAAGTCTCCGTTTGTATTTCGCGCACTTTGAGTTGCTATACGAGTATCCGCCTCGCACGGCGGGAAAACTTCCAAGATATTTATCAACCTCAACCCCTGAAATACGGATTATTTTGGCATTCAATTTCCATTTCCAATTCGATGTTCCACCATGGATGAATGAGTGGGCCAATCGATCAACACCGCCGCTTGGTCTGTGATTTTCGCGACGCTCGAATTGAACCATGATTTAATATGATAGGCAAAAGAGATTTCTGTAGAATTTTTGAACACGTGTGTTTCAGTATCTATTTTGAATTGTAAACAAAGAGGATCTATGAAGGATTCTGTCACACGGCGTAGTAGAGCGTTTAAGCATGGATCTCAATATGCATATAATTATTATCCAGTGCCTATACCCCTTTTTCTCAAGGCCAAGCTTTTGTTCAGGTACAGTCTTGATCCACCAAACCAGGTACCGGATAAGCGAACGAATCTAATCAAATCTCTTCCACTTCACTTGCCTCATAGCCACAATTCTTATCTTATTTGCGGCTAGATAACCAATAGATCCTCTTCATTTTCGACATGGAGATCGACTGTTTAGAAAAAAGTGCCGCTGCATAGATCCTCAATTTTAACCTCATTTACTACAGTAGCACTGTTGTACACACCCATCAATTTCCAATTCTCGTTTCCATATTTTCTATCAATCTAATGATCGAAAGGTAGGTTGCCTTTTACGAACGGTAAGGTATACTTGGGGTCCGAATATTAATAATGTCTTACCTGCTGCTGTCAATGCTGTCAATGCTTGTGATGTTTTTTCTTGGTACCAATAAACATCTGGTATTTTGATTATTGTCTGTCTTTCAATGTCTAGTCACCCTTCTGTATGATATTGATTGATATATTGGTTGATTAGCAATTCACCGCCATCATCATCTATCTTTGTCATTCATTTACCAACGCCGAATTGTTCGGTATTTACTCTCATTAATACGATTTCTTTCCTTAATTTTACTCCAGTTTCATTCTTTTTGACCAATTCTTGCAGGTGCTCTTCGATTGTTTATAGAGTGAACTATTTTTTTTGTTTATTTGTTTCCGTGGAAGTGCTGTTGCGTGCGCACGAAAAGTGCAGATATACCTAATTAACATGGAATACCATCTCTCCTTTCTTTTGTTGCCGGCGGTGAGCTGGGCAGCTGTAATCTCAACGCCAGCTTTTACTGATAGAAATACTGATATCAATGAGTATGTACCAGTTTCCTAGATTCAACAACATACATATCTCCAATCTACCTTAATAATACAATGCTAATGATGTATCTCGCAGAATTAAATCGAACCCCCAATCCTCACCAATCTGCACATCAAACTGCAATGTCCCCTCATCATCCTCCCCTCAAACCCTCGAGCTCCGCGACTACGAATACCACAGCAACACGCATTCATTCCACCATGCTAAATACGACTCGGATCCTCCATCCGGTCCTCACATTCCCACATCATGGAAAGTGGCTATTGGCGTTAATGCCTTCGTACTCCTCATTACGGCATCGATATTAGGAATGCTAGTCTGGATACTCAGGAAAGAATACAGGAAGAGGAAATTACTACAAGGGGATCCGGGATTTGTGGGCGCGAAAGATGGATTTGGGAGGAGAATGAAGAGCGCACGGAATGCGAGGGGCATGGGAACTGCGAGGAGTGGGAGAGCGAGAGCTTGGAGTTATGATCCGATTAGGGAGGAAGAGGAGGAGGGCGAGAATATCGGGGAGGGAGTTAGATTGGGGGGGTTGGCTTTGGGAGTGAACGGACAGGGGCCAATGACTATGCCGCTGGGTATGAATAACACATTAACTCTTCCCGGGACTGGCATTGAGAAGGAAACTCCAGAAGATGCAAAAGGAAAAGGAAAGGAGGGCACGAAAGCAAAAAGAGCATGGAGGGGAAAACATGTACGATTTTCAAGCTGGGGAGGAGAGATCGATGCGAGGGATACGCTTGGGGCTGTGGCTGGTAGCAGTGGGAAGGAAAACGGCATTGCGGCTTTGAGGGCGGAAACGCATGAATATGTGCAGACGCCTTAGGGCTGTGGCATTTAGGCTGAGAGTTTTGTCTATGAGGGGTACCCCACCTTAAATATTCTTGTTTATATGGAGTGGAGATTGTACAGATGTGTGTGGAGCCGAGTATGTATATTGGGGTGCGCAGCTAGACAGAGGAGGAATATCTGTGCATTAGTGGCGTTCAGCATTCATCTATTCATTCAAGTCATTCAAAAATTAGCGGGATCAGGCGGGAGTTTCACAGTAATTTATTTCATTTTCGTCCGAAAGAATCAGTTTGCAAATTCCACTTGTCCACTCCGCTCCTCTCGTCTCCTCTCCTACCTAATTCCAGACCAAACCCCCCTTTGATCAAACAATCTCTCGAAACAGATTCGCCACCCCCCTCTCTGATGTTTGAAGGTGCCCAACTGTTGCACATCTACAAATCGGTCCGGAACGCCGGGGACAATTGCCGGCAAACTACTTTTTCTTTGTGATATAATTTTCGAAATACAAGATACGAGGCCAGAAAGTCGATGCGACGAACAAAGAACAAAATTAGGCTTTTACGATTGTGGGCTAATGTGCAGAGGATGTCACGACCTTTCGGATATTCCTTTGTTGGTGTGAGGATAGGGGATAGGGGGGAGGCGAACAGTGTTCTGAGTCAAGGAGTAAGGCTTTGTGGTGATGCTTACTAGCACGCTGGATGTTGGAGCTAGGGAATAAGAAATCGATGTTGGAGAGGATGGGAAATTAGGATCGAGATGAGTTTTAGAGCTTTGTTCGTCGAGAGGGGGAATTTTTGCTTTTTTGATGGATGGATTAAGTGGATTGATTTAGAGGAGGTTGATTGGCAGTTTGTTTCAGACTATCTTTTTAGAGAACACAATTGAAAAAGTAGGTTTGGTGAGATATGCAACAAAACAATCTGATCGTTTGTTCCTTTGTTTCTTTTTTTTTGTTTGACTAAATCAAGCTACTGAGTCTTGATATGGAACACTAGCTTTATTTCAGAGTTTTTCTACATGTATGATCATCTTGAGAATGCCCCTGAGAATAGCATGTGATATATAGAAGTCGTCCAGCATAGGGGTACGGAAAATAGTTCATTGGAAAGACAATGCGATTTCTATTCTTTATTTCACGGTATTACTCCTTGAAGCGAAAGATATGATGACAACGCCACCCCTATATATCTTCACTACTACACTACTGTCTAAAGATTATTCCTCGCTTTTAAATAAAGCAATATGATCCACAAACCCCGCAATATTGTCAGAATAATTCGCGATATCTATCCCATCAATAGTGATCATACTCGTGATACCTACTGTATTCAGGTTGTAAATGCCAATGTTCGAACTATCTCCCTCAAGACTGAAGATTCTAGCTTGACAAGCTTCGCCATTTCCTTGGGCGGAACATGCTGGTTCAAAGATGTCAGTATAAGTATCAACCTAGATAGATCGGAAAAAACTCACAAGTGCTATAATTATCAAAAAAACTGTACATTCCAGCGCCATATACATAGATATGCTCGCTATCAATGATCCGTAGACCCCATCCTTCTGCACAGTTTTCTCTCGTTGTATTTCCACATGAGTTGATGAAATCAGGATCATTCCATTCATCCAATGCTGGAAAGGGGTAAATTGCAATGGGGTTCGGTTGATAATAGGCAGTTTCCGTCTGAATTTGTCCCGCAAAAATATCTCTCGTACTATCAAATTGATATTGATATAAAGTATGATGCTCAACGGCAGTCCCAATAAACCATATAGCTCCTTTTCTAGATTCGCAATAAAGTCCACGGCCTGCGTAAATTGTGATTTGAGACAAATTAGGGTCGTCGACATCGTGATCGGCAACCCAAAACCAGTTATTTTCTAGGTAAAGACCAGATGCATGCTTGGTGATGTGCATTGACATGAAAGCAGCTCTGCACTCAAGAACAATCCCAGTACTATTAGAGGTGGCAGGACAGCGGTCCAACTGGAGATCAGAACCCACGAATCCGCCAATACGCGTGTGGACATCCCAAAGTCCGGAAGGAGACCACGCTGGACTGGCTAGATTCCATTGAATCAAAATGGCTCCTCCCATATATCCTTGTGTCGAAACAATCGTATCTGACCATTCAACAACACCTCTCTCCAAGGGGAGGCCAACTTGGACAACAGGCTGAGGATGATCGATATCTGTGAAAAATGATCCCGACCCCATGATGACTGGATATGATTCACCGACGATCCTCGAACGAGATGGAATATGAATAGTCGAAGAGACCATGTAAACTCCACTATCGATATAAACAATCTTATTGGCGATGGCCGCGAGTATAAACACATGATTCAATGCCTCCGTGTCATCAGTGACTCCATCTCCAGTAGCACCCGCTGTACGGACTGAAACGAACTCAGAAAGCGGAACGTCTTCATACTGAGGTTTTGAACGGGCGTAGAACTTTCCACGGGGGGAGAGAGACTCAGAGCGAGGAAAGGGAACAATGTATCCCTCAAAGCGGGTGGAGTTGTTTGGCGTATATTCGTTTCCTTCTCCCCACCCATTAATGATCATTGATTGGTTGCCAGTTCCAGCCAAAACAGTATTCTGCGATTCTTGTATGGCAATTGGAACATTCGTCAAATGGATATTATCAAGAATAAGATTTCCAGCAGCCTCTGGCAAAGATGAATTATTGTAAGCTGTAATGATAGCGACATCGGTATCTCTGAAGCTACTGTCAATTAATGTGACAGACACTACAGCTTGGTCTGATGATCCGCCTGAGGACATATTTAAGCCAGTGGTACAATTGTTGACATTGATTCCCATATATGTCCATCCCCAGTCCCAGATTTGGTCAATGGCTGTTACAACATTATTGAAGGTTAAGTTTCGAACTGTAAATTGCTGGTTGCCAAATACGGCCCCTGTTTTGCCGCCATTGAAGATCAAATCATTCATGAAGCCACCGGAGCCTATTTTGTGTAAGCGTGGAGCATTGGAGTTATGACATAAACGAAGTGGATGGCTATAAGGAGTGAGAATCGCCAGGTGGCCAACGTACCTCCCTCGATGAACAAGCCTTGCTGCTGAGTTCCAGTTGCATCGCTCATTTGAAATACAATATTCTGTAAACTGGTGGCTTGTGCAGTAGGCCAGTGAATTCCATAGGCTGAAGAATTAGACGGTATTTCAGTCAGATCTAACATCAGATTACGAATTTGACGATAGAAGACGTTTGTGGCTCCAAAATTGAGTCCATTGGCCCCATATGTATCTCCGTCAATCAAACCAAATCCAGTGAAATTTGCAGTGGCCTTAATTACGGGGAGCTGGTTTGGATTGCCTATAATCTGGGTGATGTAGTAATCAATGATGGAAGATGAGATGATATATGTCCCAGCTGGAAAGTAGACTGTGGCAGGAGTTGTTGTTGTAGATTGACAGTCGCCAGGCTTGCATCTTCCGCCAGAACTGATGGCTTTGTTGATAGCAGCAGTATCATCTGTTATACCATCCCCTTGACGATGTTAGAAAGCACTAATAAATGGGTATAAAAATATGATTATATCAACCTTTGGCTCCAAAATCTTTCACATTGCGAAATACTTGATAAGAGGTGTCGTTGAAATTGAAAGGGGCAAGTCCCTGATGAGCGATGTCCTCGAGCCAATATGATGGCGCAGAAGAATTCCTTGTCGTGGTGACATTACTAAATTTCCCAAACGAACTGGATATAGCCAATGAGCCCTTGACTGACCCAAGCTGAATAGTAGTAGTAGAGGTGAGGATCGAAATCACGCTCTTAAATAATAGATTTAAAGACAGAAATAGAAAGAAATGATGGATGCCCATATTTGTAAGGTGTTTCGAATGTTTTGGAATTTAATGAAAGTTCATTCTGTGAGCGAATCGGGTATGAATTTGAAAAGAGATATAAACAACCAAATGAATGTCGACGTTGTGTTTAGTCAGTTGAACAGAAAAACAAAAACAAAGAGACATTGAAGACACGGCAATAGAAATGTTGATATAAAAGCAAATACAAAATGAACTAGGTCAATGCGGTACCATTGTCACTTCCTAATAGGAAATCTGGATCACCTAGCCATCCTATCCAATATTTGTGGAAGTGACACAAGTGTATTCGTACTACTCATCTCCACCTATCTTCTTGCATGTTATCGCCCGTCTTACCTTGATGCTTTCAAGTGCGACAGGAACATCGATAACGGTGTCAATCCTGTCGAGTGGCCAATGTCCAAATTAAGATTTACCTCAGATCCATAAGAATCAAGTCTATCAGGGGCAGATGATGTCAATTGCATTTGCAGCTGAGGGAGAACTATTTTGGGAGATTCTGATCATCGAATGATCGTCGAATATTGAGACTAGACAAATACCAGTTCTTCAACGAAGTCTTCAGAGCTTGGAGCACGCGTGTCATTACACAACATCGTGCGAGGCTTTTCACTATCTGAAAATACGGCATGGCGGTCCAAATTGTTGAATTGACGTTCTTGATCTCAGTTCGGGGAGATTTCGTACTGTGAAGTGGAGGGAATATCGTGGAGCGTGTGTTGAGTCGTTGACGCGTCAGGCTTGGTCATGTGATCAGGACCTACTAAACAACGCACAAAATCACCCAATGCAAAACACACTTCCCTTTATATTGAATGAGATTTGATTGTAGGCACGATTAGGTGTACTGTAAGATTGAATAAAGTATCTACACATTATACGCTTCTCCCATCTGTAAATGTAAAACAAGGGATAGTCTTGACTCAAAAGGGTCCGATGTGTTTTGGATTCGATGGGTTTAACCTTATACGGTTTCAGATTCGTTTTTGTAAGATTTAAAAACATCGCAATTTTCGGTCCATTTATCATATTGCATTGCTACGAGCTCTAGTTACGGTTGACCGAAGAAAATTGAGTGTAATTTCGATCTGTATGCATTCATTACCCGTTCATTGAAGCTCTAGTTTCTATACTGATCATATCCTTTCCCGTTACCATTCTATCCTCCGAACCTTTAAGCCATCCACTCTATGTTGTCATTACTCGTTAACTTGGTGCGCTACACCATGGCGATATTTCATGGAAGCCATCCATAAAATCCTTCGCCCAATCATTGAAATGCCATTCCATACCAAATCACGATAGTGATACAGTAGAACTCGAAGCCGGAGTATCTACCACAACTCTTGAAGTAACTTTCATATCATGCTTATCATCCTTTTCGCACTTCCCCTCATCCTGTGGTCCCAGATACTCCACGGGTCCCAATTCCAAAACTCCACCACCTGTGACTGCACCCTTCCTATCTCCTTTCCTAAAACTAGCATCGATTTCCTCCAAACTCTTCCCCCTCGTCTCCGGCATCCAAAACACTGCCACAACGACTGTTACTAAAGCAGCACTTCCCCACAACCAATAACATCCACTTGTGCTCTTTGACAGAAAGATAGGTGTCGTGAATGCTATTATCCAATTCACCACCCAATTAGCACTCAACCCCAAACTCGTTGCTCCGGCCCTCGTTTTTGCACTTTGAATCTCGGCCACGTATACTCTAAATGTTACGGCCCATGTGGCAGAAAAGATAATGGCGAAGAGGTAGATGCAGATGATAACGACCCAGCGACCGGCGCCATGGGAGGAATGTACAGAGTCGGAGGCATAGAGAGAGGCGATGATGAACATGACAATAAATTGGCCAGCACCACCGACAATGGTGCTAGTTCTGCGTCCCCATTTATCGGCGAGCATAAAAGTAGGGATGGTTGTAAGGAAGATCAGGAGAGCGGAAATACCCGAAGCGAGAAAGGAGGCCGTTGAGGAAGTTAAGCCGGCGGATTGAAAGAGGAGGGGTGCGTACTGATTTTGTCAGTTTTGAGATGTGAGAGTATAGGAGTAAATTGGAGAGACATACATATAAAACACCATCAATACCAGCCGCCTGCTGGATTCCCATCAAGAATAACCCCAAAACTGTCCTCTTCCACGCATCTGGTGCAAAAATCGCGAACATATCTTTCGCTTTCACTTTCTGGTCCGCCTTTTGGTTATCATCTACGTCATCCTCCACTGTTTCTCTCTCTTTTTCCGGGAGGTTTAAATCTGACCATACCCGCTCCGCTTCCTCAAACTTTCCTCTTGCCGCTAACCATCTTGGGCTTTGTGGTAAAAACAGCATAGTGCTGGCCGTGAACAAGAATGCGATAATTGCTTGTACCGCAAATGGTAATCTCCAACTCAAGCTTGATTCTATTCCCACAGAACCATAACACATAAAATAGCCAACTAGAACCCCCATCGTGGTGACGAGCTGAGGAAGACTAGCCAAAGTACCTCGTTGGGAAGGTGGTGATATCTCGGTAATGTAGACGACTAATGTGCTTAGGAAAAAGCCCTCGCCAACTCCTTTGATAGCGCGCCCGATGAAAAGCTGAGGAAGGTGGAAAGAAGAACATTCGATAGCAGCGCCAATACCAAAGATGAAGGAGCCGATTGCAGTAGCTGATAAGCGACCAAGAGAATTGGCCAAATGACCAGTGAATATTGAGGAGAGAGCTGCGGGTATGAGAATTGTGGAGACAAGTAGGCCATGCTGGAGAGGGCGGATTGCGTTAGTTTTAGTTGGGCAAGACAAGCGAAGGTGAAATAATGAGAAGGGGGGCTACACACAACTGTTGATGAGAGTTTGCCGAAAGTGTCGTCGAATTGAGGCATCACTGTTAGGGGACCAATAGTCCCCGTATCAAGGCCAAATAGAATACCACCGATTGATATAATGATGGATGCTTGTATGTATCTTGGGGGCATCGTTGAGCATTTGGCAAGCCATGGCTTGCAGGAGGAAGAAATGGTCATATCTTCGAGATCAAGGAGATTATGAGGTTATGAAGGTATATTGAAAAATTGTACACTGATGGAGGGGTTCAATATTGAAGAAGAAGAGAAGAATTGAAGACACAACTATGTGAGAAAGAAATAGAGGATAATATAGAGATGTACTTATCTTCAACTGTTACACTATCACTCACTGTTTCCACAGAATATTGGAAAATCTAGATACAACCGCAACATTGATGACTTGACATTGCGGACAACCTGCCTGCTCGCGTTTCTTTTTCGAATGATAAGGAATTATTGTGGATATTTTTGAGGATAAAAGAAAAGTCTTCTGTGTTTGATATAAGCTTAACTTACCTTATCGACATGTAAGTAGCTAGTTTCAAAAGAATCCGAAAATAGTGGAGAGCTGAAGCTGGGAAACTTTGCCGATAGGGTAGAACTGTTTGTGCCTAAGCGGTCAGATTTTTTACGCATGACCACATCAGGAAATTCCGACTGACACTGAAGATATTCACAGTGTAGAGAACTCAATTCCAATTTTGATTCTTGATTCGACTGTTGTAGTATACTTCAAGATGAGTGATGTACTCAAACGTTAGAAATTCGGAGTCGACCTTTGATGATATGTTGACACGTGACCCAGCAGACAAACAAGAACTCCCTACTAAGGCAGCTCCACCTCGGAAGACTTTCCTTTCATTCATTGGTTCGCCACCACCCAGAGCATTTTCAACTAATGCCCGTAGCAATGCTCAGGACTTCAGATTCGATGTTAAAGTCGTCAATTCATGTTTCGTGCGTGAGTGTGAGTTAACAACAGCATCAAAATCATTTCAAATGACGAGCAAGCCCGTTCGTTGTCTGGCGAGGAAGTGAATTGACACCCAAATTACCGAAGCTATTTCTTGGGGACACCATGACTGGGTACATGAGCTAAGAATGTCATGGGTTAACATCGGAATAGAAATAAAACTTGTATGGAAAAATACTTTACCGAGACGAAGTTTTCAAGTTAAGAAGACTATTTGCAGCTATCTCGAATGTTTCGGAATCAAATCTTTAATGCACCTTGCGAGCTTAGCTCAATCCATCTCGCCTCGTCGCAACATACATTTATAGGGCACAGGTTATCGCAACTCTATCAATGAAGTGTGCGCAGATGGCTTCTGTCACGACAACTTAACTTTGCTATTCCAGTGTTTCCAATAGTTCAGACTGCAAGTCCATTTCACAATTCGAGTTTTGAGATTTTGAAGATACTATCATCGATTTCATGTATTCATTCTTCCAAATCAATCTAATAATTGGGATTGTTTCAATATACGAAATGATTTCATTGTTTAATGGGATTGAATACTCCAAAGTTCTTGATTGTTGGACTGCAACCCGGACTATTGGACACCCTATCGTATCCTGTCTTTTCCTAAGGATATGAGATAGATCTGCTTAGATGTTCTTCGAATGAAAAACTATTTGGGGTATCATCCGTGATAGTGTTCAAAGATCCAAAGACCAACGGGGGCGCGTGGACTGAGAATGATCGAACTGTGATGAATTCTGTGCTTGGACACATTCTTTCTGAAGAGTGAGCACAGATTGGTCAAATATGACAATGGTATTTAGGTCCATCGAAGGATGCAACAATGCCATTGTCGCCTTGAGGTTCGATGGTCTTACGAATCACGTAAGATTAAGGAATTTTGTTCTATTGAAAGGTAGGCATTTGACAATCGACACAAATCTCTATTAATTTCAGGAAAGCGAGGATGTACGGGTGCTTAACAAAGGGTTAGATTCAATGTGAGTTATTCATAAGAGGCTTTTTGAGGGTATGAAGTAGGTTTAGATCAAAGAGGAGTTAGCCCCTTTCAGATGATCGCGGCACTTTCCCACACTAACTCAGCCTATCTGATGGTTGTGACTAAATTTTGATCTGATAACTCCATACCTTTACGCGTCCTTCAATGATCATCGCCGCTGCACAGTTATCCTTTACTTTCAAGCAAGCATCAAACACACACTGTGCTGCCCGGCGCTTCTATCATGGTTGCACTCGATTTCTAATCCACCAAGAGTTTCGGGACCGACTCGGGACCGAAGAACAGCTTGATTGCTATACTATATGTTTTACGTTTGGAGAATCATTCGTATGGTACCTACTCCAGTTTTTAGACTACGCATAGACTTGTTGCTCCAGCCATTTAAATGATTGTCTTCATTATTTGAGTTATAGTGGAGAATGGGCCTGACAGGGCTTGCAAATAACCTTCATTTATGCTTCCAGTAGCTTCGGGATCGGGTGAGTATGAAGCATTAAAACATACCATGGACCGGTACTTAATACCAGGGATGAAAACCTATCAAAACTTCGGTCATGACTCCAGTTTGACACTTATGTTCCTTCCGAGGTCTTCGGGGTAAGCCCTCTGTTGGGATAGACACACCTCCGGCAACCCTCGAGTCATCTTGATGAAGAATCTTTCTCATTATTAGGAGGGCTCGGGGGTACGTACCTGTGGTTGGATCCTTCCAGTATCCATGTAGCCCCACGCCACCGAGAAGTACCGGATTGGTTTGATTGTGGGGACCATACTTATCATGCCATGCTGAGAGTTCCTTTGTAGTGTTTGCTTGCGTTGAGTGGTCTGACAGATTCTTCGTAGAAGGTCGGAGACTTTCACGGGAAACTATTTAGCAGAAACACTTGAAAATTGATCTAATATTGACAGTCACTTCTCAACTCGGAATGTAGTTGTTGGAGAAATGGAACTTCCTATTCGAGGAGAAGGAATGATCGATCAACACAGCTTGTGGTCAAGATAATGCATCGGGACCGAGAACACGTACCTGGACCGCCAGAAAGCGCACAACTCCGAAGTTTTGAACGCCAAGGAACAAGGGTAATCTCTTTGTAGTTTGCAACCATATGGCATTTGTTAGCGTATTGAAGGTTGTCGAGTAAACTCTACTGCCACGAGTGTCAGATGCACCTGCTAAATCAAAGATTTTAGCTCCGAGCAATCTAGAAGTTCCCCTGCATATAGAAACAAAAACTGGGCCGGGCACTGTGATGACGTTTGCGACTTGCCTGTCCACTATGGAGCATATCCTAACAGAATCATTGTGAAGTCAAGTATATATAGTAGCTGCTCCGATACATCCAGAGTCTCAATAGCTCAACACCAGTTCTATCGATTTCACCATGTTGTCTACTCTTGCTCTTTCCCTCCTCTCAGCAGTGCCAATGGCTGCAGCTCTTGCACCAGGCCTCACCCTTGAGTACTCGCTCGAGTTACCTACCCAAGGTATCTTCATCTCCGCCGATGGACGCAAGTTCCTTTCCCAGCGTTACTCTACTACTCTGCCACCAATTACCGTAGAGCTCCTCGCCGATAACACAACTGTCATGTATCCCGACGTCTATTGGAACTCTTACAACGCAAGCGACCCCAGCTCTGATCCTAGTCTCCAGTTTGTCAGCATCGACGGTGCCAGAATCGGACCCGATGGTCGTTACTGGTTGGTCGATGGTGGTTCAAGCGGTGTCAACGGATCCACCAAGTTGGTTGGATGCAACCTTACCACCGATACCGTAGACAAGATCTACTACCTCGACAGCATCATCGCTTCCAACAGCGGTATTGATGATGTTCGTTTCAGTGCCAGTGGTGAGGTCGCTTATCTCAGTGACACTGCCGGTGCTCTCGTCGTTTTGAACATGACCACTGGAGACGGAGTCCGTGTTCTCGTTGACGACCCATCCGCCGTTGCCTTCTTCCCTATGATGTACAACCATACACTTGTTCCAGGTTACGGTGCCGCGGGTAGCACACTCGCTGTTGGCCTCGACCAAATTGAGGTCTCCCCTGACGGAGTCTACCTCTACTACCAACCATGTAACGGAGGACTTTACCGTATCGAGACTGCTTACGTCGATGCCGCATTGACCAACGCCACCATGGCTGCCAGCCTTGGTGATCTCACTGAGCCCTTCGCCTTGACCCCAAGTACCGGTGGATCCACCATTGATGGTGATGGAAACGTCTATGTTAGCGACACCAACTTGCTCGCTATCTGGAAGGTCACCCCTGATGGGTACGCATCCATTCTTGTTCAAGATGATGCTTTGATCTGGACTGATCTCATGTGGGTCACTTCTGACAAGAAGTTGCTGCTTCCAGCATCCCAAATGAGACCTGGTGGAAACGGATTGATGGCTGAGGGACCAAACAACATCTTCTCCTACCCAATTGACGCTGGTCCATCCCCAATTGACCACGCTTAAGTTTTCGTCCTCGACGATCACTTAGCTGGGATGTGAGGAAATTGATTCAGGCATCAAAGACCTGTATATATTAGTTAATTTCTCCCGAGAATGTTTGGCTCCCGAACTCCGGACTGTGGGTTCGTCTTAAGCTATGTATATAGTTGATTAAAGGTTATTACTTCGAACCTAATAAGAAAAGTTCAATATTTTCAGCACACTTGACCTGACTAATTGACTGACTGATTGACGCTTTGACATGACCATCAAATTTCGGAAATGTTCTCATGACTGCATCAAATGCTCCAGAGCTATTTCTTGACAAGTCAAAAACTCAACACATAAAGAATGATTGCAATACCTCGAACCGATATTCATGCCATTCAGTCTCCCCTAATTTGTGATTTTAATGACCTAGCTTCTCAGCTGGCCGACCTTCCGTAGCTTTTTTACCCTTTGCCCTTGTCATTCAAATGTCATCTTATACAAACACTGAGTAGGTCATAAGATCCCGCAGTTTCATTTAAGTTACATCTCCTTTTTTGTGTCACTTCGCCCTGCCCATGTTGCCGTCAGAAACGTGATTAATAGTGCAAGCCATCTTAGATATAAGAGCATTCACTATTTGAGACTTTGCGAGTATTGGACAATCATTTGATATTCAGGATAGCGCTGTTATTTGAGAAGGACGGAATGAACTGAATGATTCAAATGAGTCGAAGAATAATAAGTACATTACTACCCTGCTTATCCGAAAGTATCGCTGTTATAATTGACGTGATCTGACTACTTTTTCGCTGTTGATAGTTGATATCTGAACCCTCAGATTTCTAGAGTCATTACGATGACACCTCACTTAGCCGTCTACAGCCGTTACCAATATGCCCCCGTTAACCTATTGACCCAAAGTTGATTTCCAGTCGACCTTATAACTGCACCAGTAACAAACATATCCTTTCTCTCAATCGGCATCGGTATAGCCAGCATTGGTGGTCCCCATGATGGTTCTTGCAACTTCGGAGCACGTATAATTTGGACTTCAATCAATCTCTTCATTAACACCCCGAACAAATCCTGCCAACCGGGCCCACCTTGATTAGTTATGAATCTCTCCAGAGTAGCTTCATCCATAATAATATACTTCAGCCTTCCAATATCCAGCTCTCTACAATTCTTCTTCCCATCGTCCCACTCAGGAGGTGGCGGAGGTAACAGCTCAAACTCCGGTAAAATCGCCTCAGGATGTGAAGCATCATACATAAACAGGGTTTCCCGACCACAATCGAACCAAACACCATTCCTTAACCAAGTAAAAGTTCTGTAACATTGCTGTCGAGCTGCGTGGCAGACGTGGAAACAAGGAGGAAGACGTCTGAGATCAGGATCTCGAGGGGTCATAGTGTATTTATGTTGATCCGTTGTATCCTTATTCTGACGAGGCAAACGGCCTTTGCTTTGACAAGGAAGAAGTGTGACTGGAAGTGAAGATCCCCATATCTTACGAGCGTCGTAGTGGATCATTCGAGGCGGGTAGTGAAAACGGGTCAAGTCGAAGATATACTGGCGGAGCTCGGGGTGTAGAAGGGGAAACATTCTGTCAAAGGAGGTAAGAGGGGTACAGTTGACATCATCCTTGGTTGTTGTCGATGACATGATTAAGAATGAAAGCTCTTTGTTTGGGTGTGTGTGCTAGTAAAAGATATTGCAAAAATAAAGCAACGGTATTTTCTGTGAGTTGACAATGTAGTGTTTAAGATGTCAAGATGAGGTTCACCAAGTAATTTTTATCATAATGCAGTGGGTGGTTCCTTCTCTGTTTTCGAGTAGGGAACCTGTTCAAAGAAAAGATGATCCAACGAGGTTGCCTTGGATTCCCATATCGCTCTCAATTTACTTATCCATGAGCAATTCCTTCCCTATCCTTGGACAGCAAGTTGGTCAAACTTTTGACGATGAGCAACTCCAAACTTTTCTTCCTTTATTAATCCATTCTCTCCACATTCCTTCCGCATTCCTTCGCTATTTAAGAAATGCTATGTTGGCCAGTCAAACTTTTGACCGAACTTCCCTATCAACTTGATCCATCTTCTCCATAATCCTTTTCTGTTCTCGGAATATCGTATATGTAGGTCGACGTGGTAAACATGGACAATCTAAAATTCCGAACCGCCTTGCCGTAGTTTGTTCACCACTCGTATAACAATCGAGGATACAGCGAGAAGGACGACAAGAGTTGCCCACTTCAAACCTTATTCATTAAGAAGGGCTGACTCCTGGTGACGTTGTCCACGGCAGAAGAACCACCTTAACTTCCGACTCCGAGTTTCTGAATCACGTGTTTGGTATCGAAATCTACGAGACATTTTGATGTACCGGTGTGGCTCAGAATCAAGGCTTAATCATGTAATCTCAGATCGCATTCTGTTTGTTTTCATTCGTTGCAAACCTCTCGGTTGCGGAGCTATTTCGCCCCTTCATCTTCATTCATGCCAAAATTACCTCTCCCCATCTTCTTATTTTCACCTGGTCTTCTGTAGTCCCCATAAATCACCATCTATCCCCATTCACACCTCTCTTTGATCAAACATGAAGGCCAATAACAACTACCCACGGACTATGGAAATCTGTGAGCCGGTCCGTATGCCGATCATACCACCATACTCACCGACGCCAATAGCACCAACTAAGCTTGCTTCTGTTTAGTTTTGCGAGAGACATACGCTCTAACAATGAGCCTCGGTATCATTTGTTGAGATTGAGAGCATGTCTTAACGGTAAATGCAAATACCACATTATTTCTCTCTTTCCTTTCAAATGTTTCATGTATTCTAAATATTGAGCCTCGGAGTATATCTTTGATCCATTTCCTGCATGATTTCTCGCCTTCCGATTCTTATATCTTCCAGTTTCTCTATCTCAATTTCTTACTTTGCCCGATACCGTCACTGTATCTCTTACCGAGCTTTACTTTCAATATAGCATCAACATCTATTGCGTATACCTCCTTACTGTAGATCCTTACAACAACAAAAATAAGCATAATGGGTTCTATCCAAAGATCTGGGAATTGCGATTACGACATTGTTATCGTTGGTGCTGGTTTATCGGGGATTAATGCTGCATAGTAAGACCTAATCCTTTGACATTGAATTCTTATCCATGTTACTCTATTTAGCGATCCAAGTACTTGGGTACCAAATTTTCAAGTCAGATAGCTAACACTTTGCAGTCGTATCCAAACAGAACTCCCAGGCTTGACCTATACTATACTCGAGAATCGCGGAGCAATTGGCGGAACGTGGGATCTATTTCGATATCCTGGTATCAGATCCGATTCAGATTTACATACATTTGGATTCCCATGGCGGCCATGGATGAGCTCCCAGTCAATCGCTGACGGTGAATCAATCTGCAAATATTTCAAAGAATCTGCCGAGGAATATGGTATTGATAAGAAGATACAATTCCACCATAATGTTACTTCGGCAGACTGGTCGACGGAACAACAACAATGGTCATTATCAGTTGATGCTGGTGGACAAAAGAGCACTATAAAAGGACGATGGATCATTTGGAGCACAGGTTATTATGACTACAGCGAGCCATTGAGAGTCGAAATACCTGGATTAGACAACTTCAAGGGCAAGAGGATACATCCTCAATTCTGGCCCCAAGATCTCGATTACACAGACAAGAAAATAGTCGTGATTGGAAGTGGTGCCACGGCAATTACACTGATACCAAATCTGGCAGACAAGGCAGCCAAAATAACAATGTTACAACGAAGTCCTTCATGGATACTAGGAGTTCCCGCAAGAGATTCCACCGGAAGTTCCATGCGCAAATATCTTCCAAGTTGGATGGCTAGCCAATTGATACGTTGGAGATTTCTCGTATTCCCATTACTATTCTTCCATTTCTGTCGCCAGTTTCCCAGTACCGCTTGCAAAATCCTTCGAGCAAGAACCAAGAAAGAAATTCCATCAAACTTTCCCATCGATCCCAACTTCAGCCCCAAATATAATCCTTGGGAACAACGTCTATGCGTCTGCCCAGACAGTGATTTCTTCAAATGTCTTCACTCGGGAAAAGCCGATGTCGTAACTGATACCATCAAAACCGTAACATCATCCGGTATTGACCTCGAATCAGGGAAAAGTCTCGATGCAGATATAATCATCACAGCCACCGGACTTAAAATGCAACTTGCCGGTGGCGCCAAAGTGAACATCGACGGCGTCCCCTACGACTATTCCACCAAATACATGTGGAAAGGCATGATGCTCCAAGACATGCCTAACGCAGTAACAGTCATCGGTTATACAAACGCCTCATGGACATTAGGAGCTGATACTACCGCGGGAGTATTAGTTCGATTGCTTAAGCACATGCGAGATAACAATATCGTATCAGCTGTACCGAAAGTTCATGGCGAGAAGATGGACTCTCAACCCATGTTGAATTTGAGCAGTACGTATGTGGAGAAGGCAAAGGGATATATGCCTATGGCCGGGGACAGGGGCCCATGGAAACCGAGGCAAAATTATCTTGTTGATTATTGGGTTGCGCAGTATGGGGATTACACAGAGGAATTGGAGTTTACTACCGCTGGAGGTGCAGGGTTTGATAAGAATCAATGATTGTAATGTTTGTACGAATTGCACGGAAGATGAATTGGCTAAATGGGAGTTTGGATGTAAATTCTGTTACAATATGTGTGGTATGTATAAACTTTATTTCAAGGAAAATGTTCATCATCATGTTAAAGTATGAGTTCACGATACAGATTTATGCAATATCATATGGTTTTCGATATACATTTTGTCCTTGCGAATTTTCATTTCTGATATTTTTGAATTCCTGCATCTCCATAATTTCAGCAATCATCCATACAAATAAACGATCTGGAATGCAGTTAGTTTTTTCTTCTCAAAAGCTACAAGGCACATCTCAAAGCACATGTCCAATCTATAAGACATTTAGGATTCCTATTATCGAAACCCTTACTGTAGCAGCGTTTTCTCTCTTTTTCACATCTCGAACTTGTAATCTCACAGATAAATTTGTTGGGTTTAACTTGATATGCTCCGTAGAGCTCGAGTACACGAGGCGGAATCAGGATACATTGATCATGAGTGATTCAGATCGAGGACTACGAGTTTGACAGTGAGTGATTTTTTCCAGCTCGTGAGTAGTTCTACAATCATCATTGTATGCGAGAGCCGCTCAAGTCGGGAGGCGTGTTCACAGCTATGCGATGTCAAATAAGATTCGTTGCACAGCAGCGTGATGGTTTTGGTTTACATTGCAAGACTTGGGAACTTCTGAGAGAGAGAGAGAGAGAGGCACAAGAAAGGAGGTGCTGCTACCTAGTAGTTACTAGTAGCAAGACGGCTGGTCTTCAGATGTTCAGCAAAATTAGTGTTTTGAGAGGGAAGAGGGAGTTTTGCTATCCCGCACCCTTCTCGCGTTGAGTTTCATGATGTCTCTGTCCCTGTACTTTGCGGGTAAACGACGACGATGGCGACGAGTACAGACTGTACAGTGGGAGAATTATCCGCGTTAGCGCGGCGATCAAGCAGGATGAAATAATTTCGTACTGTAGTACGGATGCGGGAATTGCGAGAGGGGATTCGGCGCAAGATATGCGGATGAGGGAGATGGGGAATGGGAGAGTTGGAAACGAGATCTGTGGGGATGGATGTGAGGAGGGAGAAGGAGAGGGAGAGGGAGAGGGAGAGGGAGAGAGAGAGGGAGAGGGAGATAGAGAGGTTGTGGTGAGAGTAGGGATGCGAGGACGTATGAGGTGGGAGGGTACAGATACCGTAGGAGGAATGTTGGTATTTGGTGGTTGGATCGGTTGGGTGCGACGGATGTATAGATTCATCTCCGTAGTTTATCGCTACAACCTGTAATCGAAACATCAGAAACTGATTGCTAGGGTGAATCTTCCCAACTCAGAATAACAATGTAAGACTTAATCTGAAGGAAGGAAAAGTTTACATACCATCACCGTCATCATCATCATCAATTATCTATCAGATAAGCCTTTGAAGTTTGGAGTTTGAAGTTTGGTGTTTGAAGTTTGGTGTTTGAAGTTTGAATTACCACGATCAGTGGGGTCAAGCCAGCACTTTACAAGAAAGCGAATTGATTACTCTCCGATATATATATATATATATATATATAGATATATGTATAAACATCATCAGCGTTTATTATATCCAACTATCAGTATCTCATCCTTTAATAAATGAACAAAACACCATTGAAAGATTTCACATTCAACACCCATTTCCCATCGACATGACACAACTTTATCAATTCCAAGTCTTCACATCTACATACTCCAATTCTCACCCACCGATTGAACATATCTATTTACAATTCATCAATCCTCCCCAAGACCCACTGCAAATGTCTATAACTACTCCTCGGCTGAAACTGCGGCTGCATATGTCCACTCAGAAACGTCTCCGCCCACATCAACCCGCGTTCAAAATGCTGCACTCCCATCGTTCCCTGCGGTTCATCCACCGGTCCAAACCCCTCCTCGATAAACAAATCCCCATACTGCAAATCCGGCAACGTAATCACAATCGGTTTTTCGGGTTTCTCTTGGAACCCCAATTTTCCTCCCCACGTCATATTTTGAATGGCGAGAAGTGTGCCATTGGTGAGGATTTCGTAATCGAGATTGCCATTGGCGATGAGGACACGATTGGTGGCTTCGATGACGCGGGGAAGAACGGATTGAATGGGGTCTGCACTGAGATCACCTTCTTGTTCGGGTCCTCCTTCGCCGTCGTCACCTCCGATGAATACGGGGCCGGAACATTCGCTCCAGTCGATTTCCATGGGTGCGTGCATGGCCTTTTTCACATCTGTACGGTTGAAATAGATTTGATCGAATCCTGGATACAGATACTGCAAGTCCGTTGGATAACCTAGTGGATCGGATGGGAGAGGACATTGAGTAACGATTTCATAAACGTTGAAACAGGGGTTTGGCCCATATGCTGCATTGTAGATTGAACCCCAGAGATCACATGCTAGATCAGTCTCATTGTTGTAGTCGAAGTATTTAGGGGGCTGAACGCCAGATGGTGGAAAAGTTAAATATTGCGAGATAAAATCCGAATAGCCGCATGATTCGTGAAGAGCTTCTAATTGAGCCACGAAACTTGCATTGAGGCCGAAGATGTTGTTATTCTGGAGGAGGAATGGAACGGCTGGTGCTTCTTGTTGGGCATATACATAGGAGCCAATGACAGGGTCATAAGCCAAAGCTCCTATTTGATGTTAGTGATAGAATTACTTGAAATTCGATGACTAGAGAATACTCACCAGACACATCAAAATAATCCGTATCGTTTCTCTCCAACATAGCCAACGATATATACGGGACATATCTTCCTGCATAACTCTCTCCCGTGACATAAATTTTGAAATTCTTAATCCCGAACGTCTTTTGGAAATTCAGGAAAAAGTTGACAAAATCCTCTGCGATATCTTCTTCAGTTGTAGCAGTCACTTCACCAATCGAGAATCCCGTTCCAACTGGTTGTTCGACCCTTTTCACCATTAGTCACGCGAGATTCTCTCAAATGGATGCCGCACGGGCAGTAATTCTACACACCAAAGAACATTCGTCAGATTAACCCAAGAATATGGATTAATCTGCGGAGTATACATTCCCCAACTCCAGATAAACCGTCCATTTTCTTGAAAGAAGGCTTCCAAAGAACTGCAGCCTATCTCATCATCAGCTTCTTCTTACAATCTTCCATCCCAGATGCCAAAGTAACTACAAGCACAACTCACCAGGACCTCCATTCAACCAAATAGTAACTTCATCAACCGGTTCTCCAACCGTCGGTTCAAAAACAAAATAAAGCCCTCTTGATTTATTTTTCATATCAATTGGCATTAATCCCGCGTACATTTCTCCGATATCAAAGGGAATATCCGGGAGAGATTTTACTCTATATTCTACACAACACCGGTCGTTAGCTCTGACTCTCACAACACAGCACAAGGCAACATCCCCTCCTCCTCTTCCCTCATTCCCAAATCCTCCATTCCTCTCCAAATCTCTCAAAACCCCAACTACAACTCACCCTCTGTATGTTTATTTAGAAACCTAAACCCCTCCGTCCCATTCCCATGCCCATGTCCATATCCCGGATGGTTCCTCTTTCTATTCCCCTCGACCCTCTCTTTCAGATCCGGATGATACCCCTTGGCATGCGAGAAATCCGAAAACCGACCTGCTAGAATTGTCGTTGCAAAGACACACAGGAAAACCAGTATTTGTCTAATATTCAACGACATCTTGATGGTTTCGCGGACAAAAACCTTTCGCAGCGTGTTTATCGATTTGGGGAAGTTCTCGAGCTGCACTTCGGGAGATGGATTTCTTTCCTTGATTACTACCTAGGTAATTAGAGTTTGAGACTCTGGGATAGAAGAGAATCACTCAATGGCCATCAAACCTGCAAAAGCAAGAGTAATCGCAATAGTATCAAGGAGAAACAATGAAGAAAGAAAGAGAGAGAAGAGAATAAGTAACACAGCTCTTTCCCTCACATGACATAACAAGACGATTCGCCCAACAGAAACCCCGATTCCGAATCTACCTGGATGCATAGGTAGGTAGATACTATCTCGTAGTTTGTGCATTGCATTGCATATAACCCCAGTACATACATATCGAATATGCAATCTATCGTCATCGATATCAGCACTCTCCTTCCTCTGAGCTCTAGTGGGAAACCTCCTTTCCTTACTCCTATAGCATACGAGGTGCGTCAACCCGAACTTTCAAACCGTGTCACAATCGCAAAGATCAGATTGTCAACCCTGTTAAATCTCTCCTTTCTGCCCTGTCACAATATCATAATCACCAGTACCCAGCTACCTAGCTACCAAACCCCAGGAACCCCTCAGTTTCTCACCTCGGAATCAATTCTCACAATTGGATACCGTATGGTGACAGAGTAATCGTCTTGCTGCGGTGCGATGCGGGTCTACAAACCCAGCTATCTGTATAGAAATTTTCTTCCGGGTGATCCTGCCCAATCTCATATCATGATATCATAATGTAAGATGCGAGATGCACGATATAATGAACTCGTCAGATACACAGTGCAAACCATCGAGCTTCCTCTTTCGTCACTTTCAGATCAATTTTGCGTGGCCAATCGATCCATGTATTTTGTTAAGCTAGTCTGGAATAGAATACGAGTGGGTAAATGTACCAATGGGAGACTACAAAAAAAAGACTTGTGAAAATCTCTTGATAACTGTATTAAATTATTTATTTTAGGAATTGTTGCAATTGTTAATAATGAGAGATGGAACAAGTTAATCAACACGAAAATTCTGATATCAAACAACGGAAGAATGGATGTGCGAAAAATATCGAAAGTTGGGAGGTGTCCTGTTGGTCTGCATACCCACTGGTGAAAGAGATTCAGGAGGATATTCGGAATCGCATGGAGTGAAATGGAATGCATGGAATGCATGGACCTGCATACCTCCTACCTGCATACCTACCTACATATCGCTCGCAAGCATACCATTCGTAAGCCTCTGATAATGTTATCTAAAGTCAGGTTATCTGTGAAGTGATACCACGTACCTACCCCTACCTAATATACATCCATCCATCCAAACACACACATCCACACATCCATCCAGCAATCCCTCATCCCATCCCATCCCATAAGTATCTCATCCAAAAACCATCCATCTCGTGATCTAAGCCCAAAGCACACATCAACCACCCAGGAAGCCAGGTGTATCGACAATACCAACGTGACCTAGTAGGTATATCTAGTAGTTCCCAGTTCCCACTTATTCGCACAAGTATCTAGATAAGAGATCCTGATAACAGTCAGACTAATGCGGGGTAACCCAGATATTCATCCACGAATTCGCCTCGCTTCCTCTCTTCTCCAGGCGGTGAGAAGCTGACTGATCGAGGTGAAGTGTAACGGCTCGGGAATCCTTCCAAAGTAGGGGTATCTTTCCCCGATCCGGTCCGGTCCGGTTCGGTTAGCTACATACTTTGCTATCTACTCATGAGGTACGAAGATGCTTTGTGTACACGATCATACATACTTGGGGCGCCTGAGAATGAAGAAAGCTATGTGATGAAATGCAATGAAAAGAGATCATGATTTTAAGAATTATCAATTTACTTTACTATTGCAATTATTCGTCTCTGCGTAATTTATATACAAATCCCTCCATAAGTTTTGAAACCTTTCCATCTCTATCTCCTAAATTCATTATCCTCCAATTGGACGTCTCGAGCCCAAAACTAATATTTCAAAACGAGTGCCTTCAATTTTTCAAAATTTGGTGTTCCCAATCCCGTGACTGGATCCCACCCTGTTGTCGCATTCCAACTTGCATATGGGATAACTGCTCCTCCAGGTACTGTTGCGCCAGTCTGTCCATTGACACCATTACATCCTACACTAGCTCCTCCGGTGATATCATTAAGAGCTCCTGTGCCAAGAAGATAAAGGAGCGGGTTAACAAATCCTAAAGCTGGTTTTCCTGCTTTGAATCGTGCGTCGTTAAGAAGACCGAGAATACCGGCAAGGACAGGAGCAGCGGCTGAAGTACCACCTGAAGGGGAAAGTTCACCGTCATAGACGACTTGGTAACTGGTTTTGGGTTAGTAAGTGTTTAGCAAGATTTAGTGGGGAATGAAAACATACTCAGGAGTCAAACTATGCGCCGAAATATCAGGGAAACCTCTTCCTGAGAAATTAGTGTAGCTCTCATAGTATTCCTTGGTGCTTGGACTAATATGTTTGCTCAAGTATTCATCCACAGCAGCTACTTGATACCAAGCGGTTGAGAAGTAGTTTGAGAAACCTCCTGAACCGTCATCCCAAGCGACTTCGGGAGCGACAGCTTGAGTACCCCTACAGATGTAATGTATGGGCAAGTACCAGGAAATTGGGGTTGGAAGTATGGGGTGTTGAGACCATCGTTTGCAACGCAACCAGCTCCTACGCCGGTGTCTCCTGAAGATTCAAGAACGGAGATACCGCGAAGACCCATGATACCGATCAAGTTGCAAACTCGTACGGCGTATGCATATGGAACTGTCTAAGTAATGGGTTAGTAATGGAACAACTCATCAAGGACGGAGAGGATCGGAGAAAACGTACATCTTCATCATCACCATAAGAGTTGGAGATGACTTGTGGTAAAGCGGAGTTTGGTTGAGACAACAAATACTCATAATATGGCAAATATGGCTCGTTGGAGTTATCGGCCGCAGTTGGTAGATCAATGTTAGGGATGAATGGTGGGGAGCCACCAGTGATGAATTCCTGAACAGGTAAAGGATGAGCAACACCAATAATGTTTTGGACATCAAGGTTTGCTTCGCCAATTTGAGCAGTAGCTTCATTTTGATCGTTGGTAGCTCCATTGATTAGAGTAACTGTGAAGTTCTGTTCTGGGATATCAAAGTAACTCTCATATTGAAAGAGATCGGCATAGAGAGCTGATTGGTTGAGGAAACTACCGAATCCGATTCTGCTACCGGATGAAACTGAGGGGGTATAATTTCCAATGTTGTATAATTCTTTGATGCACTTAGGAGTAATGGATGTTGAGCAAGCAGCATCAACTGTCACTTTCGAAGGTGAAGTAGCTCTCTTTACAATCTTAGTTGGCACATTTGCGACTGTCTTTCCGAAGTAAGTTGTTGGAGAGATGAGCTCGATATGTTCAGCAACGTCATCCGGGACGGAGTATTGAGTAGTTCGAACTTTCGTTACGCCATTACTTGTATAGCTTTGGAATGTTGCATTAAGCATCGAATTGGCCTTCTCAATTGTGGTGGCAAAGGAAATGGTCGATCCATCGCTCACAATATTTTGAGCACCAGCACTCGTCAACCATGAAGTAACCGCGGTGCTTGCATCCGCAGAAGGGGCAAACAAAGCATTGGCCTCATCAATATCGAGATGATTTCCATACTTTGCATTTCCTGGTGTGGAAACGGCAAGAAGCTTGGCTTCCAATTGATCGAGGTTTTGCATAGCGAGGCCAACTGTGAGGGTGATGGCCGCACTTGAATCTGTTTCCGAAGCAGCAGTCCATCCGCTAGGTGCTGCTGCCAATTTCTCCATGACGGCACCATATGCTGGGAGAGCTTGAGAAAGCAAACCCGCACAGATGGCGGTTTTGGGATACATCATGATTGAAGAGGATTGATGATATCAATTGACAGGCAATCGATTGAATCTTCAAAAACGAAGAGGGAGAAAGTAGAAATGGTGAGGAAATGAAGGAGAGAAGAAGCGGTGGCTAGAGAAGGAGGTGAAGAGGTAGAGGAAACCGACACGACGGTCAGGAAACGTAGCTCTTTATGAACACTTTCCCCAACCTCTGTCAATCTCCTCTTGCCATCAACACCTCGGATCACACAACATCGAATCTCCGCTTGTACCTGGCAACGCTCATGTATGTCGCCCGCACAATTTTGGTACTTGCAGGTGAAGATCACATCTGAGCGAATGATCGTTCACGATGATAATGACATGCCCCGCCATGGTAAGCCGATGCGATACCAAAGAGTATCATCCGAGCCATGTAATAAGGTACACCAGGGTAGCTTTGAAGCTTTATAACATATGCGGCAGGTGCATCTGCCAAGAACCACCAAAAGCTTAATCATCGGTATTCAATTGGAGTAAGCACCTTCCCATTCAGGATTAGATCCAATGTAGCTAACCCTTCAACGACTTTTGATGCATTTCAATTGACTTATCACTTCCTCAATGAGTAAGACAATTTCCGTGATTCCGTTGTAGCATTCCCCCGCTTTTGAGATGGTTACGATCATGGTTATGGTCATGATCCACGGTCAATGGTCAATGGCCTTTTTATCTGCAGATTTCCGGATTCAAGCTTTTGGTCAACAACGACGATGGGGAGGCAAACGAGGTAGAGTAGCTGAATGATAGGATGGGATGACCGTATCTGAAATAATGCGGCTTTTGTGTTGATATCTGCAGAAATCTTGTGATTTTCTTTTGATTGTGCAAGAAGGGACTGAGAATTCCATTCGATTCAATCCAATCTTCTTATCTTGGAGTCTCTGCGTTGTAGATCACGATTAATTGATTCCGTTATCTTTTGCTCGTATCGGTTATCCATGCCATGCTTGCTGTCGCACGGTCTCAAAATCCTGTCATGTCCAGAGAGTTTGGGGGCGAGAAGGAAAGGGAAGGGAAGGAAAGGAAAGGGAAGGGGAAGCCGAAAGAGCTTTTCTATAATGTGTAGGTGTGGAGATGAGATATACGAAGACATATGGTAATGATTCAACAAAGAGAGAAAATTGTTAAGAAGGATCTAGAAAGGCATTCATTTAGTTCATGGCATCAGTTGAGGATTGTCCAATGCAAATACTGGCATAGAATCCTTACTATGATTCGGAGATTTTCATAGAGATATTTGATATGTATGATAAGGTCATGTGCAGAAGGATCACGTGTCGTCTCAGACTCGCAGATGATATTTGTACCCAAGGGTCACATCATTCAAAAGGGATGGGACGATACTGTATCATCTAGGTATGTGAAATGTAGGTTATGTGAAAGGCAAGGTTATATAACAGGTCGATAGGTATTATAATTCAAAAGCACAAAGACACAATCATAATCTTAGCAAGGTCAAAAGTTCAAAATGCAAAATTCAAGGTCGAAAAAAATAACATTAATATTAATTCAAGATAATAAGGAAACCCCATCAAATCCTAATAAGACCAAGAAGATTCAATCTCTTCTCTCTTCTCTCTTCTCTCTTCCCTCGACACTCAACTCACCATTCATCCACATCTAGTCCTCATTCCTCCACACTCAACTCACCATTCATCCACATCTAGTCCTCATTCATCCACACACAACTGGCATCATGTCCGGGAATTCTCAATCTGCAGTCTGAGTGGTGGTCGGCATCGTCGTCTGCACAAATACACCACCGGGTAATGTGAGCATGGTGGTTGGTATGGGTTTATAAGTCGATACTCTAGTATGATTACTGTGAGATGGATGGGTGTGGTTAGAATCATGGGGTTCTGGGTTGGGTAGTTGGATTGCGGTGGTGAGTGTGATGAGGGTTGAGAGACTGGTTAGAGTTATGGATTTCATCTTGGATGGGATTTTGGGGGTTGGTTGGTTGGTTGGTTACTACTTTCCATTTGTGTCTTTATTGGTTTCAAGAAAGTAGGTTTGCGGTTGCGATAGACTCGGGGTGTGAATTGATTTGGGGAACAAGTTGGTGTTTATATATGGAATTTGCGGGAGTTGTTCTGTATGTCTGCATGGTGACAAGCAGCAAGTCAAGATTGGTATTTTCTTTGTTGTGATTGTTGTAGCAAGTGTCAGCTCCTTTGTATTCGAGACCCAGCGAGTGACAAAGAAATGTCACTTTGCTTTTTGGCTTGAGGAGATCTGATTGTTCTTGACGTTTCTCGAACGATTTGCTTATGTTCCGTCAAGCGAGTCAGAGGAGTAGTCTCGAAAATTACAAGGTAGCGAAACCATAGAAATACATGCGACACGTGACCCTCCGCAACGATCGTGCGTGTTGGGTTTGAGCAGACCAAGCACCCACCGATCTGCCAAGGCATCGATAAACTCAAATCCGTTTGCCAAACACAGCCCCGTTCCTTGGTTTGAAAATTGAATGATAAAAAAGGGGGGAACTGAGGTAATAGTCAAAATCGATAGCTGCCGGCGCTAGACTAGAATCTCTTGAGGAACTACGGGATCGGGACTGGATGCGTACGAAACGGGTATAGATGGCGTTTCCGAAAAGTTCCCGTGTTGATTTATTTGTAAAAAGTAGGTTGAAGAAATGAATGACGTTGGTGTTGATGTTGAAGTTGACGTTGACGTTGACAATTGATGCTTTGAATTCGATTTGAGGTATGGTCGAGCTTTGATTTCGAGGTTGATGAACCTTATTTGAAGTGATGCTGATCAACGTTTTGACATGTTCCATGCACATGCGGACGAATGCTCAATTGAAACAATGGATGGTGGTGGAGCATTTTATAAGTTAATATCAATCAAGAACGCGCAGTATACATGTACATTGAAGATCTAATATATAACCATGATGAAGATCACGCTATCTACTAGGTACTTGTATGTAAAGAATCCATACAGAAGTGCATTGGCTGATAGCGGTATGTGATATGATGTGAGTGATGTGGATGAGGTAGATGATGTAGATGATATAGATGGTATAGATAGATGACTAGATGAATAGATCATATAGATCATATAGATTACATGCATCACATGCATCACATGCATCATATGCATCATCCATATCATATTGGAGGTCGCTCATACTGGCACATCAAAATCCTGTTGATGTTTCCGCCTAGTCCAAATTACATGATTTGATTGGTCAACTGATGAAAATCACCCTTTTTCCCCATTGAGTAAGCAACCGACGTCATTTCCTTGTTACAACCATTCTCAAGTTCTCAACTATGACCCAGGATTCGTGTGATCGTCATGAACTAAAAGTCTATCCGTCCCACTTAACTCTCCAGATCCGCAAGAAAGCAATATCAACCATCTATCACTCCCGGAGCTTCCTTCTCGTTTCAATCAATTTATTAATTTGTTAATCTATCCATCGATCCATCTCTCATCCAACAAATCAATCTTTTGTGTCGACCATACACCTAATCCAAAGCTTCAAATTGACAAAAGTCCTGTGCTCGCAACACAACAAAGATACCCTTCGAATCAAACAATCCAACAGCCGTCACAATGCATCGCACATATTCCATGAGACAATCGCGGGCTCCAACTGTAAGTTATGCATACAAACTCGTGTGACCATGGCATATCGTTTCGCAAGATTAATTTGAACTCCTACTGACGAGTCTCTCTTCTTTCTTCTTCACAGGCCTCGCAACTTCAAAACCCCCCTCCACCACCTTCGAGTACAAAATCTGGAAAGTTCTTCGGCAGAAGCGGTCTCGGTCAGTACATTTCTTCTATGACGTTTGCGATGTGTTATACATGATGGATGTGGGGTATATGGAAGTTTCTGTACATAGGAAAAGGGATGGACGAGGGAAAGGCAGAACATCGAGTTGTTCTAGACAGCCCCTTTCAGATATGATTACATGATAGTGGACATACTGTTCTGGATATACCAAAATAGGGCGTGTCTGTATCGGGTATCATCATATCCGTCGCCGTCGCGAACCTTTATTTGAATTCTCATTGCGATAGCTATGAAGAATAACATTCGCTGTGTTATGCAAGGGATGATTTGCTGACAATTACCAATTCAGGCCATGCTATGCGACTCAAGACACACTCTGCCCTCAACACTAGAGGACCAGAGCTTTCCAAAAAGCTTGGTCAACTCGTGAAGATGGAGAAGAATGTCATGCGCAGTATGGAACTCGTCGGAAGAGAGAGAATGGAGGTAGCAGTAAGTAATTCTGGCCGTCACATTCAAGTGCATCAATTTGACATAGTATAGCAACAACTCTCCATTTGGGGTGAGGCTTGCGACGAAGATGTATCAGATGTTACCGACAAGCTCGGTGTATTGCTCTACGAAATCGGTGAACTTGAAGACCAATATGTTGATCGTTATGACCAATATCGTGTTACCATCAAGAGCATCAGAAACATCGAAGCTTCCGTTCAACCAAGCAGAGATCGCAAGCAAAAGATTACTGATCAAATTGCTCAACTCAAATACAAGGAGCCAGAATCTCCAAGAATTGTCGTTCTTGAGCAAGAATTGGTTCGTGCTGAGGCCGAATCTTTGGTCGCTGAAGCTCAACTTTCCAACATTACCCGTGAGAAGCTCAAGGCTGCTTACACCTATCAATTTGATGCTCTTCGTGAACATTGCGAAAAGGTCGCTATCATTGCTGGTTACGGAAAGCATCTTTTGGAACTTGTTGATGACACCCCTGTCACACCAGGTGAGACCCGACAAGCATATGATGGATATGAAGCTAGCAAGGCCATCATCCAAGATTGTGAGGATTCTTTAACCAACTGGGTTAACTCCAATGCGGCCGTCTCTTCCAACCTCTCTACTCGCGCTCGTACTTTGTCTCAACGTAGACGAAACAATATTCAACGTAACGCTCAAGGTCATGACCTTACAGGCCAAGATCAACCTTTGAATGATAACGAGAGTGGTCTTTGGATACCAGCCGAAGCTCACAAGGGTGGGGATGAATATGAAGATGAGGAAGAGGAAGAGGAGATTGCTCATTCTCATCAAGGTAGCATCACCAATGGTGAACTAAGAGGTCGTCAAGAAGAGCTCGCATAATGGTTGAACAACTTTTGAATTCAGAGAAGAATGATGCTGGATGAGAAGATTGTCTAGGTATAATCAGCTTGTGACGGTGTTAAAGGAACGGACTGAATTAGTGGCGGGTATTCCCAAGATTTCTTTAACTTTGCTTCGAAAGCTGCTATCACTGCTCTGCTCGGAACGGATCGATGTCTTTTTCTTTTTCTCTAATGGTGATAATGTTGGAATCGGAACGGGGTGGTAATTGATCATATACGATCTGAGAATACGGGTGTTGGAATCGGGCAAAGGAGGGCTTGGTGAACTGGGGAGCTAAAAAGGGTTTGAGGGGATGGGGTGGGAACACGATTATGGGCTTGAAGACTTTTGTATTTGTAGTTTTTAATGAATGCTTTTATCATTTGACTTGATCTTCTTGTTTTTGAGAAACTACTAGCTGTCTTGTTCAGATTTGTCTTCTCTGGGTATCTTGATTCATCCACAATGTCCATCTTGTGATCTTCAGGTCGTCAATAATTCTACCAACTGACTCTAAAGCCATTGCTGACAATGATTCGCCGTCCCTGCCATCCCTCTCCTCATACAATTATTCCAATTTTCGAAGAAGATGACCCTATGGTAGATTATCCCTAAACATAAACGATGTTGAGCCAGCATTCATCTCAGTCGTATATACGCCACATCTTCTCTTCTCACTTTATGGAGATTAAATCTCATGCCGATCAAGTAGTTGGATTCTGGCTATGCTTGGTGTCGTATATTCGTAGTAGGCGTTTGATACTGATACGTCTGCATCCACCCTCACCAAGTCCTAGCAATACGCTATCACATGTGGGATATGCAATGGTACTTCTTTCTTAACCAGAAATCATGTCTATCTTGACGGGAATATTGCGGGAGGTGGGTGTCTTTGACCAGCGCATCTTGTGCTGGTCTAGCAGATCGGGAGAGGTAAGGTTTTGGGTTTTTAGGATTTGCGAGCGCGCACTTGGCTTTCGAATTCTTCGAGCTCGATACGTAGGATGTGGGCGCCGGGGACGACGACGAGACCCAGCCAGCGGGGGGTGATGTTTAGGAGCGGTTGGGATTGGGATTGGGATTGTGGGGCGGAGGAGGTATTTTGGGGCTGAGGAGAAGAGGTGGAGGATGTAGGTACGGGTGTGGGGGGAGAGGGGGGAATGCGATATTCGTAGGTTTCGGAGAGGATTACATTGAGGTCCTGGGGGGTGTGTGAAATGGGTTAGCTTTCTCTTCTTGGGTTTCTTCTTGGGTTTCTTGAGTGAACAGATGTGCGAGAGTGAGAGGAATGTGCATGTTATTGTTAGGTGTAAGGGAAGAGTCGTCGGGGTAGAGAGATCTTAAGAAAGGCAAACGAACAGAATCGGTACACTTGAATTCCCCCGAAACATACGATGATCGGTTGTGTGAACGAGTAAGGTTTTGCAGAGGAGATTTTGTAGATAGGCGTGTGCTTCTTTTCTCGCTGGAGATTCTGGGATCTCTGTGGAGGGTAGGGGCGCGAGAGATGTCATGGCTGTGGGTTGGGTGTTGGATCTGGATCTGGAGTGAGGAGAAAGCAGAGGAGTGTTTTGGAGGGGAATTAAGGATGCATACTAGAGAATGGGTTTGGTGGGTTTTGCGATAAGATAAGCTGGAATGATAGTCACGTGGGAACGTGGACTATGTGCGTCATTACGCGGTTAGCGTTTGGTGAGATGAGGTGGGAAGTAAAGGCAGAAGTCAGATGTGGAATCTAAGATTTATGAAGTTAGTTGTGATTGTTATTTAAACCTGGATTGAGGAGATGAGAATCTGTGAATTTTGAAACGCTCTTTTTTGACATGGGATGAATATATTACCATCACATAAGGGTGTAGCTGAGGATTCAGAGTTCTTATTCATTCTACCCGACTTCAATTACTTCTGCTCTCACACGATCAAGGTTGTCTAGACGAACTTCTTGATCTGCGAATCACAATCCCGATATCCAATCTATCTACGAACGTAAGAACCCAACACCCTCACCATGGGTGTCACCGGACTCTGGACCATCGTGCAACCCTGCGCTCGTCCAACTCCCCTCCCAGCTCTCAACCGCAAACGACTCGCCGTCGACGCCTCAATCTGGATCTACCAATTCCTCAAAGCCGTGCGCGATAAAGAAGGAAATGCGCTTCGCAATTCGCATATCGTGGGATTCTTTCGCAGGATATGCAAACTTTTGTTTCATGGCATTAAACCCGTTTTTGTGTTTGATGGTGGCGCGCCCATATTGAAACGTCAAACGGTATTGGGGAGGAAGAGGAGAAGAGAGGGGAGGAGGGAAGATGCTGTTCGGACTGCAGGGAGGCTTTTGGGGGTACAGATGAAGAGGAGAGCGGAGGAGGAAGATAGTGAGAGGAAGAGGAGGGAGAGGGAAGGACGAAGCAGACCTGTCGAAGAAGAAGAAGTGGTGCCGGAAGAACAATTAGCATATGTGGATGAGATAGGGATGTCGGAGCAACAGGTCCAAACGACTCGAAAATTCTACAAAAAGGACGCATATCATTTACCCGAATTGACAAATGGTATAGAAGGGATGGGACGACCGGAAGATCCGAGAATCATGTCGGCAGAGGAATTGGAAGAATATGCGAGACAATTTCATAATGGAGAAGATGTGAATTTATATGATTTTAGTAAGATCGATTTCAATGGGGAGTTTTTCATGAGTTTACCAGCGGGGGATCGGTATAATATTTTGAATGCGGCGAGGTTGAGGAGTCGATTGAGAATGGGGTTGAGTAAGGAGCAATTGGAAGAAATGTTTCCAGATAGGATGGCATTCTCGAAATTCCAAATTGAGAGAGTTAGGGAGAGAAATGAGTTGACGCAGAGATTGATGAATCTGAATGGAATGAATTCGGAGGAGCAGATGTTTGGGGTTAATGGGACAAGTAGAATTGCGGGGGAGAGGGGAAGGGAGTACGTTCTGGTCAAGAATGATGGGGTTGAAGGTGGTTGGGCTTTAGGCGTGGTCTCTTTGGAAAAAGGAGTGGGAGATAGGAATAAACCGATCGATGTTGATGATTATGATCGGAAAAATAATAAGGTGGACTTGGTGTCTGAATCTGAGGAAGATGATTTCGAGGATGTTCCTGTTGAAGGATTAAATCGGCTCCCGAAAGCGAAAGATGATGGGAGGAATATGACTTACAGCGATTTTCAAGCCAGAGAAGTTGCTGAAAGGAGGAAAGAGTACTCCAACTCGAGGAATAAATCGAATTCAAAACCTACACGAATGCCATCTGAGGATCCGGATTCTCTTTTTGTGGATGATGTGGCCGGACAACCGGGACCCAGCTCCTTGAATCCAACTTACGATGACGAGGATGAAGATATCAATCGCGCGATTGCTATGTCGTTACAACAAGATCAAGATGAGGATGTAGGACTTGACGAGGATGACCATCTAAATCGAGCCATTGAACTATCACTCCAAAAGGGCCATGGCCGGGAAGAGACAGAAGAAGAGGGAGATGATCCATATGAGGATGTCCCAATGCCAGAATATGAGCAAAGAGCAGTAGCAGATGCTAGACCTCTCACTAAGTCTAGTGGAAAAATGATTGCTCATATGGTTAATAATAGAGCTAACGCTGCTGTGCCGAAACGGAAAGAAGAGACTGAGAAGATGGATAGTGATAGTGATAGCGATATGGATTTTCAATCCGCATTGAGGAAAGCAAGGACACAAAAGGCACCGGAAAAAGTCCGTCAAGCAGCACCAGTTGTTGTGAACCAAAAGAATCCTTTCGATGGACCATTGCCGTTTGAGAGTATTAAATTTAAATCCTCTTTATTCGGCAAGAAGAAACCAGAAGAGTTAGCTGAAGAACCACTAGAGGAAGATGAAGAGGAACTGGCTGGTGGTTTCGAGAAAGAAGACGAAGAAGAAAAAGCGAAACCATTACCTCCATGGTTGATTGACAATGATGATATCAGATCACAAGTTCAACAGCAGCGTAAGAAAGATCAAGAACTGAACGCGAAAGATCGTGAAAGAGCGGAAGAAGACGAGAGGATTTTTCAACGTGATCATGGGGTTATTCATGTAGACTCTGATGATGATAATGATAGTGATTTGGAAGTTTTGGATAAAGCTCCCACGCCTAATATTGCCGATCATAGTATGGATGATTTGGCGGAAGCTGTTAAAGCTCAACCGCCGCAGTCTGATGTTCCTCAAGATAGACGGCCTTCTGCAGCATCTCGTGTAGATGATACGGTTGATATGTTAGGGGAGTCTGATGAACTGGTAGAGTGGTCGGAGAGTGATCATGGGGATGTTGCTCCTAAGTCTAACAAGGCTTCAGAATCCGTACCTCCCGTTGAAGAGAGCCTAGAAGTGTCTTCTTCGAAATCAAAATCACCGTCTCCTGTTTTCGAAGATGTGGCTCTTCCTGATGTTCAAGCAACTGAACCTACACAATTATCGATTTCTGCAAGAAAAAGTCCGTCTCCAGTGTTTGAAGATGTTCAAATGACAGATGCTATATCTACCTTGCTATCTGGACCAACTGTATCCGACGAGCCACCTTTTGACGATGCATATGATCGTCAAGAAGCTGAAGCGATTCCAGATGAATTCGATTTTAGTGATCCGGAAGAAGAAGAACTGATGACCCAACTGGCCATCGAAGCAGAAGAACATGCTCGATTTGCCAGTACCCTAAACAACAAATCCGAAAAAGAAAACCATGATTCATACGAGCAAGAACTCAAAGCATTGCGAAGTCAGCAAAAGAAAGATCGTAGAGATGCAGATGAGGTATCTCATATCATGATCACAGAATGTCAAGCTCTACTCCGTCTCTTCGGTATTCCTTACATCACGGCACCAATGGAAGCAGAAGCTCAATGTGCTGAGCTTGTCCGTCTGGGTCTTGTGGATGGCATTGTGACTGATGATTCGGATATCTTTCTTTTTGGTGGGACGAGAGTTTATAAAAATTTATTTAATTCCAATAAGCTCGTTGAGTGTTACCTCTCATCGGATCTGGAAAAAGAACTTTCCCTTTCGAGAGATCAACTTATTTCAATAGCTCATTTATTAGGCTCCGATTACACGGAAGGAATTCCAGGTATTGGACCCGTCACCGCTGTCGAGATACTCTCGGAATTTCCATCTCATGCTGGTCTGGAAGAATTCAAAGAATGGTGGTCCCTCGTTCAAAATCCTCTTACGACCCCTCCACTCGCAAGCGAACCAACACTCTTCCGCAAAAAGTTCCGTCGCTCACAAGCGACGAAACTCTTCCTACCCCCCGCATTCCCCAGTCAGGCGGTCACAGAAGCATATCTCAAACCGGATGTTGATAGTGCGGCCGAGGCTTTCCAATGGGGAGTCCCAGATCTAGGACAATTGAGAGAATTCTTGATGACTACGGTGGGTTGGAGTCAAGAACGGGTGGATGAAATTCTGGTGCCGGTGATTAGGGATATGAATCGACGGGAAACGGAGGGCACGCAGAGTAATATTACGAGATATTTTGAGGGTGGTGTTGGGGTGGGGGGAGTGGGAGGTGGTGGGGGGGAGGGCAGGGAAAAGGGGAGCAAGAGGATGAGAGAAGCAGTGGGAAAATTGAAGGCGAAGAAGAGGGGTGGAGCAGCGAATTCATTGAAGGATAGAGGTACCTTTGCGGATAATGCGAGGGAGTGGGCGAAGAAGAATGAATTGAGTGTGGAGGCGCAAGCGAAAAGAGACGCGAGTAAAAAGGGAAAGGGAAGGAAAAGAGTGGCGGATGAGGTAAATGGAGATGAGGGAGGCGAGGATGAAGATGCGGATGTTGAAAAAGAATACAATGACGCAGATGATTATGGTGATGATGATGACGATGAGGAGGAGGAGGAGGAGGAGAATGGAGAGGGCTCAATAGGTTCCAAACCAAAAACAGTGGGTTCGGAGAAAGGAAAGGGAAGAGGAAAAGGAAAAGGCAGGGGAAGAGGTAGAGGCAATGGAAAAGCGACGGGCCAAAGGGTCAAAAGACCCAAGATCACGGAATGAATTTATACATGTATGTATGATATTTGATTGGATGATATAAAAAGAAGTTGAATGAGACTTTGAGAATATGAAACTTCGGACCTACAAAGCGTTGGATAAAAAAGACAACATTGAGATTGTTTATTCAACATCGTTTGCTATATATCTTTTGCGTCCTCTGATAGTTTTTTTTAATTTTTACTAGCAACATAACAGAAAGCTACCTAGCTACTGGTGTGTTTCAAACTCAAATTTAATACACGCGTGATAATTCATATTGATAACAACATTGCATCTCCCATTCCCCTCCCTCACCATCCATTAACATTCCCTCTCCTCATCCAACCCTACCACACCGTCGTCGACGCACTCGGCGGTAAATCCTCATCCCTCGTCCCCCAAGCACTTTCATTCCTCCCCAGCGTTAACTCCAAGACTCCTCCCTCCAACCAAAAATCATGCGTCACCCAATTCTTGGTCCACGTCTCCCCATCAAGTGTCGCGCTCTGGATATATATATTCTCGTATCCGCTATCGAAATTAATATTTCTGATCGTGGCCACTTTGCCCGATTGTCCATTCTTGACGCTCACTTCTGGGAAATAGGGAGGGGTGATGAGGTAGACATTTTGGCCTGAGACGGGCCAGAGACCCATCATGGAAAGCGTGGTGAAGGAGCCCATGGCGCCGGAATCGTCGTTTCCGGCGATACCGGCGACCGTGGTGTTGAATTGGGAGGGGATGTAGAAGTGAGAGAAGGAGGCGGAAAGACCGGGGCGTCCGGCGTAGTGAAATTGGAAGACGGGGAGGAAGGCTTGTTCGTCGCCGATGTAGAGGAGGCCTGAGGTGTGTAGATAGGAGAGGCGGGAGATGAAGAGGGAGGGGCCGCCGAGAGTGGTGATTAGGGAAGCCATGTCTTGAGGTACGAAAAATGTGTACATCCAGGAACTGCCTTCGTACGTTTCGTGGCCGTTGGGGTTGAGGTAGCAGGATGTGAAGTTGTAGAGGGGGGAACAGAGGGTGGGGTCTTGGTAGCCGAATGTTCCGTTTAGATAGCGGGGTTGGAGAAACCCGGTGAAGCCGGTGTCGACGACGGAGTCGGGTGCGTCGGTGGATCCGTTGACGAAGGAGGTTTGGTCGGCTTTGTACATGTTTTTCCAATTCTCGGCGCGTCCGAGATATTTTTCTACGTCACCGGTTTGGCCGAGTCCCCGGGCTATTTCGGCAATGCAGAAATCGTTGTAGGCATACTCTACTGTTCGAGAGATCGAGCGGGTCATAGGTCCTACTCCGTAAGGATCGAAGTCATCGGTGGGAATGTAGCCGAGATTTTTCCAGCTAGTAAGGCCACCTCGACCTTCTATGGACCAGTCTGCTGGCTCATCTATATTTCTTTAGTCACATGAACATGAGATGTATCTTGACAGACGTACCTTCAGCATCAGATACTACTGCTTCATAGCCCGTTGCCCAGTCCACGTCTTGAGTGATATTCTTGACATAAGAATCTGCTAAAACAATATCTGCATTCGAGCCTCCTTGGGTAAATCCTTTACAAAGCGACATTCGACAATCCGGGAGTTTTCCTGGAATACATGTTAGAGAGCAATTCTACCAAAATAATGATTTTAGGAACAAACCTTCATGACGATAAACATCAATCAAACTTCTCACCATCTGTGTCTGACTATATGGATCCAACAAAGTCAACAATGGATGGATACTTCTAAAAGAATCCCAAATACAATAATAAGAATCATAATAAGGTTCATCGCTGTCCCACAATGGATTCTCCCCCGTGTAATCTTGTGGTGAAATCATAGCCCTGTAAGCACCGGACCAAAAAACAGTTTGGAGTTCATCACTAACACCTGTAGCATCAACACTGATAACCGAAAGTTTTTCTCTCCACACATCTTCAGCAGCAGTCAACACTTTCTCGAAGTCAAAATCTGGTATTTCGTTCTCGGCATTCTGACAAGCTTTCGAGATGCTGATGAATGAAATGCCTACTCGAGCAAGGATTTGGTTGTTGGCTGGTGCTTTGAATTGTGTCCAGGCTCCCGCTGGAAGAGGAGGTGAATTTATGCCATCGGGCGTAACACTGAGATTCTTGGGTTCACTTCCGGCACGATTGTTTATGAAAACTCCCGTGTCTCGAATTTCTGCACCTTTAAAATCGGCACAAAAATGTAAATCATAGCTTCCAATTCCAAATGAAGGATTGAATGTTCCGGTTCCAGAAAGTCTTCCGGTATCTGGATCGACTTGGACCGAACCATTTGAACGAGACTCCGGCAAATCCGTCAGATCTACTAAGATAAGTGGACTATAAGGTAGAGGCTGTTGAGTGGAATACGAATCATTAGACGACGAATTCGAAGGAAAAGTAAAACGATACAGTGCGGTATGATTTGTGACAGTCGCTTCCGTATGAATCGAAGTATTTAACGATACGGCAAAGTATCCTGGATGGGCCTCGGCAGTTCCATTAATTCTTCTCGATGCTCGATCGGTTTTGGTGAAGAAACAATTATTCAAGATATCTCCAGGACAACCTGTTTGTGGAAATAATGGGAAGTTTCCAAGTGATGGTGACTTGCGTTTTGGGTCAGTAAAGAGGTAATTTTCTCACAAGTAGTGTTACTCACACCACCCGTGCCGGAATCATGCATATGGGAGAATCCAGTGATATCGGAATTATCTGAGGCAAACCCTCCTTGCTTTTCATCGGGATTGTTCACATCGGCAACTGCTTTTGCCATACCTTGAAATTTATGAGCTCAAATCATCAAGGGAGGAGTCAATAAAGCTTACCGAAGGGTAGAGTCGCTCCAGGAAACACATGGCCTGCTGGTATGTCAGTAACGATTTCAGCACATCTCAGGAAATGAGCAGACCATACCTCCCTTCGCAGTTCCAATGAATGGATCGACATATTTAAAAACATCAAATTCCTTCTCTATTTGACTTCCAACTCCGATATCTGCCACCACTACCAGACTCACGAGTAAAGCCCTCCATTGTGATAAAACCCCCATGATTATCGTTTCGATATGAAGAAACCTCAAAACGCGAGACTCAATTTCGAACAGAAGATAACAGTCCCCAAATTCCTGGGGTATAGGCATCTTTCATATCTTTCTCCAACTTGTTTATACAGACCCGAAGTATCCACTTACCTGAATTGTCCACGACACCATACGACGTTACAATGCCCCCTCATCTGTGCATCTCTTCGTGTTCACTTGGATTTATTACTTTGTTCTGGATGATCATCATGATCTATACCTGTCATAGGAGTCGCTAATGTAGAATGCGGGGTAAGGTTAGCGGACAGGGGAGATGCAAACATGTACGCCATTGCCGGCGTGTAACTTGGCGTGAGGAGGTTTGCGGTGAAAGCATACTTGGATACTCTCTGCAGATCATTCCTAGGTACGTTTAGATACTTGGATTTGCTTGTAAAAGTGTTGTGATGGATGTGTTGTGGATATTCGGTTGGAGATTGATTCCTTTTGAGTTTGTGAAAATCGGCATAATGACTTCCGAGGAAATGGATATTAACTGGGATCCGTAATGCAATTGGAAAAAGCATGTATATAGGATCGATCATAGATCAAGATGCTCAAGATGATCACATCATATGTTTCTGGATCCTGTCTGCACGAGCTTTCAAGGTTCGACGAAGACACCGATAGAAGCACTGTATCACGTGACTATCAGGTGACTGTACAGATTTCCGAGTTTCTTGTAAAGTTTATGAAATCAAAACTCTAATCAACAGTATTTCTTCTCACAACAACAACAGCAACAACAAAGCGTAATAGCGCGTTTTTGACTCACGCCAGATCAAAATTGGAATACGAGATAATCATCTTAATGGCAGGAGTTGAAATTGTTGACCTTGAGGCAAACCTCTTTGAAAACAACTGGAAGATGGGAACACAAGAAACATAAAGGTAAATTATATTTCATTTTTCGTTGAATGTTAAGAACTACAAGTGTTGCGTCAATAAAGACACTCTTTAATAAGCTTTAAAACAATCTTAGAGTAGAGCAGTGGCGGCAGTCATCCTGCTGCCATATTCACAAACCTCCCATACACAAATTTTAATCTCTTCCAGCCTCATCCTCATTCCAATTACCTCCATATACATCAAAGTTCTTTAGAACCTCCTCATTCAGTACTCCTTTTCCCCATATTCCTTTAAATTCCTCAGACACCTCCTTCCACCAATAAACAAAAGAGTGCATTTCTCTGATCCATTGAATCTGTTGATCAAGAGAATGTCCCTCAACAATTTCTATGCACTTTCTGTTGGTGCACGTGTCCAAGTAGTATTGTATATAAACTACTAACGCATCGTACATACATTCAGGGGTGTCTTCAAGGATAGCATGGTTGTAGGGAGTAGACCTTGTGAGGGAGATAAGGATATCGATGGCTCGCATGAATTCAAAGGAGCGTATTGGAATGGCCTCTGGATAGGCGATAGCCCACTTCTTGAAGATTTTTTGTTCGATAGAGGCTGTGGATTCAGATGAAGTGGCACAGCGACGCTCTTTTACTTTTTCCTCTGCCAATACTTCTTCCGTTGCTTTTTTCAATGCCTCACCAAATGCGTCCAACTTCAAAAATTGGAATGATCTTCTGACCACGGCTACAGTAGTCGCGATAAACATTTCGTCCATGGAATTATCGGATCCTTTCCCAGTTGATTCACAACACTTCTTCTGAAACATACTTGTAAAATCTTGTTTCAATTGCTCTGCAGTAGCAATGAGAAGGTCCTTTATTACGCACTCGATCGATGCAACTGAAATATCCTTCATTTCAGTCAAATTTCCTATTTCGCTTGTTTCTTTTGTGCCGATTTCGGTTTCTTCATCGCTAATATAGGCACTATAGTGGGCAGATTCAGACTCAGATGTATCAGAATTCTCATCATCAGCGTCCTGTTGGTATTCGGGGCTAATGTCTTCATTGTTTTCTTCGTTCACCTTCTCAGAGCTTTCTATGGTGATGATATTATGTTTCTTGCTGATGATGTCGTTTGCAGAAGCCGTTGAGCAAGAGGTATCTCGATAGCCCTTTAATCTTATAAACTCGTCATAGTTTGATTGAATAAAAGCTTGTTGCAGCATAGCAGCTTCATCGTCGAAATCTGCAGGCAATGGGAAATCTTCTCCCCATCGAGACTTCATGGCCCCCCAAACTGGCTCTCTCAAGATCTTCTCCGAAGAATTTCCTATTGATTCAACCCCTCCGACATTCTTGTCTTGTATGTCATTTGTTGTGATAGCTTCATATTCCTTTGCTAAAGGTACACCATCTTGGCAGTCATTTTTAGAAGAAGCAGAAACCCTGGATGAAGTGGGCGAACTAGGTTGTTCTTCCTGATTCTTCCTCGCATAAGCCTCTTCTGCCTCTCTAATTAACCGGTCCAAGCCTTTCCGACACGCTTCGAAAATTTCTCGCAGTGTTTGTAAGTCCTTCGCCAACTGTCCGCTTCGAATAGATTTAAAGATCTCAATCATGAGCCTCATGTCTTCGGTTCTTTTGTTAGGCTCTGTTCCTGTCTTTTCGCCCAAAGACTCCAAGGCCTTAAGATACATTTCATCCCGCGTCTTTCTGTCATCAATCTTCCGCAATTGTCTATCCAGTTTTCCGCTCATAAACATACGCTTTACGCTCTCAATGATGAGGGCTAATTCTTCGATCTCCTTCTTAGTTCCTGTTTCTTTCTGGCTGTAAAATAGCTCGAGAAACTTCAAATAAGTTTCCGAATCTTCCTTTTCTTGTGCAATGGGCCTATTGTTTTCTGGGCCTCGGGAAACAAATTCGATGCCTTTGACCATGTTTTCATTTCCACCAAACAAGTCTATTTCAAGAGTAGTCGAATGATTATCAAATCCACTGCTTGATCTCATTTGTTCAATCTTTGGAGATACTTGAGGCTCTTCCAAGCCCCTGCAAAGTTTGACGAGGACCGGAAGGTCATCTTTTGTTTCTTTTCCCTCCCTGCTTTCTTCAGTCAAACTAGACAGCAATTTCACTTCCACCTTGCCAGTGACCTGATTCATGCCTCTGTTCTCCGCAGCGGAATCATTTTCACAACAAGTTTCGCCTGCAATGCTTCTTAACGGAGTGGTAGCAATGACATCTAGTTCCTCTTTTTTCCTAATCGCTAGCTTTGGTCTGCGGTTTCCCTCCAAAGTTTGTCGTGCTCTTCTTGATAGAAGACTCTCGCGAGCTTTGGGTTTGTCCCCGGTTATTTCAAGCTTGTTATCTGTCTCTCTTTCGACCACATGCCATATCATTCGTTGTCTTTTTGGTGGAGATGGAATGTTTCGGGCTTCCTTTTCCTCTTCTGCCAAGTCAAATGAAATGCCTAGGCATCTTAAAGATTCCGCCTTTAGTTTGGAAATCTGGGAAGGTGATGGAGACTTCTCAAAGCTGCGTTTGGGAGATCTGCACTTTTTCTCGGGTGTTTGAGGTGAAGATGGCGGAGCTATAAGCATTTTGGATAAGTATTTGGTATTTTGTGAGATATCGCTACTTTTCGAACCAAAGAAGTCAGCATCATTGTGAGGCATTGTTTCAAAAATCTTGTTCTCACTAGTCTTGTAAAGTAATTTATGAGGATCGATGAAGATGTTGTTGCCACAATCTAGCAAAACGGTGTGGGCACAATTTTTGTGTTGTTGATGCGAGTGATGTTTGATGAGTCCTGATCATCACTGTTGAATTGTAAGCAATGATATATTAATCATACTAACCAAGAATGGGAAGAGCTCTATTTCTCTTTGGGTGAAATATTTGTTTGTACAATCGAGGGAAGGGAAAGTCGATGTTCGGTGTTCTCATTTATTGGTTATCATTTCGTACTTTCCTTTTCAGTAATTACAGGACAGAAATGCAATATTGAGGAAGGAACAATGGTTTTCAGTCAGGCAAATTACATGATATATAACTCAAAAGTACAGCCGAGTATATGAGTCTTGTGTTAGGCAAGTGCGACTGGGAAAAGAAGCTTCGTGTTTGAATGTTTGAAAGCAGAAATGAGAGTTCTATTTCGTTTTTTCTATTGAAAATCATGGTCCTTATTCTCACGATCTACTGAATGTCATCGCAGAGCTATCAGGAGCATTTCTTCCGTTGAATCAATTAGCGTCTGATCATACCTAGTAAATTATACCGGCAAAAGCTTCATCTGCAGGGTTGTCAGCCCCATAAAGAGATAAAGTAAGCAATATCTCGACTCTACGGCTTTTTTTGAGGGTCTAGGCGTGGATCTTTATTTTCCCGAAACTATTTCCACCTCTATCTCATTCCGGCGGGGTATCACCTGGATTCCTCGTCCCAAGCTTCATTTTCTTGTATGCTCTCATTCTCTGCATCGATTTCCATTCGTTGGGTTCCGGACAGGCCACATCTTCCATCACTTCGTCAACCAACTCTTTAACATCTTCCCTCGTCCTCTTTTGAGTGGTCGCTCTTGCAGGCGGTCCCCCACTACGATTACTTGCTGTCTGTGAACTTTCTCCCGTCTCTTCAATCCCCGGGGGCAAAACATCCTGCTGTTCAATCCGCAACTTCGCTTCTATTTTCTTCCCCCAGTCAATGTAATCCCGGAATAATTCCTGCCATCCTTCTGAAACTTGGACAATCTCTAATTCTAGCCAAACCAACCTTTCCAAGCCTTGAGTGAGTAACCTCCAACATTTATGTCGGATTGGTATTGTCAACTTCTCAGCACCCCCAGCCTTCTCTGCTTCACAATTGGCAACCATCATTGACGCCGCACTTTTCGCAAAAGATCCAATGTACTTATTTGAAGATATTTGTGAACATAACTGTCTCGCCTTGTCATAATCTTTCAGATTATGCATCGCCTTGGTCGCTTCGAGCATCATATCGAACTCCCTCTGTTCTGTAGGATATTTACTTGCCACTCCCATTCTGCTTGGAGTAAAAAATAATGCTTGGCATTTCTCCAGACGATTATAGGAGTGATTCAATTGCATTGCCAGTTCTCCAGTTCTAGACTTTTTCCCAATCTTGTCAATGACTTCTCGATTGAACCCCCTCGCTCCCCTGTTCCAAACTAAAAGCGCTCGTTTGGATGTGATGTCTTCCAAAACTCCAGGTTGCTTCTCTCTCTGCAAGGTAATTTCCACTGTTCTTTCGTGGTTTGTCGAAGCCGCAACTAACAGCTCCACCACGTTTTTAATTACCGTATCCATCAATCTCAATTCTCCCTCACCGCCACGATTATTGTTCTTATTCTCTACTAATACCTCTATGATTCTCCCCACCGCTTTAACTTGCGATTCCATATTCTCCCAAAATTCTTTCCCAGTCTTCGCACTTTCAGCTATTTTTGCAGAAAACTCCAAAACTTGCCTCTCCATCGGCGTAGTCTCCATCTGCGACTGTATGTTCAATATACCCTGCATCATCATCGCATCGTCGTTGACATACGGATCATGGACCACAGGATCCAATCTATCTCTGGCCGTATAGAGGAAAGGGGGACCGGTTTCGCCAGACTCCGGATGGTAGAAAACCCTAGTACCTTCCTTGATCGCGCGGTATTTCAAAATGCGTCCGCCAAAACCGCGAACCATTAGATCCCAAAAGTCTTGAGTGTGAACGTCTTCTAGATATTGGACGCCAATAGGATGAAAATCAATGTATGTCTCTATAGGAGGTTCTGTGAGAATGGGTTGACTCTTGGAGCCGTGAGCTTTGCTGGTGAAGGAAGGGTACATCGTTTCGGCAAATTGACACAGGAGACGACGGGACCGCCAATTGATGGGCTTCTTGAGATCAATTCCGCCGAAAATCTACAGTTTCAGAAGTTTCATGTTAGCAACTCGAATGATTATCCGGAGGAGAGGAGGCACAAGATATGAAGTACTAAGTTGACTTACTGCCCATTGCCAGCTCCAGCCAAGCTCTGCACTTTGTTCCGTTCCAAAGTATCCTTCTCTGTTATTGGTAAAAACACGAACACCGAGACGATGCAGAGACTGATAATAGCCTATTGCATGCATAAGTTCGTGTGCAATCTGACACTACATTAGTTCACGAGGAGTAGGCAGCCTTTTACTTCAAGACAAACTCACGGTACTTGCACAGCGATATCTGATGCCTGCCAATTCGGAGTCTGATAGATCTTTGTACTGGAAGAAGATAGGCTCTAAAGATTCGACGTTGAGAAACATTTGAACCCGCCACTAGTTCGGTGAAAATTAGCTAACTCCGTAGACGCGCACATAGAAGACCACCAAGCATGTTAACAAAATTTTGAACGCTACGTACTTTAGCGCCGGGTTTCTTCTTAATGAGCATTTCCCAAGTATTGATTGTTGAAACTCCCAAAGCATCTCCAAATTTCTTAACCGGGTATGTTGGATCATTATTGGGTGGATCGTTATCTCTCACGTTCTGATGGCTATAGAAATATGAACACATAAAGTCCATTTCATTCATCAATCCGCGAAAGACCCGATCTCTTTCGGCTGCGACTTCGTTTTCGCGTTCAACAGTCCATGGGCCTTCTCGAGGGCTGAAGGTGTGGTATTCTTTGAGAATCTTTGAGCCTGGGGGAAATCTATTTGGATGGACAGGAGCGCGTGGTCCAAGGAGAAGGGCATCTAACTGCCAAGCGGTCAATTTAGCTTAGCTATAGGGCAGAAACAAAGTAGAGGAATAAATCATACCCATGGTAAACTTTTAGAAGACGTTACAAATTGCGAAGCAAGTGTGACTATTGGTTTGAGGACCTCCCAAACTTTATCATTACTCGATTGCCATTTTCCACCATCGGGGTCATGCCTCTAACCCTCGAGAGAATCATTAACGATGGATATCCAGAAAACCTTTCAAGAAGAATTACATCTAGCAAGCTTTTCGAAGAACGAAGATAAGAAAGACTCACAATCGGTATACTATCTGTCCTCAACCACGCATCACTCGGCTTATCCTCCCACCTCTCCCTCTGCAAAATTGGCAGAATCCCTCCAGACAACGTACTACCCCTCAAAGGTCTGTCACAAACTGCATCTAAATCCTTCAGTTCTCTCGTGGTAAAAAGAAGCAATTCCTGTTTCTGATACCCTCCGATTATATTATGCCGATCGTCCTGTCTTTGATTTTCCCAGTTTACTGGAAATAGAGGATCTAACGGCGTTAACCAACTCTTTCCCTGAGGTCTGTCTGGAGATTTCGGTCCGAATTTCCGAGCATATTCGGTATAAGGACGTCTCTGAGCATCTCTCTCGAATTGCAGCTGATGTTCATGGGTGGCTATTGGTTGTAGCTGCATGTTTCGAGATTGATATCTATCTCGGACTTCGAGGAAGCTGAAGATGCACATTTATCTTTTGGGTTTAATTTGATTTTTCATTTTTGTTGCGATGTAACAAAGAGTTGAACTTGTAGCATTGGTGAAAGGACTAGATTTTCAATCTTTTGTTTCCGGATATGTTTTGTCTGTCCTTGGACAACAATCAAAAGAGGCGTTACCGATGTTTCTTTGAACATCGTTCAGATCAATAAATAAAAGTAAAGGCAGATTGTAGGCAATGAGTGCTTGATGCAACGCTGTTTATCATTGATTAATACTGTAAGTTGATTTGAAAATATACCAGATGTCATTGTAACTAATAATATTTCATTCTACCTATTCATATTTGACAATAAGATAATACTTCAGGCTCGGATACCTAGGATTGCAATTTCGATGTGCGATGTATTGCATTCTTCACGTAGTACTACAAAAATTCATCCTACGGAATATTTGAAAGGTAGCATAACAAAAGGAAAATGGCAAAGCAAGGGAATAGAGTTTTGCATTTGCATAACGAAGAATGCTGAGATCATCTCGACCTCGCATGACTACATAGGTAGCCATGAGATGCTAAAAGAGAGAACAAAAGCCAGAACTACAAAGCTTAGAGCAGACCATCATAATCACTGACAAGAATTTCTGAAGTACAGAGACATCGATTTGTTTTGAAATTATAGTATTTTCCATTAGTCATTACTGCCCTCGTGATCAATTTATCTCATGTCTTCGTTTCTCCATTATTTGAATCATAGGTGAACGCCCACACAACCATCCCACAAGCTCACAATCAACTCACTGGAGCCCCATTTATCAACTATTCATAACTCTTGGCCTCGGTGAAAACTCTTTGAACATCAACTTTCACGCAAGTTGGGTTTTGTGGTTCAGCCTCACCAACAACCCAAGCCAAAGTGGTGTAGTGGTATCCCCAGTACGTCTCACAGATGTACCACCTGTAATAAGCTTCAGTGCCAAAGCTAATTGGTGATACTGTGTCATCTTGATAACCCTGAATATTCAACAAGTTGTCCTCGTCAAACGCTACATTCGTTGTGGAAGTCGTGCTAGGAGTAAACAATGGTACCGCAACATTGCTAGTGGAGCTATACGAAAGTCCGAAAGGCGAAGAAAGATTAAAATTTGCACCTTGAAGCAGCCATGTCAAAATACCAGTTTCGCCGATGGTAGCATTGAAGCTGCTGTCGAAGGAGGAAGTGTTGAAGTTGAAGGTGGAAAAGGTAGCGTTTGGGCTAGAGATTGAAGGGCCAAGGCAAAGTCCTTCGATAGCCGCGCCCTCATGACAAGGCGAAAGTGTGGCGCCGTTCAGGCTATCGTCTGAGGAGATAAGTGCGAGGTGAAATGGAGCGGATTGATTTGTGTATTGTGCCGTAACTTGAGTAGCTGCAGCCAGGAGGCCAGCGAGGACAAATGAGGTACGCATCCTGAATTTTGGTATTCGAATGTGAGAACCGATTTTTCTTATAAGAATGCAATCTAGTATCGATCGAATGAATCGATAGTTCTTCAAATCCTGGATGTAGGGATTGATTCTGTTGTAGTGAACGAAATGTTAAAGATGGGTGTTAATGAAGATTGGTTTTGGATGGGAAGAGCACTTCTTTTATGTAGTCAGGTAGTATGTCTCTTGACAGAGGCAAAATCAATAGGGAAGGCGTAGAGGTGAGATGATGACGCCAAGGAAGGATCTCGTATTCACCGCATATCCAAAAGATCTACATGATTAGCATGCACACAAAGGAGTAATAAGTGGGAAGGAACAATGATGTGGGAGAAATACCTTAATTGCATGATTGAATATGATTGAATTTGACAGTGGTACGAGGTATGATCGGATGTCACTAATTGCGAGTTAGACACCAAAATCCCAAAGCAGGAACGTTTTGGAGTACACAGTTTGATGGTGTACAATACGGGGGGGCAAGGTACAGGCGGACAAGCCTGACACCCCTGTTAACTACCCCGCATACAATACCACCTCGTATTCTTCAGTGACGAGACTATAAGACGAGACTATAAAAACATTACACAATATTGAACACTCATCCGTCAATGAACGAATGCTTTCTAAACCCTCACGCGGTGAAGTAACACCACAATCTATTCGGGTATCAAACAATACGATATCTGGACAAGTAAGAGTGTTACACGATAAGATTCATAATCAAGACATGTGAGCAATCAAATCCCTATAGGTCCTTCTGTCTGTGCTCTACTTGACAACTGACATCAGGTTAGTTGGTAAAATAACTCTCCAAGATACATATACGGTTTATAACAAAATGGCCTCCGCCAATATGCAAACATCTAATCCAAAACGCTAATGCAGACAGACACTTTGGGCTGGTGTAATAATAGAAGAATCATATCACCAGACTCGGCCACTCTTCTTCAGTCCAAATATGCCGAGATCCGTGAAGAAAACGTTCAAAGATACAAAGAATACAACCCTGAGTAACTAAGTAACACATAAACCGAATAATCCACCATAACACTATTGATTCAAAATCAAGAAGGGATAGGGAGAGAGTAATTGTGGAACGAAGTTGATGATGTTCAAGAAGTTGTGGCATTATTTCAAAACATCTACAAATTCCCATAGTACATACCAAGATGTTATGGAGAAAGTCAACAACGGACGCACAACACACGGATCTGTACAGTAAATGCCTACAAAGATAGTGGATAAACCCCGCTGGGAAGTAAATTTCTAGGCCAGTTGAGTGAATACTTGCATGTATGTGATTTGGCACCTTCGACCCTTTGCGAACCCCCACTCTTGACAGCTAGCACCCGCTTGATTTAGTCGCGGCAGTCTTCAGAGGTATATACCTAAGTGTACTCCCCAGTTAAACTCCACTTTTGGTCTTTAACCTGATCCATGTATACAGTAGATCAGATTATAAGGTTAAATTATTAGCTTGGCGACAGAAGATCTAATCTAATCTTTGCCCCACGTCTCTTTCTCTCCTTATTGAATGATAGGACACATTCCATCCAAGTTACGTAAAGAATCAACTGAATCCGTCTCAATGGAAAATTACAGGCACGCCCCATCTGCCGGAAAGTTAAAATTAACAATTTCTTGGGTTCCTTGCAAGTTAAAAAGAACCTCATTCCTATGGCACTCGGTTCCGAGATTTGACCTTCAAGGGCCTACTGAATGAAGAATGAGAGCTGAGATTTGGGTATTTGCCGTCTTAACTGATGATATGGAGAGATGGTGTTTCCGCGCCATGTTGTAAACTGCTAGGAAAATGCTTTAGAAGATATTGTTGTAGTCCCAAGAGATAAATAGAGCCGTTTTTCTGTCGAATACTTCTCATACACTTAGTGTTGCCATTGTATCAGCTGCCACCGTCCAAGAACGTGCCGGTACTTTTCACCATTACCGACTCTAAAGCTGCGTTTATCAGCAGCACATCTTGCTCGTAGGAATCCTTGCCTCATCTTATCACCCTCGATCCATCCACTAACTGAGCCCTTCAGTTACTTATTCAAGTATGCGATAGGCACAGGAATTGTTGGCAGCTCTACACCCTGTCCAACCACTATCTTAACCACCGACGGCAAGCTTCCCAACATCGCCACACATGGCGCTAGATGTGGTGGTATAACTGATTGGTATACGCGCACTTCTGAGGGTCTTCAGGTTTACAACTCCCTTCAGATTACGTGTACCAGTAGGACCGGCAGCTACCTTATTCCTACCAGCGAGTTCAGTACCAGTGGTGACATTGAGAATTATACTAGTCCTACTACTTTCGCTTTGTCCTAGTCTCAACAGGTTGTGAAGTCTACTTCACATGAGACCGAAAATGCTGCGATAGTACATCAATATATATGTAGGTGTATTTCAGAGGATTTACCCTTTCCGACTGGAGATATCGTTCCTAGGGTTAGAATAGAAGGTGGCACCATAGAAAAACCTCTATAAGCGCAAGCCAAGAGCCTAGAGCCTACTGCGATTTCCTTTTGGTTAGGCAAAGAAATCGGAAGATCTTAAAGTTGATTTGAATCCTGATCACGAAACTCTGTTGCATTTGGTACATTATCCACCCACAGATATAACTTGGGGATCAAAAACAGAATATTTGCAGATGATGTTCAGCTCTTTCGTTGTCTTACTGACAACATGCCTGCAACCTAGCGTTTTTTTTTTCTCATCTTGATTCTTATTCCATGCGTTCTACTTCGGGAGAAAAGCCACATATTTTCGTCTTTAAGTATGAAGAAGCTCTGCGCGATATTCCAGCATAAACTCCTACAGATTATACAATGAATCAATCTCTTGGGGCAATGGAAAATTAGCCTATCATTATACCAGCCTTCAAAAAGAACCATGAACATCCACAAAGTAGGATTGACAAGCTTAACTTCGTCACTGAACCGAGTTGTTCTGTCTTTTGTCCATGATCACCTATTCTAACTTCGAGCCTTTAGCATGTTGATACTGTGTTCTCCTCCCAGGCTTGAATTGCAGATAAATCTCTTCACGGATCGTTCACGTGAGTGATTATTCCTTGGAAGAGAGTACTCTTGTTTCTGAATTATCCGTTGTTGCGCTCATTCCATGTACGATCAAAGCTAGTGAGAGACCTCTGGGCTATAGAAGTCATATGTTAGCAATCTAAAAGGATAATTGGCATCAATAACATACGAGTTGGAACACAATCTAAAGCTTTAATTGTGGTACCCTCAGGTTGCATATAATGTACTCAGTATTAAACCACGTTAACTATTTCTCCTAAAGATAATAACTTGGCAATAAGAAAAAGACTGCGGTTGATCATGCTGTCGATCATTTCAATCACGTTACCAACTGATACTTCGGCCGTTCCCCTACTTAATCGTGACCATTGAAGTCTTTTTGGAAAATTCTATAACAAAAGAGTATAGCTCTAAATTTTGAAGATACTCAAAGACGGAAAAATACAGCCCGGGAGTTACTCCGGTGGTAAGGAGAGGGGCGTAAGCGCCACATGTTCTAGCTTTAGGATTTAGTGCTGATTGATCAATGCGCATTAGCGTGACTACAGTATACCGTAAAAATTTGGCTCGCTAGACATGGGCAGGTGTACGACAGCAAGCTGGTGCCTGGGGAGCGTTCTCTCTCTCCTTCCACCTACTCATATAAAATTACTGCCTACTTAAACAATCAAATCGAATACTTAGCATTCTCATTGTCTATTTCTATTCTTAACTCGAATAATCTATTTCTTCGCGACGAATAATGAATAACCTTACATCCGGTATTTGTCCTTGCTCTATCACTATAAGAATGGATCTGACAGTATGGAATTAGAGTCCTTGAAACTATCATCTAGTTTACCCTTGGACGACACAGATCAACGCTTATGTCCTTATGCTTCAGCTTTATGCCGCTGTCCAGTTCCAAAAGACTCAAACAATCGATCTGTTAGACCATACATAGTATATCCAGTAGATGGAAATATTGTAGATGCCGCTACACAACAACTCGAATCATTTGGGCCTCAAGCAGAGACCCGATTAAATCCCCATATATCACTCAATGGTTGGGGCGTTCTGTATTGGGAAATTCATCTAACACAAGATCAAGTGGCAGAACTTAGAGAAAATCCTGAGGTAAGGCCTTGCCAGTCTGAATCACCTTATTACATACTGATTGCAAAAGGTTATGGACGTAGATACACCTCAGATGCATCATACAGTACTATGATAGGCATAAAGCTTACGCGATTGACTGTTTTTATATCAAAAAATATATATTTCAATATTGAATTTATATTAACATGGTTTATCAGTGCGTGGCCTATATCAGTGGATGGCCCACTTTCACCTCAATTTATACTTTCAAATTCATATTTCTCAATAATCATTAAATCAATTGATTAAAGTTATTATAAATCTAATAATCTAGAATTTATTATATCATTTTTATAGGTTCTTATATTATAATCTATTTTTCTATATTTGTTATAGTATTGACTAAAGGATGCCTCTGTATTGGAATTTCCTTCATTTTGATGCCTATCATATTGAATTTGGATATCAACCTTTTATTGAGATAATATATTTGTAGCTTTTTGTTTAGTAAATATTCTTTCTTAATATAATTGGGTTTTTTTTGTGTATCGATATTTGTTTAATGTTTTATTTGTTTTTTGAAATGTATAAATCTTTATACTCAAAAGTATATTCTTATATGCTAATCTTTTTATACCCTTAGCTAAAACTAGTATAGTTTCAAATAAAGATATAGGAGAACTCGATTAATAACAAATTATTTGAGATTTAACTAGTATTGATTGAAAAAGCGCTTTTATAGGATTATAAAATATTTAAGAGATCTAAGGTTCTAAATTGAAAAGAGAAAAAATAAATATATAAATTTGAATATTTAATTTAGAAAGTATTATTTCAGAATCAAATGAAACTAATCCTACTCCTCAAAACTCTAATTTTATATTCTGATTTATAATTGATTATTGATATACAACTTTGAAAGCTATAAAGAATTCGATCTTTGAGATATAATTGATATATGTTTTTATAAATTCTTTAATTTATATACTATACTCTCGTTTTAAAGTATTAAAACATCTAATATCAAAAGACTAGATTAAATAACTTAAATACAATAATAAACATATATATTTAATATTATTCTTCTTATAATAGTTCTAAAATAATATTGATTTATAACTCTCATACCCATCCAGCACTAGTATTCTATATTTGCCCTTAATTCGATTTCTTATATATTTATTAAAGTATTTCAACCATTCTAATCCTATCTCATTATTCATCTACCCATTACTTATAGATTTAATAATCTAATCTACAGGAAAATCAATTTCTATATACCAATTAAAAAGATACACCTATCCTTAAACTATTAGAAATAAAGATATAATATCCCTTTTATTATTACTATATACAATTGCTATTGTTTATTCTCGATTACCTAACTATATAACTTTATTTCTATTATATCTCTTAGCATCAATAACAATTATACCAATACTTATAATATTTATTATAAAGCTAGTTTCATTAAAGTTCTATAAATCGTAATCGAGAATATTATATTTCATTTGTATATTCAATATAAATCGGAATTAGTTTTCAATAAATATAGAATTTTTGTAAAAAGCTTTTTGAAAGTTATAAATATATTTAAAATGTATTTTTAGCTTTATATAATATTTAATAAATCAATAAGCCTAGAGTTTTCTAACTCTTTTTATATTTTGAGATTCAAGAATATGATTTGTTATATCTTCCACCTCTTTTTATTTAAATACAAAATCTCTTAAATCTATATCAATTATATATTAAATAATAATTTCCTTTTCTAATTCCAAGAGATTTTGAGATTTAGATTGAATTTCTATATAAGAAAATATATTGTCAATTCTATATTATAATATTGATTATAAAATATTATATAGTATTATAGTTTTTTGAGTACTTAGCTTTTTATTTTTCTAAATAACTACAATAGCAAGTAATATATAAGCTTCTTTATTATTCGAATCTATTATGAATTATTAATAAAACATGTATTGAAATAAGGGAGTTGAATTAAGGTGAAAGTAAGCCATTCATTGATATGGGCCACGCACTAATAAACCACGTTAGTCAATTATTATATTAATATAATGGATTCGTAGAATTAAACCAAGTGGAAATGTACTCCATGTTGATTATGTAATCTTATATCTATAACGTGGTTTATCAGTGCGTGGCCTATATCAGTGGGTGGCCCACTTCAAAAATACACTAAAATTGAGCTTTTTTTAATAACGTAGTTTATCAGTGCGTGGCCTATATCAATAGATGGCCCATGTCACGAATCGCACTCAATTGTAATACAATTGCTTATATATATATATACATATATGCATGATTATATATATATAGCTAATATATAGAAGTGCTTTATAAACACTTTGCTTTTGATTTTATAACTATAAATTCTAAGGATAAATTATACTCTATTTTTGTAATTCTTTTAAGGCAAAGTGTTATATTATCTACAGCTTATTATATAATTATATAGTTATTTAATAGCTAATTAAATAATACCTTATAACTTAATACCTTTTTAAGTAAATCATACAAATTCAATATCATTTATAAGGAAAAGATTTATTTTAATTAATTCTTGATAAAGATAATTTATTAATAAATATATAAATTACAAGTATCACTATTATATTTATATTTATTGATTTCAATATTAATCTATTTGTATTAATGTCTGGTGTACAATGATTTTTAATTAGTTTATTTGCTTAATTCAATTGAGAATAGATTTATGCAAATAATAATAATATCGTTTTTAAATTTAATATTAATTTTAATAAAAAGGGAAAAGATAAAGAAAAAGGAATTATTTATTAATTTTGAAACAACACTATTCAAATCAATACCCAAATATAATTGATTATAGATCAAATATAAGTATTCAAGTTCTTACAAAAGCAAATCACTAGATTATAAGTATAAGTTAATAATATTCAAAATATCACTAATCTGTTTTATATTATTTTTCAATAATTTTATATATTTTTTCTCAAAAAAAACAAAATTCGAACTCCTGATATTTTTATAAGATTTATTGAATAGAATACTTTTATATTTAAAAAAAAGAAAAATTGTTTTTGAGGATACACCTTAGAATAATTTTGCTTTTATTTAGAAAAGAATATTTACTTGCTGATAGTTATATTCAATTATAATTTACTACTCTATTAAATACCCTATTTTTGTTTTGATATTATTTTTATAAAAAAACTATATATTTCGAAATCTATTAATCTTTTATTAAAACTTAAAGATAATATAGAATCAAAAGCAGATTTATAATAGCTATTAATTATAAAATAATTAAAGCTATATGTAATATTATTTATCTCGGAATTATAATATTAATTTTATATAATAGATTAAATAGAAAGAAAAACTTAATAATATTTATACTCTTTATATATTTAAATTCTTTTTTTAATAGGATTATAATTAGTTAATAAGCTTGTAATAATTTATAAGAATCCTACTAAAGTCAATTATATACAAATTGAATATAAACATTAGGTTATATCTAATAATATCTAAGAAGATAATTTTATATTATAATATTAGAAGTTTTAATTATTTGTTATATAAATAGAAATTATTAATAACAAGATTTTCTTTTACAATTTGAAAAAAAAAATATCTAATTTTCTTTAATAAGCTATTAGTCTTTATATCAAAGATTATATTATTATTAAAGATCTTATTAGCAAACTTATAGAGATTAATAAACTCGAAGTTATTATTCAAGAATGTAATTATTATAAATAAATTAAAAAAACTTCAAACAAAAAAGTCACTAATAATACTTTTATACAAAGTATACCTAAAGGCACTTTCTGTATATATAACAATTTTACCCTATCTCCTTAATTTTGTTTCCAAAATCCCTTTTATATTTCAAATAGCTATATAGAAACCTTTAGATTAAATATTATTCTATTTCTAGAAAACAATTTCAATTATAATACTATATCTCCCTCACCGAAAGCTAACCATAATTCGATTTTATGTATAGGTAACTTTAATACTATAACCAAAATCAAAAAAACTAAAGAGAATAAAGATTCTTATAAAGATTTCTATAATACTAAAGAAAGTTTGAATTTAAAAATGCAAGCGGAAATTATCGAATTTGCTTATAATACTGAAGATTAATATTTAAATTAATATATTTAGATAGAAGTTTCTTTCTAAACATAATCTAAGATATAAAATTCCTTGATTTAATAAAATTAATAGGAAATGATTTTATAAGTCTACCCTATATATTTTCGAAAAATGGATATTTATTCCAAATTCAATTTTTTATAAACTTTAGAGTGAATAGTTTTGTTTTTATTAATAAGATATTCCTTATATTATTATTTTCTATATTTAAATCTTGTTATTTATTATTTGATTCTTCTATTAAAATCAAAAGCTATAATGATATAAAAAGTAAAGCAATCACTTATTATACATTTCTTAATTTTATTATTAATATTTGATAATAATCCTATTTATTATTTCTTATTATCGATTTAGAGTTATACAATGTGATTTTAGACTGTATATAATTAATAAAAACTTAAGTTAAAATAAATTGTTTTAATCAAAGTCTTAATTAACCTACAAAATGTTCTTCTATTATTTTATTATCAAAAAATATATTTTTAATTAAAAACAATTTTCAAAATTGTAGAATCAATTGTTTAAAATAAAAAAACATAAATAATTGGGATATCTAATTGAATTAGATGTATCATTAGCTGAATAGTAAATAATAGAATATAGTAATGATTATATTAGAGATACTTATTATATCTCCAAAAAAGATTAATATAATAGAAACAATACCCATTAAAGCTTAGATTCTAGTTAATCTAAAAAAGAAATTTGTTTTTAATCAAATATCTATTCAAGCAATGTATGAATCTTTTTTTTTCTGTATTTCTAATATATTCGATATTTATATACTCAAATCAACCTAATTCCAATTTATTTATAAAAGAAATAAGAATTATAAAATCTTTATAGTTATTTATATGGAGATTAATAATATCATTTTATTTTATAAATTTAATTAAAAAAAAAACCATTGTATTTCAAATATAATCTCTATTTTGAAAAATTTGAAATCAAAAACTTTAATTA